ATCAGGAAACTGGTTGATTTCATTAGTTTTTCTTTTTTCCTTATTTTTTATTATTATTTAATTATTTTTTAATTGATTAAAAAAATATATTAATTAATGGTTTTAGCTGGATGATAGCCATTTATGTATGTATATAATTGAAGCAGTGGCTTCAACTGAAGATTGGTGCAGTCTGGAGAAATTAGCTAATAATTGGCTTGCTGTCGTGGATTTAGCAGTAGATTGGATTACTGAAAATTTTGATCTTAAACAGTTTCATACACTCATTGATTTTATCACTCATTTGTCAGACCACCATAAAATATTTTCTTCGGTTTGTTTCATTTTCTGGAAAATCGTAGATAATAGCTAATTTTACCTATTTTTAAATGTGCTTATAGATAATCGATCGTGAAAGAATGATTCCATTCAATATGGCTATAGAACTGGGAAAATTTATTTTATGTAATGTAAGTAGATTTCCACTTGTTTTTAAATACGTATTTGAAGTAAGTTTATTTGTTAATATATACATCTGGATTCTTTTTTTTTGTGTGTGCTTAATTTCTAATTTGATCAATTTCCTCAAATTTCATTTTTTGATAGAAAAATTTATTAGGTAGAAAATTGCGAAAATCTTTTACTATATTGTTTACAACCAGTTTGCTTGTCATGGATATGAAATGATTTCTTTCCGACATTTTATAAAAGATTTCATATTTTAGAATGAAAAAGAATTCGAGCGGGCAATTAGTGAAAAATTAACTCAAATAATATTCGACCATCTTTTACTCTCGGATTTTTCTGATGGTGATTTTTTAGAAATTGTTTGCAAGAAATTTTTTAGAAATTATTTTTTAGAAATTGAAATCTTAATCTTCTTCATTACTAGTTGAAATTATTTTTTGAAATTACATTTTTAACTCATTTTCTTTAGATTGAAAGCCATATCTCATTGAAAAGAAAACTGTCTAAAATTATTTTTTTTTAATCTTTAATAATTGCTTTTTTCAGAAGTAATTGCTGAAACCGTGCAAACAGTTCTTTCTAGTGGAATCGACGCTGATTTTTTTTTCAAAAAGATGTGGGAGAAGCTTTCTTGCCATGAAATGTCTTACGAGAGGTTAGTTTATTTTAGCTTTTTTATAATAGTTTTGCTAGATATAAATATTTTTATTTGAAACAAATATTGTCTTGGCAAAAATTCATTTTTAAAGGTGAAGTATTAGAAAGCTAATCAACTTACTAGTCAAATCGTAATTGATAGTTCTTATGCAAATATTACTGGAAGATATTAATCTTTCAAATCAGTTTATTTAACTTCTTTCTGTCATTCCTGGTAATATGACATTCAAGCGTATTTCTTGATAATTCGTATAATGTTTGATATAAGAGAACTATCCAATAAATTTCTGAAGATTCTGAGCGTGAGGAATTTTACATTGTTCGGTTTTACATTGATTTATTTTTTTAAAGCCATTTCACCAAATTATTACCATAAACATTGAAATTACCAACTTAATTTGTGCCATTGCTAAACAAACTCATTAATCAAAATTGTTTCGATGTTTTTATAGTATTCTTTATATATGCCTAATCGCATCAAAGTTTCCAATGCAATATGTTACCAGATTTCTTAGTGTTTATTGTCATCTCGATCATTTATTAATGCAAATTAACTGCAAGGTTAAGTTGCTTTTATAAAAAATTTTCTCATAGCTTAGAGGTTTATTTTTTTGGTTCCTTTCAAATAAATATGCTTTATTTTCTTAAATTTTTATTCAAACTTTTTTATTCAATCCATTCATCGATTTTTTATTACTTTTTCAGTACATTGTGCAATTACTAAAGGAAAATGAATTTTTGTCTGCTACTTTAGTAACAAATTTACTGGTAATCTGCAACACTAGTGACCTAAATATACAAGCGGAAGTTTACAAAGCATTATTTCTTTTAAATTTGTACGTAGACACTCAGTCAGCATTGGCAGATGGCACAAAAGTGTATGCTTCATTGTTTTATGCAATTGCGGTTTATTCGATCCAATTTTTGGAGCCATTTTCACTTTTTGATCAAATTTCAGTTTTAAATGATTCAATAAAATCATTAATTTTGGTAAGAAATAATAATAATATTCATATTATTCATAACATCTATGAATATTCAATAATATTCATCTTCAGATAATAATATCCATATTTTTTCATCACTTCGATTTATTCGATTTATAATCAACTTTTTATCTTAGTCCAATTCAAATCATATGTCAAATATTATATTTCATTCTATATTTTTTGCTGCAAACTCTTTTGAAATTATAGTTAAAAAAAGATAAAAATGGATTTCAAACAATTTCGAATGATGAATCTCCTTTTAAAAAAATTCATTCATTTTCAGTACGATGAAAAAATGCGATTTTCATTACTTTATTCGGTTTTATCGCAAACATATTTAATATCTCCTGCATTTCTATTGTGCATTCGTCATTTAAGCGTTGGTATGGATCTTAAAAAATTCATGAGAGATTTACAGTCTTCAAATATGTTCGAAGATAAGCCTTATGCGATTGAATCAGTTGCTGCAGCCATTCGTTATCAAGGTATTTTCTCTTTTAATTTCATGGTTTATTTAATATGCGCTGGTTGCTTTACACAATTATTACAGCTTATGATAGTATTAATCAAATGAAGGCTGATGCTTGCTATTGGGTTTGTTCTTTTGAAATGGAATCATCATTGCAAGATACTGTTTCATCGTTACGTTTGCTGTCTTCATTTATTAATGACGCTCAGTCTTTTTTTGATACATTTATCTTTACTTTCCGGTAAATTTTAGTTAAAATTATTTATAATCTTGTTTTTATATCGATTTTCTTGTCTATAAAAGGTTTTTATAGTAATAATGCTGATCAAAAAATGTTGCTTAATTGTTCATTATTGCGTTTTCTGCGTTTCTGTTGTCATGAAATTGAACAAATGGATGTATCAATGCGTGATATGATATTTTGTGGTTTAATTGCATCACTTGAGGTAATAAATTTTTTTCAAGGCAGCATTAATTAAAGTTTATCAAGGTTATATAATATATAATTGGGATTGAATAATCATAAATAATCTTAATAATAATTGCTAATAATCTTAATAGATAGGTATTTTTTTGCTTCTTTTTGTACTTTTTTAAACTCTGTTTCTGGTAGTTGTCATAATTGCATTATTTAATTATAAATTTATAAGTTTAATTTATAATTTATAATAAATTTGTAATTAATTTATAATTATAATAAATGAGTATTATATAATAATTATTAATTATAATTATAATAACATAATAATTATATTATGTGGAGGGATGAGTTTTTTTTTAAAGAAGTTGAAGATGTTTATTATAGGAATCACCTCATTTTTGTCTTAAGTATGCTTAATGATTTTAGAGCTGTGTTGAACATTCAAAACATTGCTCATCTAATATATTCGCCTTATATTCAACACTTGCTGTCGAATTGTTCATCGAATTTACCTCAGTCGTCAGTTTATTGCCGGATGTTTTCATTTCTAAAAAAGTATTTCTTTTAATACATTTTTAATACATATCTTTTAATACATTTTATGAGTTTTTAATTTGTGAAGAAATGGTTGTTGCAAGTTTTACCAGTTTATCGATTTTAGGAGTGGGAGGATCTTTTTCGGCAATCAGCTGAAGGGATGATTTTCAAGTGGTTCCTAGAATTACCTTATAATCATCAACACCCATCTTTATCGAACGCTCTTGCGCGTTCCATTTATTATTGCTCTGAAAATGCATTCGTTGTAACAGAACTGTCATCTATAACTGACGCTGAGCTAGATGCTATGCAGTAATCTTTATGATCATGTTTATTTTTCTTTTTTATTTGTTATTGTTTATTCTTCATGACTTTCTATTATCCGGTATTCTTCAGATATCCTGAAAGATTGCAATCTTTGTTGATTCCTACTTTATTCTTACTTGATTCAAATAGTGTCTATGTTCAATTTGCAGCTCTGAAAGTCCTCAAAAGGTTAATTTTTATCATTATTGGTCAAAATTATAATTTTTGGCGATATTATGTTTAGCAAGAGTTAAATCCCAAAAAAGTAGAGAATCATTATATTCATTCTGTTACATTTGATGAGTCAGATTCAATTGGAATTATGACTAAAGTGAAAAAAAAATCTCCCATAGCCCTTTGCCATTCATTTTTAATGATATTTTAATATAAATATTTCCTTTTTCTGAATACGGCCGATGCATCGCAGAACGGTGAACATAAAATGGCTCAGCGAGATGACGCTTTCATTTCGGAGCGCCAGGTTCCTACTCCCAACAGGAATAAACTTATCCTTCAAAAATCTGCATGGTGGTAAGTCACCTGCACTTCTATCTCCGAATATCTCCCTGGCAGATTTTGTCTGGTCAGACAAATCAGTTGAGTGAGCCAAACCAGCATTGGTGAGAGCTCATAGAAAAAAAATTTTTTAGTGTTCTGCCGGAAGTTTTTCGATTAGAAAACAAACAGTTAACTCAGCATGGAGTTCCGATTGACGAGGATATTGGCGAAACTGTGGAGTCTAACAAAGATTATGCTTTGCCATCCACTTTGAGTCGCATTATAGAACGAACGGATGATAACAGCGGATGTTATATTCCTCGGGCCCTTCTTGTGTGGGATGCGATCATCAGTTGTTTAACTGTGATGGATATGGCTGATCGTATTGTTTATTTTAATTGTGTCAGTCAACTGCTTAGCGTGATCATGCCTCGCTTATTTGGATTATGTCCATTGGATCCAGGTTAAATTTGATTTATAATTTAATGATTTTTCTAAGCTTTTATATTTTATCCGGCTTATTCATTCACTTTTTTTGAATATTATTCTATAAGCACTTATTTATTGATTTTGCATTTCATTATAGACTTTATAGATGTGGAGAATATGGTAAATGATGAAAAATTTTACAAGTGTCAGGATTTAGATAGTAATCTTTTATTCTCTCTCTATTTGAATGTTTATATTTTTTCAAAGGAATATAAAAATAAGTTTATGGAAAACTTTACCAATCAGCAATATGAAAAAATTAGAAGAAAAATTGAGAGTTTCAGGAACATCGACATCTCAATATTATTTTTCTTTATTCTATCGCACTACTGAAATTTTACCAGCTGCAGTCAGACAGTGGTATACCTCACTTCCGCGATCAGCTGCTGTGCCTTTTAGGAAGTCAGCCGATTTTTTTTTAAATCTTAGTAAATTTATCTTTCGACCATTTCTAGTTAGTCTGGCTTGTTGACTTATCGGACCAGTTATATTCCGCCATGAGGTCACTCAGAGATATAAACACAAGTTGACAGAAATATGTAGATTTTTGAAAGCAAATTTATTCTTATTGTAAGATACTAACATTCATATTCCAAAATAAGAGTGAAAACTCATTAAGCCGTTCCAATCAGTAAATTCATCTCATCCATATTTTATCTAAGTTTTTTCAGTTACACTGTCAAATATATCAGTGCCCTCATCTGGAAAATGGAGAGGCGATTAGTTCGGACGCAGCAACTGCCTTCTGTTCTCAAAGTATTGTTTAATATTGACATTTTTAAAAATTTTTCTTTTGATTTTGACAAAAAGTGACATAAAATTTTGCCATATGTTTTTAAACGCTTTATAGATACAAGTTCTTGGCGGTGCAAGACAGATTCATGCGGAGTATGAACTGGATGATGTAAAAATGCGGTTAAAAATAGAATTTCCTAGTGATTACCCTCTTAGTGTGCCCAGAATTGATTGTGAAAATGTTATCGATCGTCGTGATACCAAAAGAAAATGGCTTATGCAGTTGACAATTTTTTTATCGCACCAAGTAAGAGTTTAAAACATTTCTAAAGTGGGATTAGCGAAACAATTGGGTTTAAATTCCAATATAATATAATTGAGATATATAATCTAAATTTGGCTATGGAATTATGATTTTTTTCCCTCACCATGACTGGTTATACTCGCTCCGCTGATTTGTCGCACTAGACAAATATGCTAGTCCCTAGGCGATAGAAGTGGAAGTGAGTCGTCAGCATCACCTGGATTTTTACTCCTGTAGAGAATAGAACCTCAGCATCGAATTCTAGTCCGCAGCAGTCCATTGAGCTATTCCACCCAGTGCGATTTATTATTTTATATTTAAGAATGGTACGATTGCGGAGGCTCTAAAAATGTGGCTAATTAATATTGAGAAACGTCTAGCGGGCGTTGAAGATTGTATGATATGTATGGTAACTATACATGCTGCGACTTATGAATTGCCTCGCGTTCGTTGTAAGCAGTGCAAAAAACGGTTCCATTACAGCTGTATAGTAAGTTCATTATTACCGTAAAGCTTCAAAGTCTCCTTAAATGCTTCATCTTTGTGATTGCTTTAAACAGCAAAAAATTTCTTTTTTAGCATAAATGGTTCGATACGAGTGGCCGAACTAGCTGTCCTCTTTGTCGAGCCGATTTTATCACAAAACCGTTTAATAAAGTATATGAAACGTGATCTCACTTATTGGATGTGATCCGATTCTTTATGTAATAAAAAATGAATAAATTCTTTCTTTGAGATTGCCGTCCACTGCATATTATTCTTAAGTGGTGAAATGAAGTCAATTGTATTTCCTTAATGAATCATTTTACTTTATTCTTTAACCACAGCATGGATCACATATTCATTTATATTATTTAAAGAATAGGATTATTTTATGTTTAGTAATAAATCAGCGATTTTTGAGGGTATTCCATGTGCTTTACAAACTTTAAATGTTGCTGGCAAAAATTTTTTTACTAATCGGCATAATTTAGTTTGGAAAACGGAAAGTGAGCATGTTTATGGAATTTATGGATTAACAATAAATTTGCAATAAATACCATCGAAGATACTACTAATATTTAAAAATTTGGTGGCTTATATTTTCGGATTTAGGCAAATTATATTAAATGGCGAATCAACATCCATACGTTGAACTCACGCGTATTGAAAAATTTTCTGCATGTCATCGACTTCATAATAACTTGTTAACTGCGAAAGAAAACAAAGACATATACGGGAAATGCAATAATCCGAACGGTCATGGCCATAACTACACATGGGAAATTACATTACGTGGACCAATCGATCCTCGAACAGGAATGGTATATGAAAAGCATTGATTAAATTATTCATTACTCCTCTCTGTGGTTAGCATTCGTGCTCATGAAAATCCCCTTGAGAAATGAAATTATAATTCAGATAAGTTTCAGCAAAATGCTAAATGTACCAAGTTTTAAACCAAAATTAAAAATTAATTTTATTTTGGCTAACGTTGATAATATATTCAATTGAATTCGCTTATTTATATTTACTTATTTATTCGCTTATTTATAACTTTTCAAGAACTTCAGGTTTATAATTTATCTGAACTTAAAAACGAAATGAATGAGGTGCTCGATTTAGTGGATCACAAGAATTTGGATCTTGATGTGCCATATTTCACCGATAACGTTAGTACAACTGAAAATTTAGTTGTTTATCTATGGAGTGAATTGAAATGTCGGATGAAAAATCCATCTCTACTCTACAAATCCGTTCTCCATGAAACCGATAAAAATATTTTCGCGTATCAAGGATAACACTTTCCATTCCACTCTATTCATTTTCATTTCTTAAAATTATCTTTGAATGTCTTAAAATCTTAGTCCATAGATTTTCTAACGTTTGGAACAGTACTCATTTGCTTCCTATGGCAATGCCATTCATTCTTTAAATAAACTAGTAAAATTGTGGTGGAAAATTCAAAAAACAAATGAAATGTCGCTTCATTCATAATTTCAAATGAAAACAAAAGTTACCAAAAGTTATTTTTGACAGAATTTTTATAAACTTATTTTTCCAAGAAAAGCAAAAAAAAATGGAAAAACCGTAATTATTATTAGCATAACACAGAAATGATTAACATAAATGATTAAATAAATGATCAATAAAACTGATTTAAAAAATAAACAATCAGAGTTGGTACAACTTGGAAAATGAACGTATTTCGACATGTATATATCTAATCGAATTTTTTTTTTCATTAGTGGTTGAGCCATTATTCTACCATTATTCTCGATTTGTTGATAAAACGACTGAAAAAGTTATCATATTGTCTTTTTAATTCAAAATATTAAGTCATAAAAGACTGAAATCCGGATAGGAACTAAAGAAGTGACTGTGTGGTGGAAGGGTTAAATGATTTTCAAATGGCATCAGTATCTTCCAGTGCGCATGGTGTCTTCAGGATGGTGGGTGGACCAAATATACCAGTCAAAGGGAAAACAATTAGAGCGTCATAAGTCATGAACTAAAATAACTGCTCAAAATCTGATGAAATCGAATTATCGAATTAATCTGATGATATCAGTTGGCCTTGTATATAAAATAATGCGATGGTGTTTCACAGATTATTATCAGAGGCATCAGAGGCATTTTACCAAAATAATTAGTGCAAATCTGTGTGTACGAGAAACAGACTCATCCTTTCGAACTACCATACATGACTATTTTTTCCCTTGTGATATTCATCTAAGCGAAGGAACAAAATACGGACATCACTTCCAGGCTCAAGAGATATGCAAGTAAAAATCTCTAATACGCTGATGACTAAATCCCATTTGCTAAAAAAAAGAATGAATTATGAAGAATTATAACAAATACTGAACCATCTACCTACAATTGTAGATAAATTTGAACTCTATATCAATATAAAAAAAGTGAGTTTCTTTGTCAAAATAGATTCTGATAAAAAACCTAACTCATAAATAAATTGCCAGTTGAAGTGCCAAGTTTTAAATAACTCTTGGCAAAACTGCTATGGAATAGCTGAGAAATTACGACTATAATATACACAATCCTACCACATAGCTGCACAACATGGCCACTGAGAGTGGAAAAAAAATCAAGAACCTAATTTTGACTAATCTTACTTAGATCATCCCTTATATCATATGACTGCATTCATCTTCGCAATATTGTTTGCATCAACCATATTATAACCGCGCTGATTAGGCAATATCTTGATACAAGCATTCTAATGGAAAAAAAGCGAAGGCCCAATTAAAAGCTGGATTAATACGATTAGAATTCAAACTTAGAAGCCGCCAAGCGATATATAGGCTTTGGTGATGGAAAAAAGAGTAGGTTCTGGTACTTCCACACAGGATCGAGTCAAGAGGCTTGGAAACGTTTAACCCTCGTAGCTCTTAGTGATAACAAATTACTTTAAATATTATCATATCTAACCTATGACATGAAGAAAAAAATTTTTAAAAAAATAAGAATAAGAAATCACTAATATGTAACCTAGGTCAATCTGCCAACGGTTGTTTCTTGATTATAATATCTTCCACGGTCCTATAAAAAAGAAGATAAAATTAAGTTACATAATAAGACTGTTAAGAGTGAAAAACGGCGCAACTACCCGCATTTGAACCTCTCCTTTTTGGCTAAAAACTGATAAGAGCTGCTGCATCAAAATGATTGCGAAATCTACATTTGATCAGTATCAGTCCCGTCATTTCTGCAGTGACTTTATACTAAATTTGATAAATAGATGACAATTTGCAAGATAAAATCGAGTCTTTTGATGAGTAAACCTCAATAAAAGAATGGATAGTGCTGAGGACCCGTCGTATAATGCTCAACAATCTGAAACAACTAACTTTCTTCCAGCTCGTATTCGCTTAGAAAACCGTTGACCTGTAAACCGTAAGTGATAAGAAATTATTTTAAATATTAACAATGACAATTGGTATTATTTTATATCTTTCAATATACGAAAAAAAACCTGATTCACTTTTTGAGATAACAGAACTTTGGGTATCAGGCGTCGTAGAACACACCATCACTATAACAAGAAAAAAAATTGGATGAACCGGATTTGTAGCTAATAAATTCTATTTTCTACTTTGGATCTGCCCTATGATAGTTGAAGATCTCATATTTAAATAAATTATCTTGCAAGGAGCAAACCTGCTGTTGATGATTCTATCAAATTTTCAGGTTTTAACTGCTTTTTTTTACTTCTAGGAGTACGAGCACTTTCTGCAAAATTATTTGTTAATATAAAAGGAAATAAATAACAAAAAAATGCTGATTATATTATTGCTAAAACAACCTGATTTTGGAGACTGATTTTTTCTCGAAAGACTTTTTCTGTGTGTTGCCTTTGGGCTTAATAAATCTGAAAAAAAAATTAATAGTCTTTGGGCTCAATAAATCTGAAAAAAAATTAATATTTTAAATAGACAGATACACAATATCATGTCCAATAAATACAAAAATTGCCAATAAAGATTTTAAAAAAGAAAAACTTAAAATAAACTTAAAATTAAAAACCTTTATTAGCCGCCAACTGATTTTTCACGCGTTTGGTTTTAGGAGTTTCATCACCTGAAAAGCAAAAAATGAAACAAATGTTTAGCAATGACGAAAAAAAAATATATATATATATATATGTAAATGTTAATATATCCAAATTTATTCCCAAACTTATTCAAATAAGTAGCAACCAAACAATAAACAATCAAATGTCTGGCATTTACGAGAGAGCCATATCATGAATAGAAAGCATAAGTGAGTCATCCAACCAAAACTACTTGCACTTTTTAATAATTCACTCTTGCTAGAAGTAAAAACCGATTAATGCAGCTCTAAGTGATAATTCAAATTGCAATCAACTGGCTATACTTATTGACTGCTCCTTACTGTAATAAATTCAAAAGATTTTATGCTTCTCTAATATCCTTTCTCACTCAAAAATCAGATAATGACAATATCTCATTTAAAAATTTAAATAAATCAAGAATCAAAACCAACTTCGAGCAGAAATAGCGCGTTTTCGTTGAGAAACGACTAAAAGTTCAAGAAGCAATTATTTTTTGAGAAAAATGTTTGTAAATATTTTGTAAAAACAAATAAAAACCCACTATTTTCGAAGAAGAAAAATTCTTTAAAAATGAAAATGCAAAATCAAAATATTAAAAGTCAAAAAATTTAAAAAATACTATGTATTAAATTTTTAACTGAATGTAATCAAATTATGAAATGAACAATAAAGTAAAATAAAAGGTAATATGAAAGAGATATGAAAAAAAGTGAAAAGTAACCGTAAGGATGCTCACTAATCTTCACTACCCACCACAGGAGTTGGTTGACATATATTTCGCTACTTGTTAAAATCCTCTCTGATGGATGACGTCAAAAGCGAAGAGGGCCAATCAAAATAGGACTAATACAATCAGAAAAGATTTTGGACACATAGGTGGACTAGCGTTGACGATGGAAAAAAGAAAGACTTCTATTGTCAGCGATAGCGTCGGACCAAACAGCTTGGAGACATCTCACACGTACAGCCAGAGGAGCTAGCTTAATCAATAATGGTTGTTAAAAGAAGATGCTGACTTAGATTAAAAAAAGTACGACAAAAAAAGTAATGAAGAATCACCGGATGCAGAAGATTGCTTTGATGTCGGAGATCGATTCTCTATTGATGGCAGCGATTCAGATCCACCTAAAATGATTAGAAGATGTATCCTAACAAAGCAAAAACGAAAAAAATTTTGAAAAATGTCCTTTACTTTCTTTTAATATTAAAACAAAGTAATTACTTGGCGAATGAACATCCAATGTTGATTTTCCTTTAGTTTTACGAGTAGTTGTTGCGGACTTTCGATTACAAGCTCGATGTCGCTTATGATCTGTTGGCAACTTCGCTTCAACTTTAATGAATGAAGAGGTATCCAATTTTTTTCGCTTGGAGCATGGAACTAAGATAATTTATTTAAGATTTTGGCACAGTTAATAAAAATTTTCGTCTGTTGATTATTACAACAAAAAACTAAATAAAACAAAACAAAAAATAAAACAAAAAACTCAACATAAAAGATTGAAAAAATAAAACTTTACCTGAAGGAACAGAAGATGCTCGCCTAAACGTCGTAATTTCTACTGTATTATCAGAACCAGCAGATACATTCCTTGGCATCGACGATGCGCGTTTTCCAATATTCACAGAAGAACAATCATCTAAAAAGGAAAAAGCACAAAGCGTTTTTTTGCTCCTAAACTATTTTTTCTCGAGGCTTCACTACTTGTGATAACTTCACAATAAATCAACCTTTTTTAAATAATTCCTTTCGATATACCAAAAAATCAGCTGTTCCTGATCTGCAAAAATAAAGCATTAAGATCGAGCATATAAACATTTCTACCTATCTTCCATCTTATTCATGTGTGTGGTGATTAATAGATTAAAACTTTTATTTCAGTAATAGAATGAAAATTTCATCCGAAAGAGAGAGAAATAAGAGAAAAAGTTGAATCTTTTAGGAAAAAAATAAAATGACATACTTTGAAGATTCCGAAAGATTTCTTAATCGTTGAGAACGACGCAAAGGCTCCACTGTTTCAGAAAAAAATTGCTGAAACCATTTAAAATTAAAAACACATTAAAACTAATTTCAACTATAGAGATAAAAATAATCACGACTAAAAATGATTCCAATCTAAATCTAAAATCTCCAACATCAAAAAACCAAAAAGATCGAGAAAAAAAATTACCGAATTCTGTAGGTTTTTCAATATCGATTTGTCCTCTGCAAATGCAAACAACTTCATACATTAAAAATTTTATTCTTGAAAATTCAAAATAAGAAATTCAAAAGAGAATTTTCGTGCATATTTAGCATTAAAAAATTTGTAAAAAAAAAAGGAAAAAAATTTTTCGATGTTCAATTTTTAGATGACGAATGCGTTAAAATTGTGTTAATGAACAATACTAATAATTAATAAATTTACCCTCAAATGCTTCAGCCTCAGGATCACTTTGATATTCTATAGCAGATTGTATTCCGCTAACATTGGAATCACGTGTTTTTTGTAAATTTCCTTCAAACATATTTGCCTTTGATGGGCTATAAATATCTTCCGAAAATTTTGAGACTTCAGAAATAAAAGCCACATTTTTTGCTGCTGTTATATTTGATATTTGAAAACCATCTCCCGCAGGACCCACAATGTGGCCATAATCTCCTTCAGTTAGAAAATCCAATTCATCTTGTTCTTCGAGAGAACGTTCAACCACCGTATCTCCATAAATGCTTGGAGTACTATAATTTCCGGAATACTTTTCCTGAGTTTTTTTAATTTGCTTTTGAACATATACTTCTTCCTCAAGTTGTGTTTGATCATCAAGGGGCTCTTCTTGTTCCTCATATGATCTTAAAATCAGTCCTTCTGATGGCTTCTCACGTTGCTTGAATCTCCCTTCATTAACATCAAAACTGTGGTCCAAGTCCTTGAATGAGCCAAGTATGGATGAAAACTCAACCTGAAAAAAATTTAAATATTTTTACAAAAGCAAAAAATAAATATATTAGTAAGGCCAAGGCTCGAATGAAAGAATGTCACAGGAATTTAACGAATACAAAAAAATGAAAATGTACAAATTGAAAAAAAGGAAGAATTATGATTTGAAGGGATGTTTAGGATGAGAATGAAATGGGGTTTGCAACTGGTGGATATAACCAGTGAAATGTTAAGGGCGAGATTTACAAAATGAATAATTGAATAACACTGGCTTCAGTTTATTCTTTGTCTTAAAAGGATTAAAAAAAATTCACAAGATTTGAGTCTGAGATGGTACCAAAGGGGTGCACAGTACAATCTCAGAAAAAATAAAAAACCGCAACTTGCAGCCTCCGAATCGCCTTTTTCTGCTACATAATTAGATTAATCTATCTAAATTTATTAATAATTATCCCCAAACCTTGTCTAAAATCTGGAAATTACACGGAACCAAAAACAATCAAACATTTTTACATCCCTCATGGATACAATTATTTTTGTGCAACACCATAAAATATAAAATATTATCAATAGAATCGCAACATTCCGTAATATGATCAAAACTTATCTGTTCTGAACGTGAGGTAGTTTCGTGCTCAACACTGAAGGTAGCAACATTTGGCCGCAATTTTAAATCAGAATTTGAAATGGGTCTGCAATATATTCACATTCATAATAATTTAATGAATGATTTTAATTTACTGTTCCACTGGTCGTAAAAGTGAATATAACTATTATAGCATAAATAATAATCATTATTTAGAAAAACCATATACACCAAATAACAATCTAAAATTAAATAAAAAAATAAACCAATTCAGAACATTACTTTTCTCTATTTGCCAACTCAAATCGCAAGCGACGTGCAATATTTAGTGTTGCATCTAAATAGAATATAATGTAAAACAAGTGAGGAGAATCAAAGCATGATTTTTATTAAATATACCAATTTTTTTATAAGTATAACCTGGATTCATTTTTTTCTTTGCAGATTTCAGGATGGAATGAGGAGGTGATCTAGGAGAATATAAGGCACGAGATGAATCGCCGCCTGCTCTACTGGCCGAAGTTGGTGTGAGAAGTCGCTGAACGTTATCAAGTTTTTCTTTAGACAGTAACCTCCAAAAATTCAATTAATATTAGAATAATAATGGATTTCAAAGTTCGATTCAGAAATTCGTTTCAATTAAATAAATTAAAACAATTTAAATGGACTATACAAATCGAAAATTTTTAAAATTTATTAAATGCCTTTAGATGATTGAAGTAATTCATGTAAATATAATAGAAAATGCAAATTTAAAAATTAAAAGAGTTAAACTTTTTCTTGTTGATTTACCAGCAATTCCAGAAGCAGTGAATCTATCCTCTCGTAAGCACGGAGCATTGGCACAAAGCCAAACACTTTTAAAACTATCTATCAGCTGATATCAGTTTGGAACCAAAAAAAAGTAATACATCACAAATAGTCATTTGATAAATTGTCCTTTGAACCTACTTTTCGAAAAGTGTAGAATGATTTTCGCCGCAAGGGACCGTATCGAATGGTTGAACCAGACTTTCATCAACTTCATCATCAATCTGAATGTCTGTCGAGACTAGGGGACTATCCCTTTGATCATTTAATGGACTTTCGCAAATTTCTGAGCTAAAAATTATCATTATTTCACGCTGTATACAATCAAATATCGAATAATGGAATGAAACGAATAAAAATTGCATTTACCAATAATCTCTTAAAGATTGTGAAGTAGATCTCGCAACTTGTTCATCCGAATCTAAAAAATGGTATTGCATAAAATTTTATTTTTAGCGAAGAGAATATTCCATTTATAAATTTCGAAGGTAACCACTATGAAAAACATGAATACTCACTCCTTCTAGTGTGGTCTCCTATCCTAATGAAGATTGTAAATGAAGTAATATTAATGACAGCCAACATCTTAATAAGAATTTACTACTCGTGTATTTTCAAACGATGTTTCAGGCCTTCAGGCCTTCTTATACTTAGTCAACATCTCTTTAACTTCATCCTCCTCCGAAACCTATTATCTTCCTCAAAACCCATAACAGTCTCATCGCACCTACTGAAACTGTGTTATGCAAACTGTGTTAACCTATTCAGAGAAGATCGTTCGTTGACAAAATCGTGCTTTGTATTGCCTGAACAATTCCCTTATACTTCATTCCTTAATGCCTCTTCAAACCTAACTTTCTGATTCTTTATACTCTCCTAAAACCACCTTACAACCTTTTCCCTTAGCACCATTGAAACTATGCCACCTCCTCTAATATGCTCTTTCAAACATCATTGTACCTCTTCTAGACAATAAAACGAGTTAGACTTTCTTAATATCCTCACAAGCACTCTCCCTGCTCCTGTTCACATCTTGCAGAAACCACTTTAACTTTGCCATCTCACTTCATATATTCGCAAATTCCGTCATATCCCCATTTAAATTCTCAGAATTCTTAAATTCGGGCAAATAAGTGAGTTTTTCCTTTTCTATTAATTCCGAAAATCAAACTAAAACTGCAGGCCAAGAGATTAAATTTTTCTCTTTTTTCTCAATATTGATATACGATTCTTTAATATGGAATATTGTAAATTTGAAATACTTCAAAACAGAAAATTACTCACTATTTTGATCCTTCATACTCCTCTCTGTGAAAGAAGAACGTAAACATTTCGGCATATTGGAAATAATGCAAGTCGTCCAAGCGTCACACTTTCTACGCCATCCACTATCATTCGCTATTTTTTCCGGCTTCAAGATAAGAAATTATAAATAAGAAAAAAAAGAAATGTAATAAATGAATGAGCCCTAGAGAATTTAATAAAATTAAATATTATAAGGCAAAAGCAAAAAATATTGTAAAAAGGTAAAATCATTCAAAATTCGATGAACGTAATGAATCATTTTCCACTGGAATTTATAGAAATAAGAGAAAAAAAGTCTTCCATATAATATACCAATATGTCAGCCAAAATGGAGAAAATAATGGAGAAACGCTGCAATAATGGCTTTCAAATTTATAGATTCCGTGGAGAACGAAAAATTTTTTTATCACGATCAACATTTAGATTACCATCACCACTGATTATCATTAATTATATAATCATTATACTCTTGGAAAATAAAAAAACATTTACAACTAATCAAATATATCTATTCTAACAGCCCTTACCAAGGTAAGGCTTCTAAATCGCCCGATTCAATTCCATGCGCTACATTCACTTCTAACCCTCCGCCTTTATTTCCACCATATATCGCTGGGCCAAATATATTCAGAATCTCTCCTATGTATATCAATCATGACTGGGCTTCCTTGTTTTTCATGTGAAGTTTGGCATGAGATATAAGTCAATCCTTATGATGAATGGCGAAGAACATATTGATGCATGTGGTATCGGAGCAAAGATGGAAGGTGAAGGTGTATGCAATCTTGTAAGGGTTTACCCACAAAGCCCTTATGCAAACACGGTCAAAGGTGGACAACCAGCCTAGACGGCCTCCTAATATCATTAATTCTCATGTTTTTCGCAGTCAGATAGGACGAACATATGTTATAGTCAGACAAATAAGAACTTTCGTTTTGGGACTACGACTACATAATGGTTTCGCAAGATGAAAGGAAGCACTTCCAGCTGCGGCGCTAAATTCCATCTAATATATAAAGTGGGGAAACTTACTAAAATTGATGATTCACCAGCATCTAGTATAAGATAGAAAAAATTTTGTATTATCTTAAATTTTGTTTACATTGATTTAAAGGCCAATTTCCGCTGCTGTTTTCGATATTACCCCATCCAACTTTTGCCGTAATTTTTCCTCACTGAAAAGGACTACATCATTAGCGCATTTAAAGCGTGTGATGCTCTAGACTGATTTGTATATATTCTTGAGTACCACCAACCGGTATCCATAATCTACTGCTAAAAATTTTGGAAAAGAGGATACAACCCTGATACACATTAATTCGTAATTAATTGGGTCTGCTCCCCATACATGTAGACTTTTAGACTTATAGACTTACGCTAGCGTACAATAATAAAATACTATATGTTTATATTATTTTTCTCTGAGAATATCATTAGCGTACAATAATAAAATACTATGATGTTTACATTATTTTTCTCTGAGAGTAGTATCATCGTGCTGTAAGAATTTCCGGACTGCAGCCATGTAAAATGAATTGAAAAGAGCGGCAAAACCAAAAAAACAAAATTGACTGCCGATCTGAAACGGCAATCGCGATTCGACGTGATCAGAGGTAGTCGAATCTTTTTGGATATGTTTTTCACGACTCCATTTCTTACTGAATCCAAATCAAGGATTTGGAACGGACTTACAAGTGGACTTTGGATAAATTATGAAGTTTATCGCTTGCCGCATTCTGATGTTCAATTCAGTCACGTTTTATCATAACGAATTGACTGATATTCGTCCACTTTTTTAAGTAGAAGTACAAATGCAACAATTTTCTCAGTTCAAGAACTAGCAGTGCTACATTTACTATTCACCTTTACCTCATCTAGCCCATATATTCATCGCATTGTACGGAATTTTTATGCAATTTTTTTTTGAATTTTATCTTTATTTTTTGTTTATATTACCATCGAAATTATACAGAACTATTTTATAAAATTACATTTTTATGAAATAAAAGTGTAAAATGAAAGGAAGGGTAATACTAATGAATAAATTATTCATAGGTTATTAATTAAAAACCGAGTAACTTACAACCGCTCAAGATCCCTGCATTTTTCTTAATATCCAAAAATACTCATCTGATTTTAAAAAAATGAAATAAGAGAAAAAACAATGAGAAAGGCCTCAACAAAACAGTTTTGATCGCAAACAAACGAATATTTTTTTGAAATTCGTAAAGTGTTATAAATTTTAAAATTGAAAACCACTAATTTCAACAAATCTGATATTTATTAACTAATTAATCACTCTATAAGAAGAAAAAACGTACCATAAGCAAAAGATCAAAATATTTATTTAGTATGCAATATTGGTTCCATAAAGTTTTCCCATCTTCCTGTTCCAATATTTCATCTATAAAAAATCATAATTTCCACTTTTTTATCATTTTATGTTTTTTTTTAAAGCAAATATTAGGAAAACGTTTCTTAATATGAATTAAAATGAATAATGAAAAACTAATCACCACGAATAACTTTGATATTTTTGGAATCAACACATAGTTTGCGATCTATAAAGGGTTGTTCGTGCTGAATAGTTTCCTTTTTAATCACCTATAATGGAAAAAAATCAAAATGGATGGACACACAATTGAAAACAAATGTAATAAATAAAAAATATGAAATATAGATGAATGCACCACAATCCATCAAAATTCAAGAATGCGGAGCAAAAATTCAAGTATTTAACCGAGCCAATTAAAGATGAGAAGACCACATCACCCTCCGCAAATATACAAATAAACAATGTTAATACTTAACCCTTTAATGGGCCATTTGCTTATAGCGTTTTGTCTTTTACAATCGGTCATAATCCCTTTACACTCCTAAAATTCTCTTTAATATCTCGTTAAACTATACCATATTCCACTTAATGATGCTAATACATAAAATTTCTTTAATAGATGAACCTGGCCAGATAATCTAACACAGTGCCAAAATTCAAATTTGAAAAATCATTATAATGCCTATCAAATTTCGATCTGCCATGTTTAAATATTACCTAAAACCTGTTTATTGAAAATTAAAATATCCTAACATATTTTTCAAAAACCTCCAAAGCTTTATTCTTGCCTTAATCCATTAACAAACTCATTTTTAATTTCTTTCAATCGCTTTTACTCTCTTAAATTTAGTTGTATAATTTATAAATTTATCCACCATTCTTCGATACTACAATTCTGCCACAGCTAAGTTTTATTGCTTAAAAAATTGCAAAACAAACATTTCGTGACAAGCCATTGATATTTTCTGATACAATCTGCCTTAAAATCCTCTAAGGCCTAATCGTATTCCATAAGCACCCTCTCAAAGCTCACCACATCCCATCATCCTTTTTAGTAATTCCATAATAGTTTCGCTTAAGATTCCGATGCATTTTCATAAACGATTCGCAAGGCCCTTTTATTTCTCGCTGATTTTCCCCATTAACAACCTTCCATACTCTGGCGTACTCTTCGACCACTTTTTATTCGTCTAGCACGGTTGTAGAGGATATCGAAGGATATTGCAGAAATAGAAAATGCTGAAGCAGAATTATGGAGATTTTCGCGATCGTGAGAAAAAGCATCGGATTCCGAAGGGATGTTCAAAGCTTGAAGACGATTTTGCTCGTTGGTTCAACATATATAACAAATTATAAATCATTTTTCTGCCTTACAAATATATATGCTTTTCAAATGTGTTCTGCAATAATCTTCAGAATTCAAAAAAATGACAAAAAAGTCTAAATATTTTTCTGATAAAAAACCATATTTACCTGCTGACCATTATCCATTTTCCATTCACTATATATTTCATTTTTTAACGCTATATTTTCATTGAAAAACAAACGTGCAAATTGATTGTACAGTTCATTTGACTGAAAATGCTAAATTTTCATAAAAATATAATTTGTTAAAACTTGTAGATAGGATTAATTAGTGGAAAAAAAGAACCTTTTCAGAACAATATCCGTAATCGAGAAGATAATATCCAACAAGTTTATATTTCATAGCATCATTTAATTTCATTAAAAGCATATATGATGCTAAATCCTAAAGTGAATAAACCAGATTTTTTCCAAGTTATATCTTTTTTATGAAAAAATATGCAGAGTTTTTTAAAATCGAAATGTCCTCTTTACCATTTTTTATTGGAAATTTTCATTTATTTCCATAAACTAAAGATGTGTAAAAATTTGAAATTTCAATGAATTACAATAAAATAATGAAGATCCCCAGCACTAATCAGCACTAATTTATCAACAAAATCGTACCAAAAGAGTATGTGATGGGAGCCACTGGGTCAACATATCATCCGAGCATGATGAAGATTCATCATCGATACGAAGTAAAAGCGAGCGCAGCCACACCCTTAAGAACAAAAAACGGAACAAAATAAGAATTGATTTAAACTGCTTCTAATCTCACAAATAGCGCAAAACAATGTTATATGGAATTAATTCTCAAAAAAATGAAAAAAAAACTTGTTTGAATTCTCCTTTTCCATAATTCAACCAAAAAATTTTGCAAATACGATGAAAAAATAACCTGTATGACGAAGATAAATCTAATGAACGTTCGGCTGCAAATTCTTGCATTTTTTTATATATGCTGATAGTAGATTCCTTTTCAGGAATTAATTTATAATCAAGAAAAAATAGCAATAACTTTGAATAAAGGTACAGATTTCTCGAAGCCATCCTTTTATGCGCCAAAGACGCAATTTCGTAGCCTTAAACACTCCTTTATATGGTGCGAAAAACCATTTAATCGATTTAAATTTTACAACTAATCGTTTTAATTAAATGATTAAAATCTTTGATACAAGCATTTTGAAATGTTGGAATCTAAAATCTTACGATCGCTGCTTTTCTCCAATAAATCAGTATATAAACTACAAGCATTAAAAAATAAACGAGATATGCTTCTCATCCAGGACAATCCATTTTTCGAAAAATCAAATGAAGTACGATCAAATATTGGCTTCACTATAAGTTAAGATCACTAAATTACTTAAAATCTCAATTTTGATAGCTCGTCATTCAAAATAAATCAATAAATCAAAATCTTGAATTTTTTCTTCAATTTTATATACCGCATTCAAAATCGAAAAATCCACTTCATTTAGAAATAAGAATAAAGAAATATTGTAAATGTTATAAATAACGCAAATTATTCATCATTATTTTACAACTGTTTCTAGAAACATCAAGCAAAATTGTCGCTTTCCATAAATCTAACCTAGTTCATCCAACCTGCTCTTGGCATCCTCAATTTCCTCCCATAAACATTTTCCGAAAAGATTTAATAAATCATGCTCTTTAGAATAATTGATCCAATTTTTAATACTGACAATTAAACCGTGATATAAGAGAGCCGATAAAATATTGATGAAATCTGCCTGAAATATATTAAAATTTTATCAAATAAACAAGCCATGCCATGCTTATTCGTTCAAAGAAAAGTTTAATTTTAAAAATTACTTCAGAAAGATCAGACACAACCCGAAATGGATTGACGAGACCAACTGCTGAAATCCATAATGCGATATATTTACGATTTTTGCCTAAGCAGACTTCCAGATTCAATTCAATAAAGTTCAATAACTGAAAATAATAAATAATAAAATAAAACATTAAGCCAATGTAATTTATAGTTATAATTATAATTTGTATTTATTTGTATTTGTACTCAGTTATTTATAATTTATACTCAGTTATTTATAATTTGTAAAAAACTCGTATTTAAAAGTTTAAAAACAAGTACAAAAAGACCTCTTGTTGTATGCTTGGTATGTTAAGGTAACATTCATTTGTTTCGGTAAAAGTGCATATATCAAAAGAAATAACTGAGCAGTAGTGAAGAACATCACTACTATCTTTCCATGGGCTTTCGTAGCGATGAATCGAATTAGGAGATACCATAATATCCTTCAATTATCATTACCTTTTATGATATGACATAATCATTTATTTCATTCACATATGCAAAAATTTTTTATGAATTTATGAAAAAATTTAAAAGATCAAAAATAATTCTCAAAATTAGCTATGCTGATCTCTTTTAAAAACTATTCTAATTGAAAATTTTAGTTGAAAAGATTTACAAATGGCGATCCTTCATGAAGATCGTTCGATTTCCATAAAACAAATCTCGACAGAAATGCATTTTGATGTGCAATAGTACTATCGTAAAAAACTTCATTTACGAGACGTTTATAATAGAAGGCATTTAAATCAAAAACTACGCCCTTAAAAAATATTAAATATTAAATAAGAAATATGGGAAGAAACTAAAAAATAAAAGATAAATTTTAATAAAAACTTATAAATATAAATATATATGATAAAATGACCGTTCACGTTCATTTTATTATCTTTTTGGCAACCAATGAAAATGACCAACTACTTTACTTATCTAGAATATAACTAAGAACCAATTACTTTAAAAATTTTCTGGAATATATAACTAGCAAAAAAATATTTTTAAAGTTTTTGCGACAAAAAAGTGGCGAGTTTTAGAATCTTGACGAAGAAAAAGTTCATAGTAATGCAATGAAGTACCAATACAAATATATTTGCCAGTGCAAAATTCAATAGATTTTTATAAAATAAATAGCATTTAGGAGAAAAGCATTAACTATTAATCAGTGTCTAATGGTCATTTGTCACCACCCTCTTATATCTCCCACCAATGGACTTCGTTGCTATATATCTCTTTTCGCCGTACGAATCCCACACCAGTGATTTATTTCATCTATCCCACATGTATAATTTTATTTCTTGCACCCCATATTATTCTACTGGTTTATTAATTTTTCAAAAACAATTGAGCATTGCTGCTATCTGTAAACATAAACATTCCAGAAGATGTAACTATTTCTTTATTTACAGCGTCAAACACTAAATAAAAAAGAATCAGACTGGATAAAATCATGTGGATACCAATAAAAGAAATGAGAATAATAGTGAAGAATGAAATTAAGAATGCAGAGAATTAATATGCAAATGCAGAGACAGTTGCACTTTTCCATCGAAGGACTGAAAATTGCGACTTTAAATTTGAAAGACTTTATATTTACTGTGAATAAATCTCCTTTTAAAAATAGAGGAAATAAAAATAAGAAATTGTAGAACAAGATATTAATCCAACAAACAAGTTTGCATATTAATTCTAGCAGCGCTAATTTTCAAGAATAAATCGCAATACTTTTACAATTCGAGTATAACCAAATAAAGCCTTGTAAGTGAAAATCAAAATTTTTTTATTCTTCTGACCTTATGTGAATTGAGATTATATTTACTCGGTAGAGATTTACAATCAGTTTAAATTTATAATCGATATAGGAATCAGGGCTTAGGAGGCATAAAAAATTTCTGCAATTCAACCAATTTGAAAAACAAACTATGCTGTATTCCAGAAATAAATGATCGAATACGTGCTAAGTGAAGAAACAAAGAAACTATTTGACTGGTTTCTGAGGATTCTTATGGTCTATTTTAACCTGAAGGTAAGATACTGTCTTCTAAAGATACTTTAAGCTCAAGGTTAAAATGAGTGTTGAGTGTTCTTTTAATAGATTATCAGTCAAATGATTGAGCAGACCATCTCCTATTGTTGCCTGTAAATTGTTTAATAATTGTATACCTTGTTTAGTGATAGAATCTTCACAGACTTTTTTAGGTGTCACAGTTAATCTAAATTTGAAATCTATAAATGGTGATATAATATTACTAATACTAATATAATATAATACAGTACTGATTAGTACGATCATCAAGTGTAAAATATCAAATGTAAAAAATTCAGACGCCTTATACTTAAAATAACAAGACAAGAACTCACTCTAACAATTCCTTTTTTTCCACTTTTCCATGACATCAGCAAAAGCGATGTATCATCATTATCATACAAGCCTTGACTGCTTTCTCTTGACCTAAATTTGAAATCATATTAACAATAGATAGTCAAAATAATCAAACTAAGAATTAAGTAAAGATAAAATTTAAAATAAAAATTAAATAGAATAAAAAGAAAATAAAATAACATTGACTTATTTTCGATTCCACTGGAATTTTTTGAAATAGTACTCTCTTTCTGGAGAATAGTTCGAAACGACAACCACGCAGTAAATGATTCATTAGGAAACCACTATAACAATTAAATAAAAAATGATAAAATTGAGATAAAAGTCAATATAAATTTCAGATTTGGCAAGAAATTATGAAAATCAAATCAACTGAGGAATGAAGAGCTACTTCTTCTTTCTTGTTCCACAAAACAAGCAGAAATAAAAATAAAATTACAACTATCAAAAAGGCCATGATGAGGTGAAATTTCGTTTCAGTTAACAGTATGAATAAGTCTAGAAATTAGGCTCAAATATAAACACAGATATGCACTTAAAAATGGAAAACGATAACTTAGAGTTTAAGCAGTGATAAAAGAACTGCAAAGGAATATAAGGAAGTTTTATTAATTGACTACTAGAAAAGGCAAAGAAAAGTTGAGGGAAGTATAAAAAAAGGTAAATTAAATGATCAAAAAGTGATGAAAGTGATAAAAACAAAGTTTAATAGAGCTTTAACATAATGTGACTGGTTGATGTTAAGGTAGAGCTTAATTCTGAAACAGTTCCCATAGGACTGCGTTACTGCGAAAAAATAGAACAGTAACCTTGGCAGATCGCCAGAAGGAAATGACGGAGCTTTGAAAGTACAGAAAGAAATTGGAATGGGTGATAAAATGAAGTTTAAAAGTATGTGATAATTACTAATGAGCTATGGCAATATTCTGAGATTCTGAGGGAAAAGACGAAGTTCTTGAGAATATTTAATAAAGCTTGAGATTTTCAAAAAAAGTAACAAATTTTAAACGGTTGAATAAATATGCCGAGCCATGCTTTTTCAATTTGGAGGTGTAGCTGCATTTTTTTCAGATACACCAACGGCAAATAATTTTTTAAATGATAAAAAAATGTAAATTTTAATCAGTAAAGAAATATATATATTATTAATAATATTTTTGATGAACTTAATGATATAAAATTCCATCAAATTTAAATGACAAAATGAAATCATATTTCGCCAATTCCCCCTATAATTTATGCCAGACAGAATTCCAAAGAACCAACCGTCAAATGATAATGAAGAACTGGATTCAAATAAGAACGGTCGTTGGGCTCAAGCTTCTCATCCTTCGGAAAATGCACAATAGCCAAAATTACATGAGGACTACCTACCATTTTACTGAAAATTAAACGTAAATTAAACGTATTTTGTTGAAAATAGTGAGATAGCTGGAAGTAAAATAGAACGATCGTTCTATTCAGATCATGGTTTGCGGTATCAAGCTTCTACCTCCGATAGGAATAAACAAAATAGTGAGATAGCTGGAAGTAAAATAGAACGATCGTTCTATTCAGATCATGGTTTGCGGTATCAAGCTTCTACCTCCGATAGGAATAAACCTGCTATTAAAAATTCTAAATCGTACTGGCGAACCATCCGTACTTCTGTCACGTGTGGCTCTTTGGTGAAATTTTTCATCGCACTAACATCTGATGAAGCCACTATTGTTTTATATAACAATAATTTAATTATTATATGACCGACAAACTCTATTCGAAAAAAAAAACTATTCAAAAATATTATAAAAAAAAAAACTGGCAGAAAGAATTATAAAAAAAACAAACTTATGGCGACAAGACGAATGAGCAATCCAAAGAAAAATGAAAGGTCTAGGATCATCGGCAGCTTCCTGATAAGCAAATGCAAACACAGAAGATTCTGAGAACCAGTATATATCGCTATAAAAGAGAAAATTTAGGATTAAACAAAATTTAAATGAAAAAGAAAGAAAACTAAGAAAATCTTAGAAAAACTTCAATATTGAAATAAATTCCGGCTTAACTAGTTCTCTCAGTTGAAGGTTTACCTGCGATGTTCACTTGAAATATTTGCCATTAAAAAACCTCCAAAAGAGAATCCGATCATAATTAATTTACATTTTTCTATATATACAACTGAAGTAACAGATATCTCCTCTAAAATTTTACTTTAGATTAGAATGATATATCATCGAAAACTTGAGTTGACTAAGGCAAGAACGTTGACTACGACTCATTCAAAAATTTTAATTGACAAAGGAGCCAAAAATTTGCTGTGGCACAATCAACGCAACAACAAACCTAATGGTAAATGATGAATACGACCAAGCCTCTTGGCCTCCATTTGTCCACTAACTTTATGAGCATCTGAAAATGAGAAAGTAATCTAAATTAAACAAAACTTAGAAAATTTTCAAGAACAAACTCCAAAACTTCAAATTTACCGCATATATCCGTAATAAAAGAAGGCAGTTTCGAATTAAAACCCTGATCATGCTCAACAAGAGGTAAATCAAAGCCAAGGTGAACCAAGAAACAACATCCATTTTTCGTTCCAACAGCAATTAAATGAGGCGAATTATGAAAAACAGGATGCAAATCGCGAATTTTATATTGTGACATATTATCGAAAATAGTTGAAATACAAGTTATCTATAAATTTTTTTTCGAAAAAATGCAATAAAAAATCTAAAGATTCCAGTTAAAACGCAAAATATTTCCTTAAAAAAAAATAGTTGTAAATGTGGCAATGGCTTCAAATTTTAATTTGAAAGGAATGAGGACTACACGATAAAACAAACTATATAGAGGGAATTAAGAACTAAATTGAAAACGTGAAAAATAAACCTGATGAGGAATCTGCAATTTCGTTATAATTTTCGCTCGAGCAATGGAATAATATATGACAAATGATAGCATTTTTTCAGAGGAATAATTAATGGCAATCGCAACACCATCACTACCATCTTAAAATATATCTCTTCTTAATGAGCTCTGTTCAATGCAGTGTAGTTTTTAGCAGTTAATGATAGCCTATTTTAATGAAAAACAAAGATTTAATTGGAAATTTCATGAAAATATTTCATTTTATTTTATTTATAAAGTTCTTATTTTTTAAAACGTCTATGAATTGACCGACGCAAAACCTTTAAATGGAAGATAACTGATGTCGACCAATTGACTGTCTTTACCCAAGTTATCAAAGTTGTATACTGCAATCGGCGCAGTAATATTATGACGCCAAAATGATACCGACTGACCATCAGCAATGTAATACAAAGTTGTATATTCGCCTTTAAAAAGCCCTTTTTTATAACAATTATAAAATATAACTAAAAAATTGAGAAGAAAAAAAAGTGCCAAATAAAATTTTTAAAATATTCCAAAATAATGTTAGAAAGAAATATGTTCATATAATATTTTTTTACAGAAAATTATCATTTCATTAATGATGAAAGTAAAATATAAAATAACTCTTTTTAAAAAATGGAAAAAAATTAAATAAATATTACAAAATAATGAAAACAAAATTCAAACACATTTTAAAGCAGTATTTTCCAAAATGTAAAATTCCAGGAAATTTAAATGAAGAATTTGCTGGAAAGAATATATATATCAAGAAATATATATATCAAATACGCATTAATCTTATAATTTCATATCACATCCGGCAAATTCTTGAGGAACTGTCAAAATAAAACAATAGTTTAATTAAAGTAAGAAATAATAAAATAATTCCTATTATATTAGACCATCTGAAAAAACTCTAAAGCCATAACAACTTCACTATAAATATTAAATAGCATTTGCAAACCGATTGTTTAGTGCCACATTCTTCCACATTAATCACGACCAGTTAATTGGCTTCCTTTTAATATAATTTTTTTAGCAAGGAAAACAAACCTTTTAAAGTCAAATATCGACCCTTTAAAACAGAACGACAATTTCGCACTTTTTCCGATTTCAGCAGTACACTTCTTCGTTCAATTTTTTCATTAGCTTGATTTCCCATTGTGTGTATAAATCCTCTCTTAAAAGAAGATTAATAACGAATAATAAATTAAACAAGATAAAAAATTATCTAAAGAATATTCGTTCCAAGGAGTGTTAGGAAAGATAGCGCAACACGGACTGCATTCCTCCTCTTTCATAAGTAAAGGAATAAATCTGTCATTAAATGTGAAAAACAATCTACTGCTGGTAAATCACCCAACAATCCTCGTTTACAGCACTTTAGAATGGTACTAATGGTACTTTTCAACACGACAATAGCAAGCAATAGAAAATAGGCTTCATTTCTATAAAACAAATGATCAATTAATGATTTCAATAAGATCGTATAAAATTGAACACAAAGCAAAAGCAAAAAATGAAAATTCCATATTTATTGACAACTTTATAAAGCGCTAAAATTTGGATATCTTTCCTAAAGTCATTCCTTTCCTAATTTTTTATATTAAGAAATAATTTACTTGGCGACATTTAAGGATCTCTCTTTTGCATTCGTGATTCTACCTGTTTTCAATCTGGCTCAATCAAGAAAAAGTTCTGCATCTCCTTATAAAAACAAATAAAAAACTGGAAAAAGTTTTTCCTCATCTGCTCTTTCTCATTACTTATTGACTGATTACGTAGAGACTGAAATTCTAAGAATAAAAAATAATTGTCGATAGGGTATAACAGATGGGAAAAGTGGGTTAGTTTCCATGAAATATGGCAAAGATTTGGAAAATACGTGTGAGTTCTTGTTGCCGAACACTCATACTCTACGTATTACCTATGCGCTTTCCTATAGCGCGCGATATTTCTAATTTCGCTGATAAAGACGATTCAAATTTAATAATGCTGGCCGATTGCTCGCAACCTCCATCTGTAATTTTTAAAATTTTAGTTTTTTTTGTATTTCCTTCTAAGTAATTTCTGGAAAAAGATTACGCTTTTATAAAAAAAATCTAATATTTTAAAAAACTTCTACTAATCAAAGAAAATAAATCGTTATGAAATTATAATATTGTAAGCTATGGGAAGGAAAATAGTCAAATTAATAAAATTTATTAAATTTAATCGAATTTTCTATTCGAAAACTAATTATACTTGAATTTCTAGAAATTTCTAGGAATTAATAATATTTTTATTTTAATTACACTATTACATTATATTTGCACATTTATGCGTTTAAATTTTTGCTAAATAATTGCAAAAAATATTTTTATCTAATTTTACGCTTAAATTAACTATTTATATGCGAATAAATTTCTAAAATTTTCATTAAATATTTTTTTTTTTTTTTCTTCGTCTAATTTTATTTTCTCTTTGTTTGTTTTTGATAGAAATAAATGTTTCATGAAAACTGACTCAGGAATTTGTAAGTGAAATGATGCGGCATAATAATGGACCGCCTATTGAGATTATTAAAATTCTTCTTATGTGGACCGCCAGCAGAATATGAAATAATAATCCACTATCATCCACAAGCTTAGGGTCAATAAAATTCCCTGAGAAAATGATCTTCAGGCCGAACTCTTCAAATGTTGTCTATCGTCTTTCATACCACATCTTCAACAATTGTACCCTCAGTTCGTATAGAAGAAAGAAATAATACCAATGATTACAGCTCTGTGACATCAAAATGACATCAAATCAAGTATAGAAGACCTGGACTAATACAATTAGGAAAAATTTCCAACTTATAGAAGGACCAGCGATATATGGACTTAGACGATGGAAGAATGAATGGTTTCTATTACTGTTAGCGATGGCGTCGGACCGAATAACATGGAAACGCCTTAGCCTTGCAGCCAGCGGAACTAACCTAACTAATAACCAGTGAGAGTTATTAGAAGAAGAGGAATGGTTATAAATGCATAAAGCACCATAAAAATATTAAAATGTTCCAATAATTTTATTAAAAATATATTTATTTCGAGAAATTTTGATAAAAACTCCTACTAAGACTGTACTTTAATTCAAAAAAAATTAAACAACGAAAAAATTTGGCGGAATTTTTTGAACAGACTTGGAACTTGAGAAAACTTTGGCAAGAAATAAACACGGCCATGGCCGCAATGCTGGCCACAAAAGCGAAAGTGTGTAATTGGAAATATAAAGCGTAACAATAATGATCGTTTCTCCTTTCATTATGCACTCAAAATCTTATACTTCTTACGCATCATTGCTGGTACCAATGAGGCATTTTCGAAGTACCAACGTGCTATTTTAATAAGTGCATATAAAGCTGGGCGCTATACGTTCAAAATCTCTCTAAATATCAGTGTATTTAATTTGGCTTCCATCATCGCCATCCATCAGAGTGCTTATTCTTTGCCTGAATTTTGTTCCAGTTCACAACAATTTTTCACTTTTCATGGACCAATCGACTTAAATATCTAATATTTCGTCTTATTTTTTACAAAAAATGACTGTAATATTCGAATAAAATGGGATTTTGCATAATGAACCAAATTAAGTCAATTTTTTACATATAAAAACCTTATATTCCCATAAATTTAATCAATCTAATTCGGAATGGAATGGCTCAGTGGATTGTTCCTCGATTGGAAGCACCGATGCTGAGGTTCGGTTCCCCGCAGGAGTAAACCTATACAAAAATCCGGGTGATGTTGGCAACTCACTTTCTATCGCTAAGGGAAATCTCGCTCCCTGGCAAATTGCCCAATGCGACAAGCCAGGGGAGCGAGTTTAACCAGTGATGGTGAGGACTCTTTAAAAAAATCATTCTAATTAAAGAAAGAAGCTAATTAAAAAAGCACTTGATTCACAAACAATATCGTTTCGACGGTCATTTTTTGACAAGAATTTATCGAGTGATATTGCAGATCCACTTGTAAATTTATTCCCGGGTGATTTTATTTATCCTAACAATCAGTAAAGTCAGTTAAACCAGAAGTTCTATTAGAACGAGATGTATGCAATACATGAAGTTATTCCCAAAAATATGTTTCGAAATCGTGGAAAAACTAAAACTTGCTGCTTTAAATCTTATGATTGATTATCCATGATAGGCCAGAATATCCATGCTGCCAACTTAGATTCGAACCATATCGACACCGTACCGCCGCATTTTGTTTAGGTAGCAGTTATCAATTAAAAGAATAGTAGAAAACAAAGGATAGTAGAATAGGCTCAGTGGGTTGTTGCTCAATTCAGAACTCCAATAGTGAGGTTCTACTCCCTGCATAAATAAACTTGCCCTCAAAAATCTCCGAATGGTGCTGGCCACTCAGCTGAATTTTCTGTCACCTACGGAACTCCCTAGTTTATTTACCTTTATGTTTCGTGTTACTAATCTTCTTCCTTTAACAGCTCTCACCATTACTCATACGGTTAGGTTTGTTCTGCTAGCTACGAGGTTAAGGGTAAGAGTAAGAGATCAGGTGCACGACCTGATACCATTTTTGATAATGATAGAAGCCATTCTTTTTTCCATTATTTAAGTCTATATATATATATATATCGTTGGTTCTCCTTTACATCCAAAATCTTTTTTGACTGTATATGTGTCAGCTCCTGTGGTGGACGACTCTCTGTGATGGTACTGTTAATGCAAGTGGTATTTGAGCGCAGGTGGATGCAATCATGTGGGACTTTATCAGCTCAGGTGAACCTCTAAAATGTATCTTAAATAAAAGCTCATGTCTTAGGCGTTCCTTAAGAAGTATTACTTTTCGACAATTAAAAAATTCAAATAATAACTCAAAATGGGTATTTTCCGTTATTATCGCTGCCAGTCATTCAAATGTGATTGCAGCCAAATATCATAATCTGAATTGATGATTTGAAGTTAATCAAAATTACATTTTGAAATTTAATCAGTGATTAAGATCACTGTTAAGATCATTGAGCATAGCTTATTTATTGTTGATAGAAATTAAATATCACAAAAAATCTTTAGCAATGACAAAACATCGAAGTTATGTATTTTGTAATTTTTTGCGAGAACTGGCGAACTGTAACGAAACACAATAGGATTTGGGAGTATGTCAGGATAAAATAATGAAAAAGTTAGTAAAACATAAACTTAAGGAAATATCTAATTTGAAAAAAGGAATAGAATTTAACGGATCTACAAAAAATTTTAAAGGGATTTTTGGCGAGAAGAGTAAAAATTTCTTCTAATTTTTGCTAATAACTGCTGATTTGGCTCGCTTTTATGCCGACTAGAAGCTTCTCAATACTATTCGTTTTCCGAGTATGAAGAAGGTGGTACCATAGCCTAGGATGATCAAAAGTTTATAGCTTGTCTTTCCGATTCACTGGCCATCTTTCGCATCCATATAGCTGAACCGTACGATGGAAAATTTCGTTTTCAGTTGACTTCACGATGATTCCAAAAAAGCGACGACGGCCAGGGAAAACGGAGGGAAACGTCTGCCTGTAATGATCCAGCGACTTTTCAAATCAGCACTGAGCTGGATTTACCTCTGAGGATTATGCCTATGCCGATTATCCTTAAAAAAATAGCGATAAATATATTTCTCTCAACGCACAATTCAGGTCACATCTTTCCCATTCAAAGAATTTGTTACAACTTAAGCTGCGAAATAGTAATGTTTATTTCTCGAATTACGCTTGCTTTAACTTTTCAAATTTCGATTTTTTCTAAAGAAATTTATTCAAGACGAATTAATTTGTTATAAATTTAGAGAAAAAAGTTGGTGTGATCTTTGATCAGATTTTATAAAATTTTTATCGTTCAGCAAATAAGGTTTATTACGTTCTTCTAAAGAGAATTATTTGTAATTATCAAACGAATATTGATTAATGTTAGAAAAATTTTTTTATTTTAAATATTTGATTTAAAAAAAAAAAAATTATTTGAATATTTCAGTAAATTTTAGTGGAAATATGAATTTATTTTACTTAAAGCTTAGTTATTGCTTCGCAATAAAAACTATTCGATTATTGCTTTTGATGAGTGAATCGATGCGAGTTTTTCATTAGAAAATGCGATTAGTGCTTTAAATTTTTCCGTTGCAACTTTTATGATTCTAAACTGAATAATTCTCCACGGTGAAATTATTCTACTCGTTCTACTAATAAACTATTTGGTCAGAAATCGAACGAGAAATTTAACGAGAAATGATTGATTGCTAATCGTTTATTATATTTATTTATTATTATTTATATTTATGTATTATTATTATTTATTATTATTATTCAATTTATTTATTATTATTTATTATTTAATTGAATTTATCCAATCGAATTTTTTTTTGCATTTTTTACTAAATTTTCTTTTTGGATTAAATTTTTTAAAATCTTTTTATTATTTTGCATTATTTCTTAAAGAATTTTTTAAGGAATTTATTTATAAAATTTTTTATTTTTATATTATTTTTATTGATTTAGTGATTTTCATAGTTATTGAGAATAAATTACTAATTATTGATAGGACGACGAAATTCTTTGAATTTCTTTTTTTAATATTCGACAATTCGTATTGTCATTGTATTTTTGCGAAATTTTACGCAAATTTTTGATTCTTATGAACGAAAATTTTCTTTATAAAATTTTAGAAAATGAGCGAACAAGGAAGTCAGTTTCGCATGGTAACGCGAGGTGTTGCACGCATTCAGTATGCGGAATCTGCAGGTTCCAGTTTGAGTAATGCATCAGCTGGAAGTTTATTCTCGAATCAGCAGATCAGTAGTACAACGTAATTAAATATTATTATAAATTATATATTATTTTAAATTTTGAAAATTTCGAAATATAAATTATAAAAGAGTTTCTTCTTGCATCATGAACTTATCACTTTATCATATCAAAAAAATCCAGTGGTTTTTCCACGAAAGCGTTGATTTTTCTTTTTTTCTAAAAAAATGCATATCAGTGACTCATATCAAAGATTTCCGCAGTTTTCACAGTTTATTTCTTCCTTCTTTCCTTCCTCTGAACTATTCAGCATTTTTGCTTCGGCTAGCAGCAGTGGATATTATGATAAGGTTGTTTTGACAGAGAGTACTTTGAGACCAAAAATTCAAATGGGTCCTTAGCACCGCTCGCACTCTAAGGTTTTCTCTTATACTCTTATACTGCTATATTCTTTCTTTATTCTGTGGTTTGTAGCGATAGTAGAGATGATCAGTCAGAGTATCATATGGATGTTTCGATGGATTCACTGTTTCGCACGCCAAGTGCCAGCACACGAGGAAGGAAACGTCGTTTTACAAGCGATGATCCTTCTGACGCTCCTTTCCTGGTAAGGAAAAATATTTTTTTCACTTTACCATGTTCTTTCAAATTCAGTGGTTTTTAATTTTCTATGATTTAATTTTACCTGTGTAGTCAAAGAAATGAAATTGCAGTCAAAACGAGGGCGACCACGGGGAGGTGGTCGAGGTCGTGGCGCAATTTGTCGTCGTCCCAATGTTCAAGAAGATGCCGATGAAAGCAGTCTTTTCTGCATGGTGAAAAGTGGCAAGAATCTTAATGTAAGTTAAATCTTGCTTTGCTAATGAGTTTTAAATATTGTTTTTATCAAAATGTTATATCACTGGTAGTTAATATTGATAATATTAATATTCCTTAATATGCATAAATTATGAAAGCGAAGGAAAAATATATGGTTAGAGTGGAAGAAAATACAAAAAAAGTTTTCAATATTTTATGTTTTAAAGTTTAAAAAAATTAAAACGAGCTTATTCCTATGTTAAATAAATTTTAGCGGGGCTTAGCAGGATGCTGCCAGATATATTGGTTCTGAAGTATTTAACGTTATTTAAAAGAAGTATTCGGAAATTGAAACTTGATTTGAAGAAATTTTATACGGAGAGAATATAGTAAAACTAGGAAGATTTTAAGAAAGTAATGACATTTGGGGGCATCAGGTAAGTGTGGGAATATTAAAATAGTGTGACGAGTTTTGAAAGTTTTAAAAAATTTAACAATATTTTCAGTATGTTCAAACGTTAGATGGGATGTTTTAGTACTATTAAGGAACATAAAAGAATGGAATTTTACTAGAGTAAAATGAAATTAAAGGGTGAAAGCATACAGTTAGGACCTCGGCTCTCACTTTTTCGACCCACTTTTTCCCGAGAATTTGTGCAGTTTGAGAAAGAGAAAAGTAAAAGTAGCGCTGATCCTTAGGGCTTTACACGGATAACCTGGTTTGTACGAAGTTACTGTTTTTTCATAATTTGGTTTGAGATATTAATGAAAATGATATTAATGAAAATATAGTAAAGTGTAAATAAGTGTAAATTTCCTTTCTTTTCACATTTTCACTTTTGTCCAACAAATGTAGTTTTTTGCTTTTAATTGATTTTATTTGGTTTCTTCTGAAAAATGTGCAATATTGACCAGCGTTAAATTTTTTTCAGACAGTAACTGATAATTGGATAGAAGAATATGAACATCATCCAGACAATGCACTTGTGCAACTCCAGCAATTTTTTATTTCTTGTTGTGGATGTAAAGGAGTAATATCATCAGTTATGTTACAAACTATGGAATACAGGTCAGTACATATATGGGAGCATATATTGAATATGTTGGAATTCGCCAAAATGCTTATTTATTTTATTGTTTTTATCATTTTTCATTGTTTTCAGTGAAATAATTCGTCGAATGACGGAACAGTTCGATGAAGATTCTGCGGATTATCCTTTGATAATGCCTGGTCCACAGTGGAAAAAGTTCAAACAAAATTTCGCAGACTTTATTATGGTTTTTTTTATTGTTTAATTTTATTAATTCTACCAAAAGAAAAAATATATAAAATAGAATCGTGATCTTTTTTTTAAAAAAAAAGTGTATAATATCAGAAGCTAATGTATGTGCATTTCTCATCAATATGGCATTAATTAAATATAAAATGTGCCAAATTTCTATGACAGATTTGAATGCGGTTGTGATTTCAAAAGCAGCACTAATAAATAATTGTTGACAGTTATTTTAGCTATTAGTCAATAAATGTAAAGCTAGTTATGTTTTCGATCAACGGCTTATGGATAGCGTGATACAGTTGCTTACTGGTCTTGCCGATAGTCAAGTTCGAGCATTCAGGCACACTTCTACTTTTGCAGGTTTTTTTGCTTAAAATTTTAACTAGGAATATTCGGCAGTCAAAGTTTTAAGTTTTAATATTTTTATATATTATAAATTTTTTAATTTTTTCCTCATTTAACTGTTCAAGTCAAAGTACTTATATATATTTCAGTTTCATTAAAACTTTTTTTGAAATGACACTGATGAAAATTTCAGCCATGAAATTGTCATCCGCTTTGGTCGATATTGCAATTGAATTGGTTTCTCTTAAAGAAAAAAATAGTAAACAGGTTATTTCATTACGAAACAAAATTTCAGTAATTTTAAACGAGAAATAAACTTGTTAATTTTTCATTATTTATTATTATTTTTATTATTATTATTCATTGTTTTGCTTCTTATTTCTAGGGTTTATCGATAGTTTCAATATCCATATGTTTCATTTTCTTTTATAGGTGGAGACAGAAAAGGCCAAGTTAAAAGCGCAGAGTGTTAATGATCGTTTGGATATATTGATTCTTAAGAAAAGCGAGGTAATCATTATGTCAATTTTTTATTTTTTAATGTAATTGAATTTTTGATTTTATAATTCACTTGATGATTTTATCTTTTTTTCAGTTGGATGAAAAGACTGATGATGTTCGCCAGATGTTGTCTTACATTTTCAAAAGTGTTTTTGTTCATCGTTACAGGTAAAATCTTAAGAGTCTTTCAGATTTTCCGTAAGTACCAGTGGCAATTCGCATTTCAAATTCAACAAATTCATAATTTATTCAAACGAATTAATGAAAACAAACGGAAAAATAGATCATGCTTTAGCTCGCATATGAGAGTAATGAATAAGCTTTTATAATTATATGGATTTTCATTTTTATTATATTTTCAGAGATTTTTTATCCGATATCCGTAGTGTTTGTATACATGAACTTGGACAATGGATGCAGGTCTATCCTCAACATTTTTTGGAAGATTCATACCTTAAATATATCGGATGGTCGCTTTATGATAAAGTGAATTTTCTTTTTTTTCAGACTGCGAGTAAAATTGGTGTTTTGGAGATATTTCTTGTAGAGTTCGATCTTATCAGTTTCAAATTTTTATTATTTTTATTACTTTTAGGTAAGTGACGTTCGCCTAAAGTGTCTTATTTCTTTGCTTCCTTTATATGATCGTCCTGAAGTTATTGGTAAGTTGGAACTATTTACCAACAAATTCAAAGATCGTCTTGTGAGTATGGTAATGGATAAAGATTGCGAGATAGCAACACGTGCTTGTCAGCTTCTTACTGGAATTTACAGGTTTTACGTTTTTTTATTTTTTTAATTGCGAATTTTTCATCCTATTTTAAACCAAGTGTTCATATGCAATTTGCAGAGTATTTCCAACGGTGCTAACCTTGAAGGATTGCGTGCCTATATATGAGCTTGTTTACTGCAATAATCGTGGATTAGCTCAAGCTGCTGGGGAATTTTTAAACACCAAAGTATATTTATTGATAATTTATAATTTATGTTTCGGAATAATTTTGATTTCAATAGTCCTCTTTAATTTGGTCGTTAAAGCTATTGGTTAATCATAAAAGTTCCCAGCGGTTTTTGTTCTATGTGGCTTTGGGGTTTTTGGGTTTTATCATGCAGGTTCACTTCATTTACATGACTTATACTTGCCATGATTTGCCGTTTCTTTTTTAGAGTGCAAATGATGAATTATGGTTTTTTCTCTTTTTGTAATCAAATTTGAAATATGAAAGGTTTTTGATTTCTGATATTTTACCCAAATTGCGGTCCGATACCTAGCTAAATTTATATATAAATTTAAATATATAAATTTTTCTTGACAGTTTAGAGAAAAAATAATGCAGGAATGTTTCGCGAAATTCAGATTTAAATAATTTTGGTTTGATCTATAGACGGTCTTTTGAATAAAATGGTCTTACTTTTTCCGTTGTGTTGAGTGGAGATATCTACTTTGATGAGATAAATTTTGATTAATGGGCATCTCAAGAATTTTCTTCAAATGGAGTTACATTTTGAAAAAACTTTTTCGCTTGCGATGTGGAGTTAGAATATTCTTTTCTATAGCAGTCTTTTATTTTTGTTGAAAATTTCTTATGACAGTAACAATCGTTGACGCTCTGGTTTGTCGAAATGAACCTTCTTGATATAAAGGTCAAACTCTACTTGAAGATGGTTTGAAGATGTTTTTAGTCTATTATTGAATTGATTATAGCATTCTAAAATTTAGTGTAGCGATCACAACAACGAAGTTATACCGTAATAATTTGAAAGTAGTCTATCAGTAAGCATAATAAGTCAACAACAAAAATTCCATTGTCCGTCATTCGACAGCGCTAGATCACACGTCATAAGGATGATTTTGTTCAGTTGTGTATCGGAGTCCGCTCTATCCACGACACTCCCCGGATTTTCTCAAATAACTTTCATTTTCTCTGCAATGACTACTTCTCCAAAAAGAAGCAGTATCAGAAATAAGATTTTGAAAAATCATCTTTTAGCAGGTCATTAGTTCCAGAAGCGCAGACTTTTATGAAATGATATAAAGCACTTTCATCAAGTCGATAAATTTATGTAATGATAATGATATTAATTTTGATTTAAAATGTTGGTTTTCAATGAAGTTATAGTCTTCAGTTTTAAGTTATAGGTAAAAGACATAAAGTCGCTGGAATTTTTTAAGAAGAAAATTGTAATTTAATAGTTATTAAGGAGTATTTCAAAATTCGTTACATTATTTTTCTCAGGTGTTTCAACATTCACAAAGAACTCGTAATGGTAATATTTCGGGAAGCCGTTCTCATGAGAATGCGGATCTGATAATTGACTTGATTCAATTTTTCATCGAAGGCGATGTAAGTTCTGTTCAAGAAATAAAAAATTTAGATTTTTGCAAATTATTTCGTCTTCCATTTTGAATTAAAGCTAATTAAGGTGCGAATTTCCACCTTTATCTATTCTCACCAGTTTTTTTGTTTTTAAAACTCTTTAAAACTCTTTGATCTCATAAACCATTATATAGTGTCATGATCATGCTGCATACCTTGTCGATGCTTTGATTGATTCTAATCCGATGATGAAGGATTGGGCAACAATGGCCGATTTATTGCTATCTGGTGAAGGTATGGTTATATATTATTTATTGTTTATTGAATTGGCTATATTACTATTTTCTGGAACAATGAAATTTTTCGCGATTGAAAATTATTTTTAAAAATTATTTTTCAGCTGATCGCTTCGACGGTGAATTGATCGAAGTCTTAGTTTGTTCAGTAAGACAATCAGCAACTGGAGAACCTCCTGTAGGTAGATCGCATCAAATGAGAAAAACGTCAGTTGCAGTTAAAGAACATCGAAATATAAATGAAGATAAGACTCGTTTATCAGAGGTTTTAATACCACAGTTACCGTTGCTTCTTCATCGAGTATTGTTTTTACATATTGAAATATTGAAGTACAATAATGAATGAATATTATATAACAATATTAAATATTTAATTAATTTAGGATGTTTGTTTTCATTTTTTAATCACTTAAAACTTTGTTACTCATTTATTAGATAAGCGGTCGCTCTTTTTTAATTCTCCAATTTTTTTCTATGTTTTGTTTTTTATATTTTTTTTATATCTTATTTTTGTATTATATCTTATATCTTATATATTATATATTTTTTATATCTTTTTGGTCTGTTTTTCAAAAACAGCAGTCCATTACGACGTCATTTCTATCTTGCTTAATTATATATAGAGGTTTTATTTTCAGGAAATTCTATTTTATACTTTAAATTCTATTTTATACTTTATATATTTTCTATTTTTTTTTTATATTTTTTTTATATTTTTGAAATTCTCTTAGCTCTTAGCGCTAACATTTCAGTTTATTGCCGATCGTGAAAAGGTTGCAAATTTAATAGGAATCGCTCTTCATTTTCAGTTAGATATGTATTTAGCAGCAAGGCTAGAAAAGGTTCTTATTCGATATTTTTGCTTTTGCTAAAGAATTTTTCCTTGATAATAAAAAAATCTATTCTTCTAAAAAATCTAAAAAAATCTATTGAATACGAAATCTATTCTTGAAAAAAATAACGTTAGCCAGAAGTGAATCTTCATTTTCGTGATCAATATATTTTTTCAAATATTTTTTGTTCAATGCTTCGATTATAAATTTTTTGCTATTTCATGGCATGTTTCTAATGTCTATCATCAAGAATCATTTTAATCATTTTTTATAGCATTTGGATGATCTGATGAGTGTGATGGAAAGTATAGTCGAAAAACATGCAGATGATGAGATTCTTCAAAGTGTTGCCAGAGTGATGTCATATTTTACTATGAACGTGGCGGTAAATCCTGTTAAACATTTTTCATCAAAAAGGATTATTAGTGTAACATTGATTATAGCAAGAAAAGCTTAGCTCAGATCAAAAATCAAAAATTGATAAATCTAAGATAGTTGGCGATGAAAATTTTGTCTTATATAGATAGGAAATTAGAAAAAAATTTTATCGACAGTTGTTTATGATATTTACACAATTTTTTGTGGCTAATTTATTTTTTATATTGATTTTATAAGGTGGCTCAGCATACTGAAACTCATCGGTTGAAAATGCTGGATGGCCTTGCTCTGCAATTGCGGCATTCAGTACAAAGGTTCCATCGTGAACAACAATTAGACGAGGAAGATGATGCTGCAATGCTTGCATCTTTTCGAAAAATCACAGCTTTTGCAATGTTCGATTTTTATTCAGATCTTATTAGTTTTTTTGTTTTATTTTTTCCTGTTAAATTTGACTTATTTAGTTTCGAAGATCTCAAAAAGTGGCAACTATGGGATCCAACCCTTAGTGTGGTAACGAATTCGGATGACAAACAAATTTCACCTGATATTCGTGAAAAAGCGATTCTTCTTCTATTTTCAACTCTTCAGTGGGATTTGTATCGCCTCATTTACGATCAAGAAACGAATAAAATTGTTGGCAAATTTCTTCGCTTCAATTTCTTAATTAATTTAATGCCTTTTATTCATTTTATCAATTTTATTTATTTAATTAAAAATTAACTTGATTAAATATTTAGCTTATTTTGGTTTTAGGAGGCGACTAAAAAACTGCAAAAACATCGAGATCATTTTGTCGAGGCTTGTACCAATGTTTTAAATATTGGTGCTTCTGGTGTTGAAAGTGTAAGTTTACAATTTTAAAAAGGGGTTTAACATTTAGCATTTTTTGGTATGGAATTAATCTTATTTGATTAACTAAAATGAAACTATCGAAGATTTTATGGTTTGAAGATTTTTTATTTACTTAAGGTATTTAGGCGTTTCTTTGTTTCGCAGATGCCCTTATTTTATTTTGTGGTGTGCATATTCATGACGAGATTTTGGAAATTCATTTACATCCTTCAACCATCACCAAAATTACGGATTTTGTAGTGGATAATGTATTTGTTGAAAGCAGTGAAAACGGTTAATGTTTAATGCTGTTGTTACTTTCTGTTTAATTTCCTTTTTTTATCATTTTTATCATTGCACATAAAAGTTATTGAAATAATAGAAAAATGAATAATTTTATCAAATTTCATTGGTACTTCGTTATAAAAAGAAAGAGATTTTATTTGTACTTTTATTTTTCAAAAATGGAATTTATAATAATGGAATTTATAGAAAATATCTTTTCTATATTTCTAGTCTCTATATCTCCAGTAAGAAGATTACTGGTCCTACTGGTGGGCAGAATTGTTTTCGAACTTTGGCAAACATTCTTACATCCTCAAAATAATCTTCCAAATCCTGATGCAGCATTTTCACATTTGCCAAATGTCTTTAATTTCTCCAATCGTCCTCCAATTTTCCACCATATTCCTCAATTATAATTTGTAACTCTGGCTGTTTATTATTTCATAATTTATAATGGCAAAAATGCAATGCGAAGTTTAATAGGGTGTTAAGGGAAGAGAATGGAAGTATATGGGAAAAGGAAGCTGTGTTACTAATGGTGAATGCATTGGTGCTTTGAGGTGTTAAGGAAATATTTAAGGATTTCTCCGAAGTTTTCCACAGGGTGGTAGTTTTGGTGCATTTGAAAAGGTTTCAGTACATCAAGAGAGATTTAAAAGTTGAGATTTTATAAATTTTTTAAACAAAATAATGCAAAATTTGGCAATATGTATGTTTCGCAACACGTCATGGGGAAGTCTGGTATAGTGTAACATAGTATAAATGGTCTTGAATGTTATTGATTTTAACAAAAGAATACGTTGCATTTTGACATGTTGCTAAAAATGGTGAAAGAAGTGGTGATGAACAAGAGATTCCGATTCTACGAAAATTTTCAAAGGGCTATAATGTAAGGGATTAAGATAGTTTAAGATTTAAGGTAATATGGGTTATAACAGGCTATAAAGAATTTGTTAGGGGAATGACCAAGTTTTGAAAGATTCGGATGATTTAGACCTTCAGAAATTATTATTACACAGTAGAGCTTTAGAAATAAAGTGGCTGTGGCATCCCTATTAGAAATAATTAGAAGAGAACTATAATTAACGGGTATTGAGAACAATTTTGGCAAAAATTATATAGGCTTTGGAGGAAATAAATGGATTTTTAAATAGAAATTATCTTTACTATATTTTTTACCCTTTAGATCGTACTATGGATCAGCAATCACAAATCGAGCTTATGCACAAGCGTCGCAATCTACTCGCTGTATATTGTAAATTAATTCTACATGGAATTTTAGAAATCTATGATGCATCACATGTGCTACGTTTTTATAACAAAGTAATATAGTGAAATTTTTTCAAATAATATTAATATTGTAATTCTTATAATTTTTTCAAAAATTTGCAGTTTTTCTACGATTTTTCCTTACTTTCTTTAGCTTATTATTTTTTGTCATATTGTGCATGATTTCTCTTTTATTTTTTTACTGTAATAAAATTTTTTCAGTATTATACCGATTTTGGAGATATTTTAAAAATGCTAATAAACAAATGCCGAGAACTTGATAAATTGGGATGTGCGAAAACCATAAGCATTTCACTTTGTAAATGTTACAACGATGTTCGGGTATTGTCTTTGCTTTTATAAAAATTAATGAATTTCTATTTAGTTTATTAGTGACATTCGTCATATTCTTTTTTCGTTTTTTTCATAAAAAGTTATGAATTTATAATTTCCTAGTGGAATATAACTATGTAAACAAATCTTGTATATTATATATTATACATATTATATAAATCGTATATATATATATAGGGATAGAATGGCTCAGTGGGTTGTTGCCTAATTTGGAGCATCGGTGCTGAGGTTTTATTTCCCGAAGGATTAAATCTGTCCAAAAAACCGAGTGATGCTGGCGACTCACCTGTACTTCAATCCCTGGCTTATTTGTCTAATGCGACAAGCCAGCGGAGCGAGTTTAACCAGTAATGGTGAGAGCTCTTAAAAATATATATATATTATATATATTATATTACGAATTTTAGAGAGCTAATAAATATGTTGATCCCAATTCGGATGATTTCGTCGCTATTCGCGATCTCGCAAAAAGATTCTCGAACCTTTTTGGTTCAGATCCAATCAAAAATCGTGAGGCACTTGCCGTTATTCATAAGTGAGAATTTTAATTGCTTTTAATTTTCTTTTAATGGAGATATGTTAGGAATTGTTTATTCGAATTTGAATTTTTTGAATATGAATTTGTTGCTTGTCCCGTTATCTTTCTCATATGCAATCGATTTTTTATGGAATATTATTTTTGACTGAAACAAAGGATTATTGATGTTTTTTAAAAGAAAAAAAGGTTAAAAACCTCATTTATGTTTTAGAGAAGGTATCTTGTTCGCTTTAAAATCGGAAGGAAATCGTAGGGGCGTTCGACCAGAAAACCTATCATTTTTGGAAGTTTTGATTGAATTCAGTGGTAAGCTGATACGTCAGGATAAACAGTCTATGTAAATTTTGTTTTTTTCATTATTTTATTTTTCTATATATATATATGTATGTATATTTTTGTTTCTAAGTTATGTCCTTTTTATAGCCTACGTTATCTGGAAAAACATGGAACTGATGTGGTTAACGAGGAACCTTACGTTTTGTATAAGGCTTCTCTTCAGGTACTTTTTTTTCTTTTTTACACCCTCTAACTTTGGTGGATTATTGTGGATTTTCAATAATATTTGCCTCAGTTTTCCCGCTGGTTGTTTTTGATTTTCCATCATTTGGTATTATTATTGTCCGTATCGTCTAGAAAACACTAAAGGTGACCGATATCACAGTGGGTATTTTCGTTTAAATCTAAAAGGAAATAATATCTTAAATTATTTCATTAATTTTTCATTATATCAAAATAAAATGCTTGTTTGGGTTGTTGGTGATGAAGATCGAAAGAAATTTTCAATTCGTTCTCAAGCATTTTAATTTATTGTCAGAATGATTTTTAATAAATATTATTTTATCTAGAAAGCAACTTTGTTATCGATATATTTTTTAATTGTTCAGGAGCGAAATGATGAAGTTAGCAGCATTCGTAATTATGCTTCACGGGGTAGAGGTCGTGGACGTGGCCGTGGTCGTGTTACACCAGTACCATCAGTTTTTGGCGATGAATGATGAAACGATTTCCTTGCCTTTCTATATCTGTTTGCTTATTACATCATCAGTTTTCGGTGTTACGATCTCTCTTCCGTTCAATTCAGCGTTTATTACATTGTACAAGAAGTTGCTGATGTAAATTTCTTATATTATTACAATGTCTATTTTTTAATCTCTCTTGATTTCTTAAGAAATCTTAAAATTTTTTTGCATATATATTCGCAATGAATTGTTTTATTGAAAATTGAATTTGATGAATGATCCCTTTATTCATTTTTAAATCACATAAATTTTTAAATAATAATTGGATGTTTGTGGTACAATAGGAAAATAGAAGATGGCCAAATAAATCTCTAAACGTATTATTTTCACTTAATCTTCGAGAATCTATGCCACAGACTGTCAAAAATGCAATATCTTATGCAAAAATACAAGCAACGTGCATTCACAATATGCATGGAAATTTCGCTCCCTTTAAGATTCTAAGACAAACCTTGTTTTTCATGTATCACTTGCGAAATTCTATTCTATAATCATATAAAACTGATAAATTTTTTCTTACGATTGATAAAACAAATAACTTTTCAACAAAAAATTTAAAAGAATGATAAAAGAATTTAAATATTTATGGTATTTTATATTTCATCACAAATTAATTTATTTCTTTTTTCTATTAATTTAATTTAAAAAATTTAAAAAATTAATAAATTGTTTTATAAATTCAGATTAAAATTTACAATAAAACCAAATGATTTTTTTTTGAAATTGAATGATAAAAGTAGGAAAATAATTTTTTAATAAAACAATCAATTGAAAAATTTAAAAGCCATTTGAATAATCCGAAATAATAATAATTCGAAAAAAAAAATTGAACTAAAATTACAAAAATTGAATTTAATTTAAAAATTACAAAGTTGAATTTAATTTAAATCAACCAACGAATAATTTGATAGTAATATATAGTTGCAAGGAGAGTTAATGATAGTGATGAGAAAGTTGATAACAACTGTAACTCGTGTAGTATATTATAAGATGAAAAATGATAAGAAATGCTATTTCAAACATGGATGAAAGAAGTGTTAACTGGTTGCGAAATTCGCTTGAAAAGAAATTCACTATTCATCAGTGGCGAGGTATTCAGGTATTCTTTATTTTAGTATGGTTCTTATTATTTATTTTAGTATTTTAGTATGAATGTTATCGAATATTTAATCAATGATAACAATGAATGCATGAATGATAATATTATTCCTATAACCTAAACCTCCATTAAAATTTCAAAATACATAAGCCTTTCGTTCAATACTATTTTAAACAGGCGAGATGGATTTATTCAAGCGAAGTCACATTTGGAAATCGGTTTTATTTAATCATCTTACGTTTATAGAAGAAGCAATTTAATTTTAGGAAACCGGCCAAAAAATATATGTAAAAAAATCACTAAATGTAGTTTAAAAAGTACAAATAAGGGTTAAATAAATGTAAAAGTGGAAAAGTTGAAAAGAATAACTATTGCGAATGGAAAGAGAGATCGTAATTAAGGTGCTTTTGGTTATTTTCATAAGTTCATCCGCTGGTGACTGCGGAATTTTTCTTTCCTTTTGTCACTTGGATAATTTGTCGAAACATTGTAGTTTAAAGAATTGGATGTCAACGGTTTCATGTCAACCATCTGGTTAGCTTATTTAGACTGGGATGGTGACAATCTCCCGAACACCGTTATTATTAAGGTGAGTTTCAGATATCGAATTCATCATATTGCCTTATTTTTGATAGCAATTAAAGAAAATTATTTGGACCTTTTAAAAATGAAATGTAAAAGGATACAAAGAGTGAGAAACGCTATGTAAGTGTCTTCGCTCTTTCCTCCACTCCGTCTATGTGAATTCTCCACGTTTCGAACCTAAGGGTACTTAATCACATAAACGTTTAATAAGACGGTAATGCGCCAACGCTAAAGGCTAAATGCTCCATTTTTTTCGTTATCAGTAAAAATTCACAAGTTTTATTATATCACTAAACGTACCAACTGAGTTAATTAAATCTTTGAAAATAGGTTTCAATCTGAGTTCTATGAGTAAAATTTTTGGTCGGCGTCCTACGAAAAGTCTTCTCTTGCTTGCATTCGTTTTAAATCTAAAAATTTTTCTGTAATATCAGAGTGAAATGAAAAATGAAATTTTTAGAAACCTAAAAAAATAATCACTGTGCCAGCTTTGTGGAAGGAACAATGCAATGAATTTAGTGATAAATTGCTAACTTTACTTACAAAAACTGAATCAAAAGTATACAATTTATTTCAATCAAGTAATAAATACGTGAAATTTTCATTATTTTTATTCTTGTTTTCATGACTAAATAAATAAGCGATTAATTTTCGCCTTTCTTTACTGATTTGGTCTAATTTATTTTTATAGAAATTTGAAAAAAATTTAAAAAAATTTTTTGTAATAAAAATATATAAAAAATAAAAAAAAATTTTGTAATAAAAATTAAAATTTCACTTCTTATTTCTAAAATTATTATTGTTATTATTATTCACCATTATTAATTATTATTATTTATTACTATAATATTTAATATTAATTATCATTTATTATTATTTTTATTTTTATTGTAATATAAATAATATTTTAGTGGAACCGCCAATTCCTTTACCACATATCTACGATAATTACGAAATAAACAACAAAAATAACGCTGAAATTTTTTTAATAATGGAAGATTTAAGTGAATATAAAGTAATTGACATTGCTGAAGGATTGAATGATGAACAGGTGAAGTGAATTTTTTGTGAATACCGTCTACAGCCCAACAGCCTTTTATGTTAATTGGCTCTGAGTAATAGTGGTATTTTAACGAATTTGGTTCATTTATGGTTACTCGACTCACGAAAAATACTTCCCAAATTATTGCCATAAATGTTTGGTTGCGATTGATTCGAACATATTAATATTATTATTATTGTTACAGATTTATGCAGTGACTAACGCTATTGCTAAATTTCATGCTTATTCAATAACCAATAATCAGTGGAAAAGTGTTGGACTTGGACGCTACGAGAAATCTGTTATCAATTTTTTTTTAGCTCAATATTTTTTATCACTGATAATAATAATAGGTCATTTACTGCCTATCTAGTGATTACCCTTGCTTTTCTTCATGCAGAACATTTCTAATGATAGTTAATTATTTCTTTAGCAATATTCAATCATAGAGCAATAGTGTTGACTGCTAGCGAAGCCTTCTGATTATAAATTAGATTTAATATCTTTTTTAAGTTTTTTTCTATGGGACATCACCATTTTTGGCTCACATGTCATGTACCATCAAGATCATTGAAAGATATGTTTATCCTGCCTTCTAGTGGATCCCTATCATCAGCGCTCTAAAACGAGGGCAGCAACTCACTCACTCACTCACTCACTGAGCTATTCTAGCCTTTGAGATTAATCTATTATAAACTGACAATTTATTGGTACTTATTTCATTTTAAAAAAATTGTCACTTGCAGGAAATAGAGGGCATGGAAAAGTTTTCGAAAATTATCCAAATTGCGACATCAGAAGTAAAAAAAGAAAATCCAAAATGTTTTCCAAAAAGCGACGTTTTATTTAGAATTTTGCTAGAATTTTTAGGAGAAGATTGGTATGAAAATTATATCACCAAATGCAATTATGAAGGTTTAGTTTTGCTATTTTATAGTTTTCCAATATTTTTTACATTATTGTTCCACTTTTTCATTTTTTTCGTCAATCTCATTGAAAGTTTTTTAAAGACGTTAAATTGTTAAAACCGTCAAATAACTATATTTGTTCGAAGAGCCACTCAAAGACATTTCTTAAATTGCGAAGTTCAACGCAAAAATAATATGGCGAGGAGCGTCCACTACGAAAGAAAAAGATGGCTTAACCACTACAAACAATCCGTAGGAGAGAAGTTTTCGTTCTTCTCCTCAGCCACAATGTTACACCTGCTGCAAGCAGCCGTGTTATTGCACATGCTTTGTCCTATCCTAGATTGCTGCCATACGCCGTTTTCACCTGTTCCAAGTGTGAAGATGCTCTCTGGATCAAGCAAGTAAACGATAAATGGAGAGATTTCTAAATTTTTAAAGTTCTTTCAAATCGGCGAATGCATAACTTATTACTCTTTGATACAGCCTAAAGTTTCGAAATTTTCTGTGCATGAAGCAAATTGCTGCCAACCACATGGCTAAAATTCAATGAAATTTATTTCGCAGATTTGCAAAGAAATTCGAGGGTAACACAGAACTGATTCACGAGTTGGTGAATCTTGATTTACAACATCGTCTTGCATCCTGTGTTCTGCCTGATTTTGGCATGAAGATCTGCAAAAATGGCATGGCTTCATAATGGTTTTGAACCGAGAATCATTAAACTTTATTAAATTATTATTAAATTATAAATAATAAAAATTATTAAAATATTTATCAAACTACCACATTTATTTATTATTTATTATAATATTTATCAAACCACATTCAAACACTTGCAATTTGTTGGCCAAAATCCTTTTTCTTGAAGAGCCCAAATTTAGTTTATTTACTTATTACAGAGGTTTTGAGTACTCTTGTTCATGGTGATTTGTGGTCAGCAAATTTGTTATGGTGCGGTAATAATCTTCGTGCAATAATCGACTGGCAAATGGCTCATTGCGGATCAATCACTGAGGATTTACTGGTTAATGAATACTTATTCTATAATAATTTATAATTTAAAATCCATTTTATTTGTAAGAAATCGTAATTTTTAACTTATTTTATAATTGATTTTTGATTCAATTGATTTTAAATTATATGTGGGTTCACAATGATTTAAAATATGATATTCTTTAAAGTATTTCTATGGTGGTTTACCCTTCCCCCACCCCCCCTCCCTTAGACATTTATTTTAACTGAATAAGCCGATAAAGAATGAGTCCATTGTCGTGGATGTCGGAGACGATACAGAAGACCGCTCGAAGAAATATTATTCTACAATGTTAATCGAGTTTTCTTTTCTTCATTTTTTTTTGTTATTATAGGTAATTAATCAGTAAGAAATTGGGAGAATCAAATGCTACTTTATCTAATTTTTGCACTTTCTCAATTTTTTTTCTGGTCCAGCTGCCTTGTTAAATTTTACTAGGGAGTCACTTGGTGATAGAGGTACGTCGCCAGCATCACCAAGACTTTGGAAGTAGAGGCTTACTCTTTCTTGCCAGGTTTGTAAAATCTCAGCTTCAGCTCTCCGAAATGAGATCAACCATAACCCACTCATCCATTCTATCCACCAATTCGTATGTATTGTATTTAACTAGTGGTGTTAATTTATTTTCCAAATTTGGCTTGAATTAGGCAATTCCAGAAAGAGGCAATACCAGCTTTCATCGATGCTTTAGACGAAGAAGAATCACATCTTTCTTTAGATTTTACTTATTTAAAGTTTGATAATGAAAAAAACGATTGTATTTTAATGAGAAAAGATATGCTATGATTATGGAGAGTGGACTGGCTCATAAAAAATTTTTACATAGAATCGTGGACCTCTGGCTGGATAGCCTTAAGAGAAACGATCCGAATGCCAGCGCGATTTGAATTTTGCATCTCACCAATCCACTAAACCGCAATCGGCGACCACAATTGCTCTTGAAATCTTCCATATTTCACTTGAAGAAATTTATTAAATTCATAACATTTTAAATTCACCTACATATCTACCGATTGCTTAACTCTGAAAAATAGTATATAAATGAATATCGCCTATAATTAGTAAACTAAAGTTTAGCAGCCTAAATCATCAAAAGTTAATATAAAATTTAATTTTTAACATTAAAAAAATTTGGCATTAATTTTTGGTGTAATGAAATTTTCGGGCGATATCAAAAAATCTAATATATATTTAAATATATTTATATTTATAAATTAAAATATATATGTATTATATTTATAAATTTATAAACTGATAGAGCGCGCGTACAAATTTTCATATCTGACGTCAAAACGAAGGATTTTTAGAAAGGAGCTGAAAAGAAGAATTAAAAGATGCGGAAAGTAATGGCCAAAGTAATTCCAGTGATAATTGGAACACTTGGAACCATGACTGCTGAACTAGAAAAGTTGCTCCAGCAGATTCCAAGAACAATATCTGAAACCTCTATCCAGAAGAGTGACCTAGTAGGAACAGCTAAGATTTTGCGTAGAACCCTCAATCTTCCAGGCCTTTGGTAGAGGACCCGAGATTAAGGATGATCACGACTACCTATGAGGGCTCTTTTTTTGTTAAATATTTAAAAATATTATAATAAATTATTAAAGTTAAAAAATATTTAAAAATAATATAATATAATAATATAATAATAATTTAAAAACTTTTCGCCAAAAATAATTCTAAAATTAATAACTGATACTGAATTTGCAGCACTTATTGTCAACATCAGTTAATGTTGAACGTCGAAGAAAATTAACGCAATCACTTCTTAAATATTATTATGGAATGCTGAAAAGTCTCCTGGATGAGTCCAGTGTGGAAATAACATTTTCCTTCGAAGATTTAATGGTATTTCGTTGAATCTCATTAGGTTTTTGAGTAATTTTTAGCGTTGTTCACGAAATAGCGATGAATAATTTTAATACCTGAGAACCAATTCCACATGTGCATTATATGTTATGGACAGATTTTATAGCTATATGATCGTTAAATAGAAAAATTGATAAAATGATACTCCGCACTTTTAAATTCAGATTAATTACCACGAAACGATATTAATAACAGCAGCGAAGATGATGTTTGCAACAACTTTATGGAGTAATTCAAAAGTTTTATGTAATGGAACTTCAGAAGTTGAAGCAAGAATTCAAGAAATGTTTCATCGAGCTGATTCCATAACTGAAGACGCTATTGAAAGCTATAATATATTGAAGAAATAAGCCTTTCTTTGATAAATCTTTTTGATAAGAACTTGTTATATAATTATTGCTATAAATTTAAGCATTTCTAGAATGCCTACAAAAATACTTTATAAGGAATTTGCTGAAAACTTTCTGCCTATCGTATTTTTATTTTATTTTTCTTGGCAAATTTTCTTTTTTTATTAGTTGGAAGTTCCACATAATTTGACATTATTAGAAAATTCTGCAAAAATCACGAAATTCATTTAGTTCAATATTATTGCGAAAAAAAAACATGATTGCTTTATTAAAATGAAGAATTGCAGAATGTAAATATAATTGAAATAATATTCATGGTTTTTTAGTTGGTTTTTGTTGTATTGAAGCCAATGGTGCACACTGCCCAGTGCAAATAGCTCCTTGGCGACTTTTCTGCGTCGGAATCAAACTATCACCAACAGCATAGTTCACTTGACCAATACCATTCAAACCTACCTTAATCATCATTTGTTATCCACATAATTCCATTTAGAAAGGAGAAAATAGCTCAAAGAGTTGTTGCTCAATTGGGAGCGCCGATGTTGAGGTCCGATTCCCCGCAGGAGTAAACCTATACAAAAACCCTGATGATGCTGGCGACTCACCTGTGTCTCTATCGCCAAGGGACTCCCTGACATATTACCCAATGCGATAAACCAGTGGAGCGAGTTTAACCAGTAATGGTGAGGACTCTTAAAAATCCACGGAATTCTGTTCTCAAAAAAACAGATTTTCTGGGAAAAAAACATACCTTAACATTGCTAATCTCTTTCCCATTTTCATAGGTCGTAATCTCCCAATCTTTTAAACCACATTCATCTGCTCGTTGTTGAAACGTTTGACGCTCTCCTTTTTTACTGAATGTCCATCTGTAAAGAAAAAAAATTGGCTTTATTTCGCCAAATGAATTCTCCAAATGAACTTCTTTCAATAATATTTTATGAAACATCGATAAACGAAAAAAGAAGGCAATTACTTATCACTTTTGCGACCATTTGGAGCGGCGATTTGAGCTTGAAATTTCTTATCGGTGTCCGATTTGAGGCGAACAATAATATCGCAAGCAAACGTAACACAAATAACGCAAAACAAGCAAAATAGCAATTTGAGCATTTTTTTTAAATGGTCTCTTTTGCTTAAAAAATGTAACGAATTATTGGCATAATTTGCAAATTATGAAAGCAAAAACGTCGTATAAAATAAATTGCAATATACTTAAATTATTAAATTATTATTAAATTTAAATTATTTAAAAAAAAAATTTGGAAGACTGAAAAATGAAAACACTCTTTTTGTGTTTCAAGTAAATTTCACCAACGACAACTGCTCGATTTTGCCTCTCTCTTGTTTTTTTTTCAGACCACACAAATTTCACTGCAAAAAGGAGCAAATCAACTTGAATTATCAACTGGATAAATATAATAGTGATAAGCGAATGTTGAAATTCTAGAAAACATTTCACTTGCTTCTAATGAAACAAAAAAGCTTTATACAAAGCAAAGCTATATTATCACAATTTTATTCTCAACATTACAACAAACTGAGGCATAGCTAAGGTAAAAATGAAACAGTTGATGTCTCCGGCAAATATATTTCCAGCGTTCATCGGCAATAAACTTCGATAATTTTTCAGGAATATCAAGTCGAATCGCAGATTTTAGATTTCAGTGGATTTTATCAATTATCAAGGCAAGGTTAATAACAATGAATATAGGCCAAGCAAGAAAAAAAATGTGAAATTGTTCAAAAATTTTTTTATATGCAAGTAAAGGTTCCCTCTGCAAATAACACTGACAATATGAAGTACTGAATATATTTCTGAAAAGAGCGAACTTATCGTAAAAAGTGAAACTGGCGAAATTCTAAGAGCAAAATCTTTTTTGTATTTCGATACCTATGTAGTTCTTTGGTGAAGGGGTTTCATTCTAATAGCCAATCTGAAATCGCTAAGAGAAGAGTATTTTCGTTAGCCACTTGGGGCCAGCCTAACCAGTAATAGTGAGAGCTATTAGAAGAAGAAGAACTGACTAAAATGGTTGGATTAAAGTGCCATAGTACTGAAATATTCAAATATGCTCACAATTTAGTACAATAATCCAATTTTTTCGCAATTTTTTGTAATTTTCAATCATCTCTCTTTAAAAATTTTTTGCCTTAAAAGAGAAATCAGCGTGAAGCAAATGTTCGAACATGAAATACAGTAATATTATGAAAAAAATAGCTAAAATAAAATTATTATTTAGAATTAAATAATTTATTTATATAAAAAATATTTTAAAAATGTAAAAAATAAAATAAAATTTCGAGTAAAAAATATTCAACGAAACCTCATTTTAACAAGCGAAAAAACGAAAATGTTCAGATTGATGTGAAGATTTGTATGGCTGAATTGCTGGCGATCAGCTACGCGCAATCAATTATTTTCTCCCACAACTGCTGACGGGGGAAGTCGACAAAAACGTTTTTGTGAAAAATAATAATGAATTGATTGAATATTTATTTATAAATTTGTTTTTCATATTTTGGAAAAAGAAAAAATTTATTACTATAAATAAATAAGTTTTCTTATTATAAATTTTAGATTTATTTTTATCGAATATTATTAATAAAAATAGTAAAAAATTGTTTGCATTTTTGATTTTTGATTATTGAAAAAATCCGAGAACTGTAGGAGCGCTATTTTTGTCGACCAAATAATAAAAATTTCTAGCCTAACTAATATTTTTAGAATTGTTTCTAATGATATTTGAAAAAAAAGTATTTATTCACATATATATAAATTCGCAATAATTTCCTTATGCATGAGCCTAAGAGATTTGAGAATAAAAGTACAGATTGAACCAAACAGGAGAAATATTCCATTTTTAATGCCAGGTAAGCCTTGTCAAAAAGCAGAAACATGGTCGGAAATATGGAAAATTGATGTTACTTTACCTAAATCAAAATCGAGACCATACTTACTTTTAATTAAACAGTACTACAGTTATTATGAAATATTTCTTTACTTCATGCCTTATTCATCAATATAAGATTCAAATTCAAGCGATGCCTAATATTCTATAGAAAATAATTTTTGTGTTCTCATTAAATTATCGCATTTTCTTTTATCTTTTTGATAAATTCTATAAAAATTGTTTCTTTCATCAAAATAAAAATAAATTTTAATGAGCATAATACGAAAAACTTTACAATTGTGACTATAAATTATTGATAAAAATCGTCCATTGACAATCACTGATAAAAAATAAAATATCAAAAGTTTTTTTCCTTAATTCTTTATCTTATGAATTTGAACAATTTAAAAGGTCAAACAAATATATACTTTTTGAGAAAAATTATATGCTTAATTATTGTTTGTGTCCATCTTTTTGTTTCGTTGTGTCATAATAGGATAATAATAAATCTTTGAAGGAATATTAATGAGAAAAGGAAATATTTATACTACTCTTTCAAACAGCAGATACTCAAAAACATTAGACTCAGCCCAGCGCAATGCCTAATGGCCAATAGCTAACGGCCGATCAAAATGTATCACGTGTTAGAATTATTTAAATATCAGCTTTTAAGCCATCCATAAGTTGATCATTCAAGTAAATATCGTCGTGGCTTTTCCTTAATACGTAAACGACAAAAATTATCGTTATTAGAACATAAAATATCATAACCAAACGATCAATTATTCGCGTCGCCTGTTGCCATTCTTGCCGAATTTTTCGACGTTCTTGATCTGAAAATTTTAGAAGGTAAGAAAAAAGAAAAAAGAAAGTTCATTTATCGTTGAAATGCGACTTGCACCGCATCAAATTGCAATAACCTCGAGTAATAATCTGTTTAAGATTCTCGACGTAGTGCCGCAAATCATATAATAATGCTTGAAGACAAATAATATTTTGATTGTCACTCTGAAAATATGCCCCTCTAAGATATCTTTTTGCCGTTTGTACAAGTTTTTTATAAAAAATCGAGTATTTAAAATAATAAACATTGGAATTCAGCTGAATATGACGGCTTGGAGAACGATATTCGATAGTGATTAGTGATTACAACCAGAATGGAAATGATAACTCGTAAACGACTGGTGCATTCATTTAGTGATATGATAATGCTCGTAGACTAGTGGAAGTGGATGTTTGACCAGTGTTTCGCGTGCTTTTAATTGAGAATCTTGGTAACTTCAAATTGGTTATCAAACATTTAGTTCAACAACAAACATTTTTTATCGTTTTTCCCGATCATATTCAGTAAAATATTAAACTAGTTATTAACTGATAAGAAAAAAACTTAAAAAAAGCGAGAAGTTTTTGACTAAAAACAGGTGATTAACGAAAGAAGCTAACTAGTTATTTAGGACCAGTATATGACCAGTATACAGTATATATTTAGGACCAGTATATATATATATATATATATATATATATACCAGTATATAACTCGGTTATAGTGCATAAGAAAAATAAACCTTTCCTATGAGCTTAATACTACAATGGGGAGGGGGATAGGGCGTAGGCAGATTTGGTGGACACATTTTGATAGTAAATGCGTTTGCATTTATTTATAATTAGCTGAAAAAAACTCGACTAATTTTTCTTCTGTCCTTTTAATGTTGTCAAATTACCTAGCAAATTAACAAAAAGAAAAGTACCATGCAAGTTTTGATGACACAACGTAACTCATTTAAATGGATTAGTTGTGTTTTTTTTTTAACATTTTTACGAATTCTGCGTTTAATGCCAAACTGGTGATGCATTGGTCGTCCTTTTGTAAAATATCTAAAATTACCATTCTGCTTTTCGTAATTAATTTCCATGTCCAATTTTGCCTGAATCAAATGAAAAGTTTTCTGCTTGGCCAATTTGACGATTCAGATTCACAGAAGTAATTGTAGTGTATAGAAATAGTTCAGTTTGTTAAAATGATTCATTTCGAATTCGAATTAAAAGTAAAAAAATTATTTCAAAATTTAAAAAAATGGAAAAATATAATTTAACAAAACTGAACAATTCGATAATCGGTGTTTGCTTAGTGCCGTTTTTATTTTATTCTATTACTGCTGTGCCTAATAATGGGGTTCACAACAGGAATAAACCTGAATTTCCTGAAAATCCGGGTGAGCTGGTGATTCATATGCACTTAAATATCACCAAGTGACAATTTGTCAAAATTTTTCTGATCCAATAAGCTAGAGAAGCGAATTTAACTAGAAATGGTGAGCTCTCTTTAAAAAAATCTATTATTTTACTATTTTAGTTTAAACAGCTAAATGATTTAGAGGATAAAAAAGAAACCTTTTCCAAAGTTATGCTATCGTTATCATAATTAAATTTCGAGAAATGAACGGAAAATATCCATGATAGAAATGAACTACAAGCAATTTTTTCATAAAGGCTTCGAATGAATCTGTTAATCGGAATTCCAGAATTTCCTCGCATTTGATATGTGAGTGTTAGTGTCGTTGTTATCGCTGCGAGAAATATAAGAAAGATAAGGCCGATATAATATTTTCCTGAATATTTTCAGCCGTTCCTTCATCATCGTTTACTAATTTACTGATTTTAAAGATTTAAAGTTATAATTATGCAAATTTTGAAAATATAAGATATTTGAATTTGACTATGTGAAAAAATTAATGGAGAAATTTATTGTCGAAATATTTAACAATTTAATTTTTGCAGTACAATTACCGATTAGTGGAATTACTTCAGAAGTTGTCGGCACATTATCTGAGACCATCATCACTAAAAATATTACATGAAATTTATCTAAAATAGTATTGCACCAACCGCCAGCGGCAATAAACCAGGAAAAATAATGTGCTATATTCCAGTATTCTAATCAATTTTGAGAAAAAATCTCGCTTTTGTTCGTTTTGCATAAAGGAATCCGTAAATCAGGCACTTTGCAAAAAATTATTATGCCATTTTTTCATCATTGAAAATTCAAAAAGTTTTGTTCATTTTTGGTGGAGATACTTATCAATATTATTGCAATTTTATTATTTATTGGTAATATTGAATGCTTCAGCCACTGTTTCGACTTCATAAATGGCGAAGAATCACAACTGAATGAACTTAATGATATTAAAACTATTTAATGGCAGTAAAATAAGGGAGTAATGCCAAGATTCGAACTAATTCTTTCACGTCTATCATTCTTTTTAAAATTGATAAGAATCAGTTTATAACAACTCAAAATTTTTAGCATCAGTAATATAAATTGCAAAAACAATGCTTCTTTTAAGGTTAACAAGTTATTCATATTTTCATTTAATTTTATTAATCAGTTCTCTTAGTTAGCATCACTCGTCGCGTAACTAATATCAATATCAATCGCGAATGACTAGATTTGCCTTCAAAAAATGTAGAATTGTAACAGAGAGAATTTACCAACTTCCTTATTTAGGGTTAACTTATAAACTGATAAGACATATATCTCATGCAACTATTACTGAGGAAGGTAATAAAATAAAGCATACTTATAATAGCCATTGAGAGAAGTGCAGTGACCCCTAGAGAAACTTTTTCAGTATTTTCTCCTGATGTTGAATGTGGTGTAAAAAATCCAACCATTGTTACTACTGTTATCACTGCTGATGGTATAACCAAACTGAAAGTAAGTATAGACTGGTGATAAGTTTAAAGTAGATTTTATTTTTAAGATGGTCTATCATGAAATATATAGGAGATGTAAAAATTTTATCGATAAATTTAAAATTTTTAAAATAAACCTGAATAAATAATATGATGGCGACCTTTTTATTACCATGAAATAGGTTACATCGATGAATGGTTGAGTACAACATTCATAGTACTAAAAAAATCAAAATTTTTGGAAATTTTGTTTTAGCTTAAATTTAGAAAATTAATTTAGAAAAAAAATTTTTTTCATAAATATTGAACTAATTTTTCTTATTTTATTAAAGAATATGCTTTTTTTGATTTTAAAGTTCCCACGAGGCCTTTAAATTTTTATGCTGATAAGAGAAATCCATAGCTATTACTACTGATAACTTTTGATTCGTATCCAAATCATATGAATTACGTTTCTGGGAAAAAAAATTTGATTCTAGTACAATTTTTTATAGGATTTTATGGGAATATTTTTTATAGGAATAAGTAATTTTAATTTGAGAAATACCAAAATAGATATCGTTTCCTTTTATTATTCTTTTATTATTTTCCTCATTTCAATAGCAAAAGATTTTAATAAAAAGATGAAAGAAAGGAAAGAAAATGCTGAGAAGGCAATGGTGTCGAACTATAGAACATTGGTTTATAGCTCTAGTTTTATTTGGTTTATAGGTTAAAACTCATTTAATGATAAGCAAAAAGTTCGACAATGGAATAATAGAAACGAATACACTTCAATGATATGCAAATTATTGGTGAGGAAATGCTGACGATGTTAAATGATGTTAAAAAATACCCTGCTCCGTAAATAAATTGCTCAAAACAAAGTACCATGGACGAATACAAAAAGAAAAAAGCAGTTCGTCACTCACCACTGAATTTTCTATTAACTTGCTATAACGTTTACAATGAAATGGTACTTAAATTGATGCTTAAAGCTTAACTGATGCTTAAAGCTTAGAAGAAGAATACGAAAAATAAAAATAAGCATTTATAAAAGGGAACTGTAGAATGAACCTTTCGATAAGTTTTAATAGCAAAATCAGCCAGTGACCATTCTGCATTACTTATATACATCGCCAAATTATCTGTGTTATTTGTTGCTTCAAGCTCAATGTCGCCGCTATCCATACTCCAACTTGAAAATGTTAAATAACACACTTGCTAAATAAATTATAAATTCTTTTCATTAGTTTCAAAGAATTCAAAGAGTTTAAGTATTTAAAAACGAACTTTAAAAACTCTATTAATTATAAAATATAATTAATATTAATATTATACTTAAAAGACGTGAATAGTTCATTAGTAGATCTATGAAACTCTCGCACGAATTTTGCTTTAATAAAAACCTTTAAAGCAGAATTAATCTTATATTCAAAGAAACAAACGATATATACGCCTTATCATTATGATAAAACTATTAGAATGTAAGCAATTCTTTATGTTCTTATAGTATTACATTTCAATACTTTCTAAGAATTAAATCTAACAAGATTAATTGATAACAAAACAAAATATCACTTTATTTTTTACAAAATGATATGATAAGAATACTTGATCGAATGGGAAATCGATAAGATTCATATTACATGTAACATCAGTTATCAGAGATTTGAATAAAATTATATTGCCGTTGTGCTTGATGACTGCATTTGTCTCAAGTTCATTGTTAGCAGTGTTCATATTAGCACTGAGTTGGCAAATATTTTTATTATTATTTTAATTATCATCACTTTTGTTGTTATCATTATTATCATTATTCTTAATTATTGTTATTATTATTACTATTATTGCATTATTATTAGCTTGATTAATATTATTGTATTTATTATTATTAATATCTATTAATATTATCGTTACCATTACTATTATTACTATTACTACTATTACTATTATTATCATTATTATTATTTACTATTATTGCCATTATTGTCATTGATCGTTAGCAATATATACTGCATTTTTTAAAGTGTGTAATATGATAGGAATAGAAAAGACAACTTATTGTAAACAAGGATATCGGGTTCCCATATCCTACCAGCGGGTACATGGATTTGTTTGATTCCATTAAATAGTGATGGGTTCCATTTTAAAAATTCATCATTCCAATACTGAATTATAAATACATCTCCAATTATTCATCATGAAATTTTTTAAAAATTTTTACAGAAAATTATCTCAACATTCTTAATTTTCTATTTCTCTTTAAATATATTTTTTATATCAAATAATAATATAAATGAATCAAAACGAAAATAATTAACTAACAAGTTCAAGCCAGCAATGAACTTTTACGATTTGATCTCTTGCGTTAACTTTTAATATCTAAAAATTATTTTTTATTTAATTATTTTAATTTTTTTATTTATTTATTTTTCATTTAGAAATGAGAGGATTTTAAATTTGATATTTAAAATATAAAATATAAAATTCTTCAAACATAAAAATTAATACGAAAAACCGAAACCGAAAAGTCATTCACGATTTGAGTAGAATAATTTTTTTTCAAGAAAATTTACTAAATGTTTTTAAAAAAAACTATAATTAAATTGTTTTATTTTTTTTATTTCTATATCGACTCTTCTTTATTAAAACCAAAATAAAGAAACATAAAATATTAAACTAATTAAATATTATATTAATGAAATTATTATGAATAAAGAGGTTGTCAAGTAAAAACGATAGGCAATCTTCGAAAATTACTAAGAATTTTAATAAATCCGAGAAATTATGCAGTTAAAATTTTTTCATGGTTTATTTACATATTTATTATTTATTTAAATCAACAACAATTTGCATTTTCGGCAAATAAAAAATGTAGCATTTTGAAATGATCGTCGAATTATCACCACAACATAACCAAAAATTTTATAATTATTATATATATATACTATGTCTAGAAAAATTCAACCTGCTTGAGCCAGAATTTCAACGCCACTTTAGTAGGTTTGGTATAATTGTTGACAGGTCGCAATTCTTTTTGATAACCATCGAATAAATTTTCATAAAGAGATTTCGCTGGTAATTTATAATTAGCAGTCTTAATTACACTTTCTTTTAATGTTATTACTATTTAAAAATGTCGTTTAATAATCAAAAGTCATTCCAAAAAATAAAGATTATTTTGAATTTAATTTTTTATAATAGTGATTCTTTTGGTGTCAATTCAGAACTATTTTTTTGAAGTTCCATGCGAAATTTGATTTAGATAGAAATTAAATATACTGTAAACATATTGTTAGATTAGATGCAAACTTACGTCGCTATGATTTCCATGAACTTGATTCATGAAAAGATATAGCATAGACCATGGTTTAAATAACATTGTACATTTAATAAAAAATTATTTAATAAATGATTCAACGAAATGAGCCATTTTTACACAAATTTTCCATAAAGTTCATTGCTTATTCAAAAAAAGATCTGAACATTCATATTTTAGTAAAGTGGTAAAGATTTTCAGCAGTAAAAATTGATCGCTTAGGGATTAGAATTGCTTGTGCAAGTACCACAGATTGATTTTTGTGCTGAAGTTGCAAGATTGCAAAAAAATCATTTGAACGCTTATTGTTCTAATTAACTGATTAAAGCATGATTTCATGCAACAGCCAATTTATACTAAAAGTTTGCAGGTTTTTAGTTTTTTTCTTCAAAAAAAATTTTTTTACAAGGCAAATAGTGAAAGCGCCCAGCAGCATTTATTATTTTAAATAAAAAAATTTAAAATTTTTATTTGAAAGTATTATTACAAATTTGAAAGTATTTCTAAAAATTTAATTTTAATTAAGTATAATTTAATTAAGTATAATTATCGGCAAATAATTAATCTTATTTATTTGATTATAAAAATTTAAATATGTAAATTAAAAAAATTTTTGCAACAGATAATATTCAATTTTTTTTCGCGGAATAACAAAACTTCATAAATCGTTTAGGTATTTTTTTGTTAAAAAAAAGGAGAGTGCTCTTCGATTTGCAGTGATAATGAATTGACTTGTATATTGACTAAGCCGTTAAACATGGTTTCGTTAAGATTTCTGATAGTTCGTATTATTCAATTAGCTTTAAACTACGATTATCACAATGCGGAAATACGAAAAGACTGCTAAGTGCCTTAATCAGCCTGTTTTGGTTTTAGTGAGAATACGGATAAGAACCATAGCAAATTGTTCGTTTCAAATATGCATAAAGTTGAAATAGCTTGCAAGAAAAGATTGTAAAGTTGGCTTAATGACTTGTCATTAAATCATCCAAGTCAGAAATCTAAAAAAAAAGAAGAGAACGCCTAGGTTTCTTCTGGTAGAAAATTGAATAATTGATAAATAATAGAATTATGAATATTTGGATGTAAGGGAATCGATAGAAACACGAATAAGCCACCAGCACCACGCGACTTGCATGTTTATTCATGCGTACAGTAGAACCCCAGCATCGGTGCTCCAAATTTAACAACAACCCACTGAGCTATTTCAGACCCATATTTCTATAATTAATTGTATTGAAAAATATTGAATATTAATCTATAAAAAATGATTTGCCATTTCAATTCAGGTAGATTTTGAAGAAAAAATCATCTATTTCCTTCAAAATTCGCCAAATTTCAAAAATTTTTCTAATCTCTGTTAAATAGCTTTCTTCTACTCTTCTTCTACGTCTCTAAAATCGTCATTAGAGTTTCCTCCTTCTGTTTTAATGGTCATTTACCACAATTCTTTTTAATCCTCAACTTTACCTCTCTTTATATCTCTAATACATTCCTCAGAACCTGTTATATCTCATTAAAATCCCTCAAAGCCTCAGTGAGTTCTCCTAATGCCTCATCAAACTTCGGTAACTCATCACTAGGCTAGTTATGAACCTTTTTAATTATAATTTCTTAGTCACTAATGCAGTATCTCGATTAAGAAGCCCCTCATAAGCTATTAAAATCCTCCACACACCCAAAATCTCCTAAATTCTTTTCAACATCTTATCAAACTGCACGTAACTTTTAAAAATCAGGTAGCAGGTTTTATAACATGTTTAATGCATCCAATTTATCGTGTGGTGGCTAAGCACACTGTGGAACCAAAACCCTATTCCACTAATACTCCTTGAAAAACAATTATGCATGCCTTTGAAATTTCTATTTGCCAAGATGTGATCACTTATTGCCCACTTTTTTACATGAAAAGTGAACAACCAAGCAGGACGACAAGCACCATATGCTTGCATTAATAACAACAAATGAGGTGCCAAATGAAAAGGCGGCATTCGTGACAAATACAAAATACAGGAAATAGTAAAGAAATGTGACAACTGTGAAGTGTGGAAACTAAGAATGTAAAGAGAATTAACACAAATAAAGGGAAACAATGGCACAAAACGAAATGTATTACTGAGACATAATCGCATGCCGGAAGACGACGAATTCAGTCTCCCTGCATGACTGAGTGATCTAATCCTTTTCCTTTCTAAAAATGGCCAAGGATGATGCATGAAGCACGTCGCTCGGCAACTTATTCCATTAATTAACGGTGCGAGGAGTGACGAGTTTTTACCATAGTTCGTTTGGGGATGAGATGGCTCAGTGGGTTGTTGCTCAATTGAGAGCGCCGATGCTGAGGTTCGTTCCCCGCAGAGGTAAACCTGTACAAAATTCCAGGTGATGTTGGCGACTCACCTGTATTCCTGTCCCCAAGGGACTCCCTGACATATTGTCCAATGCCACAAGCCAGTGGAACGAGCTTAACCAGTAATGGTGAGGACTCTTAAAAAAAGGTTTAGTTAGTTTCGTTTTGCATATAGGTTTTAATAGTTTTATTTGAAATAATTTCATTAAAACTATCATGCTGCTTCATGAAAACCTCAAATATCGGCTAATATCTTCTCGACGTCCCCGGATTCCCATTAGATTTTCTCGTACCACAATTTACCAATGGCCCCATTTTTAAACCCCTTTTCACCATTATCGGGCGCAATTGTACACTTTTAACAATCGTCATTTAGCTCCATTAACATCCAATTGAAGCCAACTTTGCGTTTTTTTCGCGACAATAGCGATGAATGAGTTATCCGACGGGAATTCGAAGTTGGTGGAGAATTGCAGCGACTGCGAAGACGTTGAAGGATTATTTAGAGAATATAAAGGGGAATATACGAGGGAAATTCATTCGTAAAACAAATCTTTTCCATAAAAAATCCAAAAAATGCTTAAATTAACGATGGAAACAGTGAAATCGAAGCGAAGAAAGTTCGTTCAATTGGGCGTCGATGAATGAAAAATAAAAAAGAATAAATTTCACACGAATGGAAAGAAAAATTTTTGGATCAACGATAATAATTTCAAAAAATAAGTTTAATTGTAAAATTGAAGAGATTTGAAGAAAATTTCGCTTTTGTTGAGATTTGGGGTTTTCAAAGTTCCTTTTCTTACGCTTTCATAATTTCAGGTGGAGATTCGCTGACGAAACGAATTCCCCTCCCCCGTAGAATAGTTCCACTCGCATAGAACAATAGTTCCCCCTCAGGGAACAATTTCCTACGTATATTGTCTTCGGTCGAATTTCGCTTATAGCATTTCTTCGGGCTCCATAAACTGAATTTAAATTCTTTTAGGGTCATGAAAAAATTTAATTCTTTTTATTTGATATCTATTAAGTTTTTTTAAATTTTTTAAAAATCAAGCGATTTTTCATTTAGTCAAATTATCAACGAAATACCTAAGTAAGCGAATAGGAAATGCCGCGTCCAAAGCGTTAACGAATTGGCCAAATTCGCATTGAAGATTAGTAGAAATATTGCAATGAAATAGGAAAATTCAGGCATTCCCGCGACAAATTTTAATGCACTCGACTGCTACTGAAATATTTATAAGGCGAGTACCACCGCAACATTGATATAAATCTAAATAGGCAATAATAATAATGAGAAAATGCTGCGGTGAGGCGAAACTGTCCTTAAATTATCCCTTACAACTCGTTATGCCGTCTACCACACGGTTTCTCAATCTTTTTCCAGTATGGACCCTCACGAAAGAAACAATTTTTCCCCACCGACAACCTAAAATTGAAATACAATGAAAATTTAAAAAATGGATTTCTGTTAGTCCGAAAGCTTTTTATTCTTATATTGTGCGAATTAAACAGTTTTCGAAAAACCGATTTGCTCATTTGAAATTTTTTTCCGCAATTATCGCAAAATTTTTACTTTTTCATTTCTTTTTTTTCCACTTTCATAAATTCCATTTTTCCAATTTTTCAAAATTTCCATTTTTGCAAATTCACTTGGCTTTACATGGGGAAATTCGCGAAATTTCCTCAGTGTCAACGAATATTTTCATAATATTTGACCGAAATTTTTGTTTGTTTTCTTATTTTATATTGAATTCCATTTCTTAAACCATAAAAAGTGCCAAATCCGACCAAATAGATTTTTAAGAATTTCATTGTTTTTCTTCGATTCGGCTTTTTCCTTATTTATTCAAAGAGTTTATTATAAAATAAAATAAAAAATGTTTCGAATGTTCAGAATTGAGTTTTCTCCATGCAAATTCAAATGCAAATGAAGGAAATATATTTGAAAAATGTGTTAAATAATAAAATGCGAACAATGTTGAAACAATGCAATTCGTTTCATGAATTATGGAAAACGAAGTACCACGGAACATTGAAAAACGGTTTGAGGTGCCGCGCATTCACCGTGGTTATCGTTCTTTCGTATATCAAAATTAATCAATTATTTCGAAAATTCGGATTCTTTTGGACTAAAACAAAGAGAAAAGGAAAAAAGAGAAATTAGCGCTCACAGTTTCGAATTATGTTGGCCCCACTATTTGGAGTTATTGCCAGAGAGGCAAATGGGAATGGGAGCTGTTGCAGCTGGTGGTCCTTGGCTCGGTTTTTCAAAAATGGCTTTACTCTCGTCTGAGGCAGCATTCGAACCTTGACATCAATAAATTGACTAGCGACCACTCGTTTATCCTATCTCCACAAAAGTTTCAGTTGAATGAGCCGACGAAAATGGCCACTGATGGATTTTGCCTTCCAGCTAAAAATCTCTGTTGCTAGTGAATTAATTAAGACAATCGCGCAAATATTATTCATAGGCCACAGATTAGCAAAAAATAAGGTCCAAAAAGGTTTTTACCTCAGTTTCGCATATAATTGCAAGTTTGCCATCGGCCAACAACTTAGAATCGCTGATCATCTTTCGCGGTCGTAAACCAGTTTTATACCATCACAAACTATGGTATATAGCCTGGATCCAAGGGCCACACGGCCACCATAAAGTATTTTCCTGTGCTATAAGCATTCCAACATTTTACCGAAGTAATTTCCAGGAAGGCAAGCAAAAGTGCTCCAAATGTGAGAAATATTTAATATTTTAATTTTTCTATTTTAATTTAATATAGAATATGTAATGAAATCGAAAAATTTTTCTTTATCATCGATCCACCTTAAATTAAATTTTTTACGTCTTTAAAAACTCTCTTAAGGTAAAATTCATCTAATCAGCAATAATAATATTTGAAAATTATTTAATTTCATTTATCTCCACCATCTCGTTTTTACGTGAAAAATTATACTAACTTCGTGCGCGAAAAAGACGTCAATTGCTTGGCTTAATTTGTTGTACAAATTGCGAAAATTCGCAATTCGCTTCTTTTTAACGGAGCCATCGTCGCGTTCCTCCAACTTTCCCAACGCGTTTTCCAACGTCGTAAAATATCCTAATTTTTATAAAACATTTAAACAGAGGGATTCATCCACTTGCAGCAAATTTCCAACTAAACTTGTCATTAAAAGTCTCATTTTTATTTCTAAGCGGCGGACTTCCTCGCGAAAATCTCTTCCAGAATTCCAACAGCAATGGAGCATACTCAACCAGAAACTGGGAACTCTCGAAAAAACGAGGATGTGCAGTGAAAGAGACAAAAATGGAGTTCCAGTTTACACGTGGTTTTTGGGAAATTTCCCGCATGTTCCGAAAATTAATTTGCGGATACTTGCCAATGAGTTTGAGTATACATCGCCTGATAATAAATCATTGCAACGCCTTCAGGCGAATCTTTTGCACTTAAAAATGATTGAAGTGGTTGTTCCGCCAACTTCTGCCGGAATCTCTCAGTGCCCGTTTTCAAAGCGCATTCCTCATTTATCTCTATAAGTGTGTAATTAACCACTTAATTAATTAGATTAGAAGTGAACACTTGTCATATAACCAAGCGATGAGGATGAGTGATCAAGTCATGTCGAAAATTTAGCAAAAGATTTCCTTCTTTGAAAAATGTTAGTCACTTCCCGTAGGGTCGTACGTCCCGTCGCACAAGTCTGAGCACCATCGGTCCAATTCCCCTTCTCTTATGGAAAACTAAATCTCCCCATCAAAACTGAAATGCGACAGTCTCTGTTTCATATAAGCGAGGATTTTCGTTTGTTATAGAGTCGATTTACGAGCGCTCTTTTAACGAAGAGAAGAAACTTTTTTAAATGGCGTCGAATCTCGAATTTCAAAACGATCGTTTGTTTCGCACGCTAAGCGAGAACTGAGCTGAACCCAACGGATGGTTTTCATCGTTCACCGCAGGTGATTCATATTGAATATTGCCGATTTCAGGTTTCACTGTTTGTTCAGAAGCTGCATAATTTCTTTCGATGAAATCTTTTTCGGCCATTATTTGACTATTTCGGCATAAAATAATCCCAATTACCCATAATGGAGAAGAGCAAATGAAAGCGTTGAAATTTTCTATGAAATGATAAAATCAGAATTAGTGGTAGATGTGAGTCGTCAGCATCACTCGAATTTCTCCGACAAGTTTATCCCAACGGCGAATAGAAGAACCTCAGCGAATGTGTATTATTCAGTAAAAATGTGCTTTCTATGGGTTTTTCATGGAACTTTCTCCTAGGTTGAATGAAATAATTATTCAGTGAAAATTTGCGTTTTTCGTGGAACTTTCTCCTAGGTTGAATAGAAAGAAACGCGCCTCGGAATTTCGACATAAACGCAAAAGAAGCGCTTTCAGTGGATAACTTCACAATTTCTGCATAAATAAATAATAAAAATTTTGACAAATCATGAAAATTTTTTAATTTATGCAAATTGTAATAACAAATCAGAAATTATCAAATATTTTGTTAAAGAATCTATTTTTTTATATTTTTTGCAAATTTCTTTACAAATATTTGAAAAATACGAATTTAAATTTTTATAATTATTGATTTTGCATGAAAATGTTTTAATTTTAAAAATAAAATGCTACTGAAAACATTTTTTTATAAGGAAATTATTAAAAATTTTATAAAATTAATAAATTAACAATTTTTAAAACTTTGAAATTTTCTTTATTTAATAAGATTTTAATGGGTTTTTAATGGGTTTTAGCGAACGAAATGGGTTGAATATTTGGTGTTTCAAATTTGTATCCATTAAAATAAGTAAAAAGTAAGTAACAAACAGAACGTTGCCAATGTTCTGTTTGTCAATGTTCGAACTGATAAAAATGATAATGAGGAAGAAGGCGACGTCGCTGATTTCCAGAAGCAGTGTACTAATAAAGATGGTAAAATGGAAAGAAGAGGAAAGAGAACTTTGGAGTGCAAGTAACCGATTCTCGATAGCAGTGAATTCGGACGCCTATCGACCAATCAGATTTTGGAGAGCAGTATTTAAGCTTATAGAAGGGCGAAGGCGCCGCTAAAGTGAGAGAGTTGAGGAAGTACCACTCCACTTCCATGTAAATTTGGATCTGACTGGGTTTATTGTTTTGTCGCACGACTGCGAATTATCGCGCAGTTTTTCTTGCACATTCATCGCAATAAAATGCTGCTTGCGTAAGATGCAATGCGCTGTGCTGGGGAACTTTCTTCCACTCTTAAGGTACTTTAGAAAACTGCGATATTTCCTAAATATTGCAGATGCATCGAGGCCATAGTTATAATGGAATTAGGAATTTCATACTGTTGAACGGTTTTTCGAGAGAGTTAAACCTGTAACCTCGCCTGCGCCATTCTATGCAAGGAAATTCCTTCGATATTCCTTCTTTCCTGGAACTGTAACAAGGAATATCGCTGCTCAAATAATTTACATGCATTCTATTCTAAAATTTGCAAAATTGAAAAGATATAAAGCATTGCTTTCAAGTAATTTGGGATTTTCAAGATGTTTTCAATAGACCTTCATAATTTCGAGTGGAGATTCGCTAACGAAACAAATTTCATTCCCCCTTCCCCCCCCCCCCCCCCTCTCGCCATAGAACAATCCCCCCGATGAGAACAATTTCCTGTTATTATCCAATATTATTATTATTATTATTATTATTATTATTATTATTATTATTATTATTATTATTATTATTATTTGATATCCAATAAGTTTTTTTTAAATTTTTTTCTATTCAATAAATTTGTTTTTCTACGATTTTTTTTTATTTACTCAAATTAACTAATAAACCTTTCGGCGATTAATTAATAAAACTAATTTGTCTTTGATTTATTTATTTACTAAAAATATTACGAAAAAAAATCCTTCAGGATTTTTTTCAATTTCTGCTCAAAAAATTTTAGCAAAAAATAAATCGAGTAGTTTCTGTGTTATTTAAACAATGCTTATAGCCTGTAGTTAGATTCGCTACGCTAGCCTAATATTCGATAAAAAATTTTTGCTGGAGGCCCACTCGGTTAAAGACCGAAGTTAAATTGAGTTGAGCCATCAGCAGTAGCAGCCGAGTTCTCAAAGGATAGTTCCACTCTAGTCGCGAATAGAATTCCGGAATTGAAGCTTTAAAAAATGAATGCAAAAACTCACTAACATAGGCATTCTTCTTATTATAATATAATATGCTTGGAAATGACAATAAAAAATTTGCATATGTCCGCTCAATATAAAATTCTCCCTCTGATTTGCCTTTTTACTATGGTACTTAGCCTTGACGGAAATAAGAATTTCTCTTTTTCTATGGTACTTAGTTTTTTTTGAACTATTTGGCTATCTTTTTTTGACTTTATTTTATTATACTTCGATTTTCTTTTTCGTAAAAAATTCTTTCAGCTAATTGGTGTAAAAAAAATCTAATAATCAATGATAATTCTAAAAAAAATTTAAATAAACTTAAAATTTTATCATTTAGCTGCAATACAAAACATTTAATTTTCTTTTAAATTTACCGCGAAATAAAATTCTTGGCAGCTAGCCAAAAGATATAATTAACTAAATAGCAAAATTTCTTGTTTTAGTGATAAGATTGAAGAGATTGATGAAATTTGTGATAAAACTTTGTTAGTTTTAGTTATCCGATCTTTTTCTTATCAGTTGTGATTATTTTACTAGTGCTCACCATTCATTTTTTTCGATATTTCGTTGTCTTTTTGGGTAGTGAAATTTCGTTCACTAAGAAATTTTCACGTGAGAAAATTATATTAAATGTCAATTTTAAAGTTAAAATTTAATCAAATTAATATTTAAAATGTTTTTAGACAAAAAAAACAGAATTTTTATTGAGAAATTTATTTTTAAATTAAACTTAAATAATAAATTTAATTTAAAATTGATGAAAGTAAATATTAATCAAAAATAAGAAATTTTCGATTTTAAGTTTTATTAAAAGAATTCCCTCCAAGTTTTTTTAAATTTAATTTAATTTTAATTTTCAGAGATAATTCTCAATCAATAAACATTACAATTACGAAATATTACAATTAATTTGATTCGTTTCTTTCTTTTTTAATTTTAAAATATTTATTTTGAAATATATTATGATTATGATTTAATATTTTTATTTTTATACGTCGATTTTATTTCATCATTTTTATGAAATTTTAAATTTTAATTAAAATTTTTTAGATGAAAAGAAAGTATTAACGAAAGGATCAGTAGACACTTTGCATTTACAATAATCAAAAATGGCGTTTATTTTGTTTTGTTTTCGCTCAGAAAAAATTGGCTGAAAAACTGGTTAAAGTTTTTTTTTTTTTATTTTCGTAATGATTCATTTGATTAATTCGCAGAGTTTCTTTTTTGCTTGTACTCTATAATTTTTTTCATTAAAATGAAATATTTGCGAAAGTTTTGTCGATATTAAAATATTTTATTTTTAGCATTTAAGACGATTTTTTAAAATATTGTTTTGAAATAAATTGTACGAAAATGTTTATATTTTATATATTCAAACTAATATATATTATTGTTTAATGAAATTGTTCTTTTATTAATTGTATTTTACTCTTATAAAGTGCTCGATTCAAAGAAAGAAAGATCATTTTATTAATAAAAATGTTCTCGCCAAACGTTCGTGATTCATTTTATATTACATGACGTAACAGTTCAGATTGAATCGTACAATGGAGAATAGTTCAAATCGCATTGTTGCGATGCGCTTATATGCAAACTGGGAAACTGATCGAGCAACGGCCAATGCTGTTCAAAGGTAGATTCTGAAACAGTAGCGTTTTTATTTGTTGCCAAAAATATTCGTGATAATAATATTCATTTTTTTTATATAATGAGTAAAATTTTGAAATATTATTCATGAAGTTTTATTTGTTTGCTTTATTTAATAACTCAGTTTATTTATTTTTTTTCAAATTTTTTTTTAAAGAATGGAATATTTTTTCTTGCAGGATATTTACAATGGCTTTATCGCGTCTTACACTGGCTTCTTTCCCTGAAAATAGTTGCTCTTTGGTTGTCACAGTAAAATTGCTGGTAATTCTTGGTTTCTTATAGAGTATTTTTTAGAGATTGATGATATTTACATTACTTATTATTTGCTGGAGAAAGCTACCACTTTTTAATTGATCGTAGCTTGGTTCAGGCAAGAAAGTCACATAATTCTATAGGATTTTTATTATATTCATAATTATTTTAAGTTTGTTTTGTTTACTTTAATTGAGCTTATTGTTTCCATCTCTTGTTAAAAATTCGTTTCTAGCCTCATTTCTTTTTCATAATCTGATTTTGATTCAGGGATGTAAAAGAAATCTAAGAAGTAACGATTTCACAGTTTTAGCAAGTGACGGAGTAGTGGACGTCAATCTCAATATCTCATTCACCATTCAGGTAATCAGTTGTTTTTAATTTATCCAAAAAATCGAATATTTTTATTTTTTCAGTATCGGCATTTTCTCAAACGCAAGGCAAATATCCTTCAAGTTTTATTGCAACGAAGAAAACGGTATAAAAATCGTCACATCCCTGGATATAAAACTCTGGCAGTAGGTGAATTGTGTTTTTCTTATTTGATCGATTGCCTTCGGAAAAAAAATTTTTTTTCCATTTATTGCGACATTCATTTGAATATTTAGCTTTCATACCAAGATAAATTTTTGCAGGATCTATCAACTTAGCAGAAGTACTTCAAAGTGGAAGCTTGCGCGAAATCTCTCTTTTTAGTACATTTTGTGAGAAAGATGATAGCCAAACAATTAATGGTACGATGAATTTAATTCTTGACGTTGCAAAATAAATTTACCATTATTATGTTTTTAGCTTCAGACACGAAAAAAAAATCACTTCTTTGATTCATTTTCTCCTATTGCGTTTCGAATTCATGCATAATTCCAGCATGTAAAGGGAAATTATATTTCACATCATGTCAGAGTCAGGCATTTGAAGCCGAAAATGAATTGAACGTGCAGAGAATAAAGGAAAAAGAATTAGAAAGTGAAGAAGACGATTATTCATCAACTGATGGGCAATTATCGGACAATGAACATGAAATCTCCGAAATTACTCGTTCTGATACAAAACAACGGTAATTGGAGATTAAGAATTTGGGAATATTTTCGATTTATTTTGCAGATGATATTGTAAATTAATTCATTGCAGATTAAAAATTAGAGAAACACGTCAACAAAAAATTGCACAAAGAAAAAATATTAAACAAAAACTTGTTTCATTGCTAAAAAAGTTCAAGATTCCAGAAGATGGAGCTGGTAAATATTTTTTTGTATATTATTTGACTTGTTTAATATATTTATTACAAGGCTGGTGGTTTCCACTGAGGAAATCTGCTATAGGTATTCTTTGCTTCTCAATCTTTAAAATTACGCTTATCATTTTTTTTCCCTTATCTTTTTCTTTTGCCATTCTTGGCATGTCATTCTTGCATTATCTCATAGAAAGTCAAGTATTTAATGTTATTTTTTTTGTAAAATCTTATGCTTGATTTACATAAGATTTATAGGAAAAATGGAGTTATGGAAAGTGAAGGCAAAAGTAGTCCCAGTGACCATTGGAGCACTAGGAACTGTGACCATTATACCAGAAAAGTGGATTCAACTCCAGGAAAAACAATGATCTCTTTCCAGAAGAGCACTCTTAGGAACAGTTAAGATACTGCTCAGAACTCTGAATCCTCCAGGCTTCCGATAGAAGACTCGTAATTGAAAATATCCCTTGCTCCACAGGGGTTGAGAAAGGGATATATATATATATGTTTGTATAACTATTGTAAATGTTAAAAAAAAGAAACTTCTTTTTTCTATATATAATTTCAAGGTGTTGCCTCTCAGTCAGGTGTTACCGCACCAACAGCTCAGGAACTTGAAGAATTTATTGAAGAGCTCGACAATTTGTCTGATTCGGGCCCCGAAATGCTTATGGATAATTTAAGTATTATCAGCAATCCACGCCCAGGACTTCAGCCATATTTCACTACGTCCCGTGAAATTCTTCCGACTATAGCTGATGACCATGTAATATTATTATTTGATTTACTATTGGAAAATTCGTTTAGAGGATTTTTCGCATTTACATCAATTGAAGCTTTGTATTAATCAATTTTCTTGTCTTATATCTTTAGGATCCATCAGAAGATAGCGAAGAAGAATGGAGTTCTGATGCAGAGAACAACAAGGAAGAAATCATAAGTTCGAGGTAAAACAGTTGTTTTAAGTTATATAGGTTTTCAATTAATAATTAGTAATTTTCATATATTTAGTTTCTTTGTTGTCGATATATGTTCTCTATAGTTCTACATTTTTTTCTATTTCTATATAAATCCTACGACAATGCAAATAGATTGACTGAACAAATGATTGAGAAGTATTCAACTGGAGTGGCGGTCTAAATTTCAGCAACAAAAGGTGCAATGTAGCTGGAATTAATTCTTTTGCAATGACTGGCTCAGTTAGCACTCTTTCACCTAAATCTTCTGATGTATTTGCAAAAGCACGGCCTTCTTTGAGCGACACCAGAGTATTCCGAATAGAGACGAAGAGTGCAAAACCGAGTTCCGTATCAAAGTGGGTGAGTTCGCATTTCATTCATTATTATTTCAAATTTTATTTTTATTTCTTACATCGCCATAGTAATTAAATTGCCGATACGTCAGCCTTATCTACTAAATTATCATTAATAAATTATAAATATAAATTATCATTAAAGTAAAATTTTTTCCTAAATTTTACTTTTGGCTTCATTTTTTCTTTGTTCTATTTAGATTTCCGCTTATTTGCGAGATGATCCGTGGAATTTATCTGAACGAATTTGGATTTGTTCTTTCAATGAAATGCCAATCTTATCTTTATTAGATTCTACTCTTCATATTCTTGATTGTGCATATTTTAATGATTGTCGATTATTGATCTCTTCGATCGTTGCAAAAATTCAAAAATTGTTCGTCATTTTTCCAATAGTTTAGATATTGCACTTTAAGAATTAAAGGATACAGATATCGTTCAAACAGGATATCGTTTATAATCACCATTTCTTTACGTTTCTTGGGAGGTGTGTGATGGGTGGTATATTATTGCCAATCAGTTCAGGCATCATGATTCGGTCTTTTATGGAAGTTATCATTAAAAAATAAATCCGGTTGGTGCTCTGATCCACCTATACTTTCATCTTCAGTTAACCCTTTGATGAAAGGATCTTATCTTATTATGAAGCCTGAACTGATTGGCAAATTGGAGAATAGTGAATGCTGCAAGAAAATTAATATTAAATCTAGCTAAGTTTTTAAAAGTGATTGAAGCGTTGGCTTCATTTATATAAAATATATCAAATTCTCTTAAAAAATGTTCTCTGTATTTGGTAAACTTCAGTTGTAATACATCATCCACTTCTCCGCCGTGTACAGTGATTGGTATTGTTGGTTACGAAAAATTGATTAATAACGTTCTAAGGGCATATGTGGAGACTCTCCAAAACAAGTCTACGGATTGGATGAATTTTTTAAGGTTTTTTTTAAGAAATTCATTTTGTATTTCGAAATTCATAAATTTATTTGTGCAAGTCAATTTTAAAATATTTATTGTGGTTAAAATGCACACTTTCTTTGTGTGGAAAGTACTTGTATATTTTATTAGGTAAATATTAGTTCCATGCGTTGTTTTTTCTTAAAATATTGTTTGAAGGTTCTGTGTAATTGCTCCTCCATGGAGTACAGTTGGTAAACTGTTGTCATCACTTGATAGTCGCCAGAATTTATTAAAACAGATTTTTGACCGTCCCGTCACCGACGTTTCATCTAATGAATTGAAAGCTATCGCTACCAAATTTCAATCACTTGCAGAAGGCGCAACTCATGAAATGCCAATTGGTGAAGCAATGTTGCAACTGCATGGAAAGCAGTCGTCAGTCGTTTTATTCCTATTATAGTATTGCTAAAATTTGGAAACTCGTTTTTCGGACTTTATAACGATTTTGATCTTTTTTAATCCGTGAAGCACTTATAGTGAAAAACTTGCAGAACAAATGATGAAAAGGATACCCATCAACTTTTTATCCCTTTTTTATCCGAAATTCGCATCGGACAGTTTGATGATGATGTGGACTTATTAATATCTTCGCCGCGAAGCGTCGACGATTCTCTCGTATGTTCATTTTTTGTTTACTATTAGGTTGGTATGCTTTTTTAAATCTTCACTTCGATCTATCTTTTCGGTCTATATTTTCTGTCTATACATATCTATATCTATACATTTATCTATATTTATTTATAAATTTTTTTAACTGAAGATTCGAAAGCAGTTCAATGGTTTCAAATTATGAAGATCCACCTCTTCCCATGTTATCGTCGGGAAATTCTATCTGGGAGTTCTCTTGGAAGAAGGTTATATGAATCTGATTTTTTAAGCAAAACTATGATTTTAGCAAGGAAATGCTGCTTCTGGACATTCACCACCAGGTTCACCACATTATTTGCAGAAAAGTGATTCTCAAGATCTTCAGATTGAATATTGGGTTATACAGATGGTGAGCTTTTTTCTCTGCTATTTTTTGAATAAAGCTCGATTAGATTTACAGGATTTCAAACGTGTTAAGAGTTTTGGTAATCGAAATGATAAATTTTAAGAGTACGAGATTTAGCAGTTGAAAAGATTTAGAATAAAGTACCGTACAAGGGAATTGCGATGACGAGTTCCTTTATATTGCCTGTTTTTCAAAAGTCAAACTATTAAGAATTTTAAACTCTTATTAACTCTTAAACCAGTCATAATTATTTCAATATTAGCGGCTATTTGTTCCATCTTATTTTATCTTATTATGAAAATGTTTTTACAAGTATTTTTATAAAAATATTCATGTTTTTTCTATTTCGTGGAAGAAATTCGTATTTAAGGCAGAAACATCTCTGAGTCAAAGCTCTACAAATGCCACGATGCAGATAAAACGAGATTTAGAAGCAGTTAAATATTCAGTTCGATCAACTTTTCGTTCTTTAACTATTTCATGTAAACCAAACACACCTCTTCTATGCTTACAGTTTATTAAGGAGAAAAGAAAGGACAAAATGTTACAGAAATTAGGGATGAAAAAGGGCCAGGTACCATTTTTTAAATCTATTAATCTATTCAGTTTTTCTCAAAACGAGTTCAAAAGATATTTGGTTTCAATTTTTAAATGTTTTCCAGCATTTTTTTCAGAGGAATGATTCGGAAATGCAAAATACAAGTCAGTTGATTACTAATGTTACTAGAGCTATTTGTAGCGGAAAACATCCTCTTAAAGGTTTATTTTTCATTATTTTATATTAAATTTACATACATTTTGCATAATATTTACATATTAATGCAAAAAGAAACTCATTTCTGACGACGAAAAACTTTGGAAAGTTAAAAAAGCAATAATTTAATGCTTTAATAAATAAAGGTAAGTAAAAGTAATAGAGCTATTATAAGAGAGTGTTGGATTATACGATGAAGAAATGTGGAAATATATTATGATAACATTGTCTTTGGCACTGTCTCATGTTTTTGTATGATATTATAGAATAATAATTGTATTATAGAATAATAATTCAAAAACATTTTCGCGATTGAACACTATTCCACCATAAATAAATTTGCTAATTCTTACATTTTTTTTCTTTTCTTCGGGGTGATAAAAGGTAATGATATTAGTTTAGATGAAAATCTAGCGCTTATCATTTCTAGTTGTACTCATTCCATTTAAGTATTATGAAAAAATATTGGTCAGAATCGCTTAAGAGTAGAAATGTAGATGAACGCTCAAGCTTTTTCTGTAAATACTTTGCTCTTGCTGAAGGTAAAATCTGAGTTATTCGAAACGTTAAATCTATGCAACAATCATATCATGTTGGTGATGAAACAGAAAGGATTACCTTTCATCATCGACTTCCATGCGTGAAGTCTTTTTTATCGTAGGATAAATTTAAAAAAGCGCATTTAAGCAATCATTTCAGTTTGGGTCGATGGTTGTCCGTGGAATGAAGTCCGATTTTTTCAAGCATCCGGACAATGGCAGACTCATGTAAAATATTTTCCAATTTGTTTGCTTGCCAGTGATATAACGAACTGATGGTTTTTCGCGAAGAACTGGATTCCGAATATTTTTAAGGATTTCTTTTGCTAAGCTTCCTAAAATTTTACGTTTTACATTCATTCTTTGGTGCTTTAGGATATCTAAGATCATGACTGCTTCCATAACTGCTTTTTTATTGTATATGTGGTTCAAATTTAACTACATGTTTGGAGAAATTTTTTTTGGTTCTTTTTTTATAAATTCTCTTTCATGGAACAATTTAATAAATTTGTGCCAGAGGTAGGCTGATAATTCAAGTTATCTATATGGCAAAGAGCCAAAAAAATATTAAATTTTAAATCCTGTTTCGTTCAAAGTTCCACACTTTTTCGCGCCTTTTCGCTCTTTTTCGCTCTTTTGGCTGGTATGCTATTTTGTCAGTTTATTTTTGATGTGATTTTTTTTGAAGACCTTATAAATTCATTCATTGATTCATATGTTGGGAATGTACATTCTCTTTACTATTTTTCTTCTTTTTCTTTATTGGGAGGAAATATTTTTATTTTTTTAAAAAAAATGGTTCTTCATATTGATTGGTGCTGTTTAATAATTTATTTTAATTACCTCTTTTCATTGTTAATTTTTTTGGCACTTTGCGATTTATTTTATGTTGAATTGATGAATTCTTTTGTTAACAAAGAAAGAAGAAAAATTCCACGAATATTATTTAGTTGATCTTTAATTGCTCATTAATTTATAAGTTTCAAATATTAAAGATTTAAAGAAATAATAAATATGCAAATGGCAAACGATGGTCCCTTGCCGTATCACTATTTTGCAAAGTTTACAACAATAATTGTTTGGCAGACTTAAAAAATTATGGTCATAAATTTTGGCATTTACTGTTGTCACTTTATCAAAGCAAGAAAATGCCTTGAGAGCGGTTCTGATGTTCATGCATGAATTCTAAAATTCAATACGATCTTAGCCCAATGATTTGTCACAAAAAAATCAAGTAAAGTGGCAATTCCTTGAAAAACAGGAGTGAGGGATGAGATGATGCTAGCGAAGGCACTGAGGATCAAAAGTAAAATGTTCAAATGAGAAATAAGGATTAGTTTGTTAATTAATAGGTAATGAAAAAAATCGGTTCCAGTGGAAAAAAATTAATAGTAATTTTGCATTGAGCTTTAGAGCTTCGTTTTACCATTCGAACGAAATGCTTGGTTTGCGTAGGGAGTGAGGGAGGGGGTAAGAGGCTGAAAATATGTAAATGAATGTTCACAAAAAAAAATAAAAATAAAAATGGTGATTGTTGCTTTAGATTGAGAAATCGTGGTCGGTAGATATGAATTTACACTTTATAATGTGTCTCACGAAAATTATCTCAAAATATTTTCTAAGAATTCCTTCAAATCTCGTGAAATGTTCTCTTGAAACGTCCAAAACCTTATATTAATAAAGATATGGCTTAATATTAACATAAAGTGTGTTATTTCTTTAAAATTGGTCGATTACATATTTTTAAGCCTGGTTACTCGCTGCAATTGAGCAAAAAACTTGCAACCTGTTATATTCCCTTAGCGTTATCAAAGCTTTTTACCTGATGTACTCTTTTGTTACATATGATCATTGAAATGAAGCTGAGACTTATGCTGATTTGCTTAATCTCCCCAAAATCCTATTTTATGACCTCTTAGTAAGTTCCGTTTAAAACTCCTTTAAAATTTAAACACCATTCGGCATTTCAATAAGTCCCGATTCTCGATTTTTGAAAACTTCACCGAAATTATTCTTCTTTTTGTAAGCCTGGTTACACCACCATCGAAATACTTTTTTGCAGAGACATTTTGATGTTTTTAACCATAGAATTTATTTTTGATGCCTCCATGCTTCCATATTTTTATCCAGAAAAGAAAAAGAAAAAAGCTCTTCTGTTTCCACCATATTTTCTCAAAATTTTCAATTCCCATTGAATAGGCGCCTTCTATTTTCTATTTTCCATTATTTCCCACTCTTACTCCCTTTTCCTCCAAAATACTTTCTAATGCATTTGCTTCATTTCGGGCTACACTTTTTCTCTCCATCAGCTTCTATAGTACCTTTTATGCGCCATTAACACCTCTCTCTCTAAACAGCGCCAGGTTAAAATTTTCGCTGTGCCATATTTTGTTATCATAGTTCTTTAATCTCAGAGCCAATTATTAAGTCTCCACACTCTCAAAATCTTTTTTATCATCTTTAAAACCTTATCAAATCGCACATCATCATTTTAATAAAGCAGAAAAGATGATGATTTTCTTTTACTCATTTCTTCAGGCTCTTGCAGTGTGTTAAATCTGCTGTGATGACTTGGCATACTATGTTGCCAAACCGTCTAAAACTGCTCAAATACCCACAGAATTATCTTCAACACCAAGGTCTCATTAACATGCCCAAAACTTTCTCGATTCATTTCCACATTTTTCCACAAAATTCTTTTTACTGTTTCAATTTTCCAGGCCCAATTGAAGCCTATGTAAGTCCTCATACTCGCTTTGCTTTCTCAAGGTTGTCGAACGTAATTTTTTATCACCGACCGCAGCTATAAATGGTAAAGTTTTTAAAAAAGTGGCCAATACATGCAGTATCGTGGGAATCAAAAGGTTTTAAGGGAGAATAATGTTTTGAGGCGGTATTAAATGAATATAAATGGTTTTCAAAAAATATTCAGGGGCATAACAAGGCAGAATAACTCGGGAAAAGCATCGTCTATTCTACAAATCTACTTAATTTTATAAAAATTCCCAACTAAATCTTGATATTACCATTTAAAAACCACTTTCATCAACGTTCCATCAATGTTCCAATTTACCCAATCCATAAGTGGCATACTCTTAGGTGTCTCATAACTCTTCGAGACTATGGAATCTTGCCTTATCACTTACTGGATAACTTACTGAACCTTATTATATCCGTTAGCACTCGTCGAAATCTTCTATGGTTCGTTCTGTGTGTTCTTGCCATACTTTGACTCAGTACCATAAACTTCTTGATTTCGAGATTTTCCATTGCCGCAGGTTTTCTTAATCCTCCTCGACCCTCTGGCTTTGTTGCTAAAATCCTATAAGAACATGCCTTTTTAAGCTCCCTTACTCTGTGTGAACTTCGTGAGATCCCGAAATCGTATCGTATCCTCATCCTCGATGTTAAAGTTTTCACTGAAGCCTACTTCTTCTTCTCCTTCTAACGGCTATCACCATTACTAATTAGGCTGGCTCCAACGGCTACAAGGGTAAGACGCTTCCAAGCAGCGCGGTCTGATGCCATCATCGACAGTAATAGAAGCCATTCCTTTTTCCATCTAAATCTATATATTTCTGGTCCACCTATACGTTCAAAAACTGAAGCCTACTAATATTTTAAAAGCCTTTAATATTATCTATGAACTTTCAACCCACAACACTGGAATGAAATGCCTTAATATTTCGTTATGCCTGTTTTATTCAGTGGAAAGTTGTCCCAAATGCAACCATGTCATAATCATTTCCATTAATCTACATTAAGCCGAAGAGTATCCGAAAGATTGAATTCATCCTTCGGGCAGGCTTTTTATAATTTATAGCCAATTTGCGCCAGTTTCGCTCTTTCATGGTGCCACTATGGGCAATATAATTGAAAGATTAAATAAATTTGGCAAGAATTTGGCTAATATGAAAATTGTTAATAGTGTAACGCGTATGAAAGAATTTCTAAATGTTTATATTGAAATTTAAGATTTATATTGAAATTTAGGAAAATAAAAAGTAGTAAACGAATGATACTAAAATGGTTTTAATTCAATGCGGCGAGCTGATTTCATTTCAAATCAGTTTTCCTAAATCGATTTTCATTTCGAAATTTTTCTTTTTGCGTATATTTTATGAATTATGAATGAATTATTACGCTTAAATTCTGTCCTGCACTAGGACGAGTAATTTCCTATAAATTAAATGAAAAAAGACGATGAAGAAGAAAGGAACGATTTGCGCGATATCGTTGAAAAAAATTGAGACATGTGGACAATTCAACGAATAATTCCAGTGAACAAGGTGAAATTAATTAAAATTAATTAAAAATCTTTAAAAAATAAACATTTTAGAGATTACGCAATTGCGATCGTCGTTCATAAATTTTCCTTATATAGGGGAATGGTATTTCGAAAAACTGAAAAATATTGTCATCCGACGTGAGCGCTAACTCATGAAACAATGAACGAAATATTCGCGAAGAGTTTTAGTTTTAGGAATGACAACTATTATCCAAATAGGGAATAAAGTTGAGGTGATCTCCCTATGGATGGTAATGATCATCCTCAATCTCGAATCCTCTACCAGAGGCCTAGAAGATTGAGGGTTCTGCGCAGTATCTTAGCTAATTTAAGAACTGCGCTCCCCTAGATAGATCTCTGGTATAGTTACTGGAATCTTCTGAGGCCACTTTTCTAGTTCACGAATCACATAGTTCCAGATGCTCAAATTATATACCTTCAACATTGAGTCGTTTTTGTCGAGTAAGAAATTACTCTTCATTGTTTTGTAAGGGAAATGACCGACGATAATGTCAGTATTTGTTAAAAGCAATACCACAAATATTCGTTTTATTTATTAATTTAATAATTTATTTATTAATTTAAAAAAAAAGGCGAATTATAGAAAACGCATTAGCTATAAGGACGAATGCTGCAAATGAAGGTTTCATTTTTATATTTTTTTATTTTATATTTTTTACATTTTTGTGTTGTAAATTTTTCATTCGAAAGAATGAAAAATATGTCTTTTATCCAATTTTATATTTTCTTTTCTTTTAGTTGATAAAAATTTTTCAGTTGAAATATTAAATAATCGAGGTTGTTGCGTTGCTATAGAAAGAAAGTTATTTAATTTGTAGCTAATTTCTTTTTATTTTCTTTACTTACAAAAAGTCAAAATACTTAATCCATGAAAAAAACAAAAGGTTGAAGTATTTGTTCAACGGAAAAAAAATATATGGTGAAGAACGAGGAGAAACGGTCTAAAAAATTAAAATGACAAAAAGGGTGATTTTAGGTTTTGATTAAAACGAGGACTTAGGAAGTATTTTATTTCAAGACGAAAGGCCAACATTTTGAATTTTTAGTGTATAGCTTCTTCTAAGCTAATCGACAGAGGTTAGCTGAATGCCGAGTTTGTTGGTATTGCATTGTGGATTTTCAAGAGAATAGAGAAAAAGGAATGGATTATTCAAGAGAATTAAGTGGTTTAGAGTTCTCGCATGTTCCGAGAAATTTATGCCTGAGGGGATATGTCGATGTGTAGAAAATAGGATTATAATGGGATTAGGGCAAAATTGAACACTGGAACTGGACTGGATATAATGTAGAGAAAATCAGGAGAATAATAATACAGTTCGAAGTTGTTTGGTGAAAGGGTTTGTTGCGAGGATGTATGCTGAAATGAGCTCCACAAAATCTTGCGGTTTTGAGAGAACATCAATATTTTTATCCGAATAGACGTTAATTTCGAAATTTTGAGAGAGAAATTTGTGAGAAATTTCTCAGTGCTCAATTTTTCTTCCTTCGAATCTTTCTTTATTCTTGAATACAATACAATATTCATTTTTGCTTAAAATTATTCATTTAAATTATTCTTTCGAAAAAAAAAAAAATTTCGCATGAAATTCCATATTCATTATCGCTTTTTTTCAAAACTGATATTGCATGTTTATAGTATTTTCATTGTTTGCTGGAATATTTTATTCGCGATATCGTTTATTCTTTCCATGTTTTACTACGAATTCTTGGAATTCGAGAACTTCAATAACCACCACGTTCGTTTTCTCTTTTTATGAGCTTATTACATTACTTATTGTTTTATATTATTATTTTAATATAAAGTAGTAAAGTATTTTTTGGTTTTTTTTTCTTAATTTAAGATTTTATAGCGGAGATTTCATCGTAGGATGAAGAAGTGCATCAGCAGAAATTTTATGCACTTGCAAATCCACCTAATTTAACCAACGAAAAACTCGAATGTTTCAAATGCAAAAGAGAAGTTATTACTTGTCAGTATGCATACCATCTGGCTGAATGTATGGGTAATGAAATGGATAGAGTTTCAAGGTTATTATTCATCATGCATTTTTGTAATATTTTCCTCAATTTTCTGATAAAACCACAAACTTTTTTATTTAAATCTTTTTTTTTCTTTTATTTTATGGTAAAGTTTATGGGCGAGGCGGATTTCATGAAAATTTTTGCATTTTTCTTATCTAAAACATTTTCATGTTCTTAATTCAAATAATTAGTGCTGGTTTTGTCTTTTTTTGTTCATGATTAGTACATAAATAGTGCTAATTAGTAGTAAAAAAATTGGCTGTTTTCAAAAGATGGTTTTTTCATGAAATATTATTATTTAAAGATTCTCATTGAGTGCTTCTTCATGCAATAAGGATGATAAACGTCAGAATTTGTCGCGACAGAATTTTGATCGTCCTTTTACTGAAATTATTTCTAGTGAATTAAATGCTGCTTGTGCAAAAATTCGTTCATTTCCAGAGAACACAACTCATATAAGCGGCATTTTATCAAAGGCGCTCTTCGGGAGTTGTTTCCAGTAAGTTTCCCTTTTATTTCAATAGATCAGAAATGAAAATGCATGATTTCATAACCGTTTCCAAACAGTTTCGTGATATTTGTTGGATTAATTATTTTCCCAACTAAGATTTGCAGCTAATATTTCATATTGAACAAAAATGTCAACATTAAAAAATTGAGACATGTGGATAATTCAACGAATAATTCCAGTGAACAAGGTGAAATTAATTAAAATTAATTAAAAATCTTTAAAAAATAAACATTTTAGAGATTACGCGAATTGCATCGTGTTCATAAATTTTCCTTATATAGGGGAATGGTATTTTGAAAAACTAAGAAATATAAATTTAGATAAAAATATATTTTGGTACGGTACTCATCATGAATGCCGCATCATTTTCATCATTTGTACTGGGACAGCAGTCAAATTCCTCTTGGCAAAATTCCATGATTCAAATAGATTATGTACGAACAAAAAGTCCCAAACAATCTAAGTACCAAGAGAAAGGACATTTTCCAGATTTTTTGGTTGTAAAAGTTGTAATCGAAAAACGCGCTGAAACCTCAAAAGTCATTCAAATTATTGCTTAAATTATTGCAATAAATTTCGCAAAGGATCGAAGAAAGTCGGAGGAAGCTTAGTTTGAGCTAAATTTGAGTTGGAGTCGCGATGAGCTCAGCCACGGTGCATATTCCGAGTCTGGAATTTCAAGCTCATTATAAAATTTTAAACCTTATTTCGTTCAAAGTTCCACACTTTTTTCGCTCTTTTTCGCTCTTTTGGCTGGTATGCTATTTTGTCAGTTTATTTTTGATGTGATTTTTTTTTGAAGTCCTTATCAATTTATTCATTGATTCATATGTTGGGAATGTACATTCTCTTTACTATTTTTCTTCTTTTTCTTTATTGGGAGGAAATATTTTTATTTTTTCAAAAAAAATGGTTCTTCATATTGATTGGTGCTGTTTAATAATTTATTTTAATTACCTCTTTTCATTGTTAATTTTTTTGGCACTCTGCGATTTATTTTGAGTTGAATTGATGGATTCTTTTGTTAACAAAGAAAGAAGAAAAATTCCACGAATATTATTTAGTTGATTTTTAATTGCTTATTAAAGATTCAAATATTAAATATTAAAGATTACTTTCAAATATTAAAGAATTAAAGAAATATGTAAATGACAAACGACGGTCTCTTGCCGTGTCTTATTCTTGTATTTATAATTGTAGCTATATTCAAAAAAGCAATTTTGTGGCGAATTAATCAATTAAAAATTATGATAACAGACTTTATCCTATATGAATGCCACAACCTCAAAAAAATTAAAACTGAGAAAAAAGGCCAGGGAAGACCCATTCCCACAAGCCATAATCGCCCCCACTTAACAATTGAAACACCCATGTTAAAATCGAAGTAATGCTGGCGACTCACTTGTATTTCTTTCTCCCTAGCATTTACGCTCTATTGCTAAAGGTCAGACTAAACACTAAACATCGGACTTCTTTGAAAAATTGAGGGATGATAAGGGGTGAGCAATTTCTTTTATCAACTTACTCGTAGTAGTAGCTTACTTACTGGAAATAAAATTTTGGTTAGGCAGAGTGGTTCGGCTTATGGATTAGAAGCTAATGAGAAATATTGATTCTAACAGGAAAAAGTCGTAATGACAACTTTGCGGCTATAGAGATTCACATAATAAAATGTGAGAGGAAAGGACGAAAGGGAGTGCGGGCGGTTGTCGACAAATAAAAGGTCGTTGCAATCCTTAGAAAACCTTGGTCGATCACAACGAATTTAACCTTTTGTAGTACAAACGATGAACACTACACACTGTACATTTTTCTTACGTACAACTGATCATTTAGTCATTCCTCTAAAACTTCAAATTCATTTATTCCTTTTTCATCTTTCCCAAAATTCCTTTTGCTTAGTAATATTCCTTAAAATATGTTGCAATCCCTTGACCCTCCTTGTCGCCCATTAATATATTTTCAGTCGTAATACTCCTAATTGTGTTTTGAAGATCCCTCATCGTGCTTCCCATTTTCGTTGAAATGCTTTTCTTTTATTTCTAATTTTTTACACTTTGGTTTTATTTGATATAGGCTGCGCGAACTTCTCGTTGTGTATAGGACAGCAAATAGTGCATAATGGTGAGAAAATTTGCGAACACTGCTGGCGCTGGGGGATGAAAGATGTTTAAGCGAGTTTGCCTAATGTAAAAATAGTATAACCTATATGAAAGAACATATAAGGGAACATTTTATAAAGGAACGGGGAACTTTACTGCGATATTGGGTGATTTTCAGTTTTCCATATCGATTTTTATCTCTAAGTTTTCTTTTTCTCAGATTACTTCCATTATTTGACACAAATTTATTGCATTTAATTAATTTTATCCGTCATTAGGACGGGTGAGTTCACATAAAAGAATAAAATGAAGGAAGAAGAAGACGAAGAAGAAGAAGAAGAAGAAGAAGCGAACGATTTGTGTAACTTCGTTCAAAAAAAGTTAGAATGCGTGGATAATTCAACGAATAATTGCAATGAACGAGGTAAAATTTTTAATCCCAGAAAAAATAATTATTTGCGAATTGCCATTTTCGTTCGTAAATTTTCCTTAGGCATTAATGCATTTTGAAAAATTAAAAAATTCAAAGGGAATTCTTTCGATCGATAAGTTTAATAAAATTAAAAATTAATTAATGGAAAGGAACTTTTATTTTTTATTTATTTACAATTTATAATTTATTTTATTTACAGAAATATTTTGAAATTGTTTTTCAATTTTTTCCTTATATTTCTCTTTTTTCCATTTTAAATTTTTATTCGTTTCATTTATTAATTTAATAATTATATTATTAAAAAAAGGATGAATTTAGATAAAGCATTGGCTGTGATATCGAAAACGACAAATGAAAATTTCGATGGTATTTTTTTCTTTTTAATATTAAAGAAATTCTCATTTTTTATATTTTTCTTAAGTTTTTTTAAAATCCAATCTCAATATCAAATTTTATCAATATAATAAAATGTTTGAATATTTCCAGAAGAAACGTTATAAACATATATTTAAAAAAAAAAAAAAAAAACAATTGTAGATAAAACATTAGTCACTACAATGGAAACAACAAATGAAGGTATTTTTTCATAAATTTTTAAAAATTCTTTTCATTTTCATGCTTTTCATTTGAAAGAGCTCAAACAAAATACATCATATATATATATATATATATATATATTTATTTGTTTTTTCCCTTTTGATTATTAGAAAGTTTTTTCAGTTGAAATATTAGATCATCGAGGATGTCATATCGCTATGGAAAGTAATTTATTTAATTTGTAGTTTTTCTTTTTTTTTCATTTTATTTTAATTTTGCGAAACACAGCTCACTGTTATTCATAAAAAATATTGAAATATTTCTAGAATAAATGATAAATATTCTTTTGAATCTCTAGTTTTAAGTGTTTAATTTTATTTTTTGAGGATGAGATTGCTTTTATTAATTCTTCAAAACTTTTAATTATGTGCGAAGTTTTTTATTCTAAAAATTTTAAAAATGAAACGCTTATAGCAGTTGTGGAAGATTACTTTAATTATTTGCTCGACTGTTTCGTTCATGATCTCGTCTATGGCTTTCATTTATTGCTGCGTACTCTTGGAGTTCGGGAACTCACATTGCCACGTTTGTTTTTGCTTATGTCGTTTTTTAATTTATTTTTTTTTTCCATAGCCAAATTATTCTTCTCTAAGAATATTAACCAATTCTGGTTCATTCCGCTAGTTGTCGGATCAGAAAAATTTTGTCAGGGAACCAGTTGGCGATAGAAGTACAGATGAGTCGTCAACACCCTTCGGATTTTTGAAAGGAAAGTTTGTTCCTATCTAGTGTAGATTCCCACCATCAAAACTCCAAAATGAGAGGAGCAAACCACTAATCTATCCCATTCCGTTCAACTGATCATTAATCTTCTAATTCATTTAACTGTAATGCTTCAACTTATAATCTTTATCTTTGTTATTTTTATTGATATCGAGTTTGCTGGAGAAATTGTGGGAAGTCTTATATGTTTTTTTGCAGCAGAGACTCCATCGGATGATGAAGATACTTACCAGCGAAAACTTCATGCCCTTGCGAATCCACCTAGTCAAGCACATGTTAAAATTGAATGTTGTGAATGTAAAAGGGGTGTAACTGCTTGTCGATATGCATATCATCTAGAAAAATGTATTGGTAATGGCAGAGCTAGTTCAAGGTTACAAAAGTTTTTTTAATTCATTTTTTTCGCTTTTAGGCCATTTTCCGCTATTTTCTGATGAATCTCTCTCATTGAATTTTTTTAGCTCCTGCTAAGGCTCATGGATGATTTCATGAAAATTTTCTTATTTCTTTTTTTCATTCACATTTTTTTTTCGATGTATCAGCATATTTAAGCAGTTTATGAGCATCTTTAGCTTAATAAAGCAAAAACTGATTTTGTTTGTTTCTATTACAGGATAGCACGTAGAAAACTCGAAATTAGTTCCGCCTCAATAGTAAAAGAGTCCTCAGTTCGTTCAAAGGATTCTTCAGATACTACAGTGGAAGTGGATGGTTCCGATGTATGCTTTATCATATTTTAAAAATTATTCTCATCTTTTTCAGTTGATTTACTCAAACAGTCGCATCGCATTGGTCGCAACGGTCACTGGATAATTTTTTAATTATTTATAAGGAAACATTTATTGTGTATTAATGCCGTTTGTCGATTCTATGGAAAGGTTGCTCATAAATGGTATTTGATAGGTTAATATTCGAGTCTAGAATGCAGTGGGAAATGAAAAAAGATAATATATTTTGAAAATTCTGGTTTTTTAAATTGATTACTGTTAGGAAGATTCTCGACACACTACGCAAGATGATGATGAAGATTGGAGAAGTCCTCGTAAGCTTCGTCGTAGTCGCAGTCGTAAAGCAAAACAGAGAAGATTAAAGATAGATTGAAAACGTTCTCATGCTCTATTAATTATGGAATGGTAAAAATTTTTTACAAAATTTTTTTATTTTTTCATGATATAACAAAACAAATTTTTATAAAACAATTTTTTTATTTTTTTTTATAAAACAAATTTCTTTAAAAAAATTTAATTTGTTGAGATTATTCTAAATAAGCACGGATTGACACATTTTCAGCTTAACATAAGCGCGTTTATTCAGTTTTATTGAAAATTTGGATCTCTGCGATGCACTTTCAAGGTTCTGTGTGAAGAGTTGATTTAAATAGTGGAAGAAGTGAAAATCTGCTGGGGAAATTTGGGAAATGTGGTTGATGAAGAATTTCGTTACAGTTGGATAACGTTTCGGTTTTGTACGCAGGATGGTGAAACTTTTTCTCATTGAGCGGCTGATTGCTGTATTTACAGGTCTAAAACACAACTTCCCATTCTTTTTTGTTTTTATGGCATCCAAGTTCTGGAATAGGTCAAAGGGCTCGGGTAATCTACAGTTTATCCCTAGTAAATCGTTTTTTCGTCAGAAATGAACGTCTCTATAAAAAAAAGTTTTTGTGTTCAACTGGCAACGAAAAAGTTATCTCCAAGTTTTCTTCATCTGACATTCAGTCATGAAGTAGCCATCAAGTAGTTATAAAGGGAAGGGTTAGTGGGTTTTTGAGCAGTTTGGAGCGTTGATACTAAAAATGAGAGTAATGCAGGCGATAAAACTCTATTTCTATCGCCAAGAGACTCCCTGGCATGTTTGCGATAAGCCAGTGGGACGAGTCTAACCAGTAAATATGAGGGCTTTTTTAAAAAAAGCCATTTGTAAAGTTTTATTCATAATCGATATAGCGCTATCGTGTGAAACGAGGTTTTATATCAAATTTGTATGAATTCTTACGTAATTAGTTCTTACCATTTTAAAGATCTCGTTTATAGACTTGAGGTCGAAGTCCATATCAGAAAATCTGGACTATTGCGAACCATTATTGCCATGTTTTTTACCTTTTTAGATTTGAATTGTCAAATTGTCTTCCACAAACACAAGAAGTCAAAAGGCTTCTTCTTTAAATTTAAATAACTAAGATATCCGAAAAAATTTTACTCGTATTTAAAGAAAAAGAAACACGAATTCGTAATGAGTATATATGAGCATGCTTAACGATAAAAATATGAGGACCAAGGCGAGACATCTCAGAGAACGCAGGAACTTATCGAATCACTTAATATTTAAATTGAATTAAATTAAATTAAATTAAAACTTCCCGTAGATATGGTATTTATGGTTCATTCCATAGATATTATCGGTTAGTTAATCCTTGAATATAAGATAATTTATAGAGAATGCGATTGCAGATATCAATTTTTCAGCAAACGGGTTAATTATATTCACAGAAATATTTGTGGCAAAAAAGAATAGCCGGAGCGTCTTTTATGTTTTTTTTCTCAATTTCCATATTTTTATTTTTTTTAAATCTTCAATCCTAAATTACATAATTTTCATCTTTCGTAATCTTTATTCCTAAATTACATTGACTTGAATATGGTTGTCCTAGGTTTCGGTCCACTAGTAAAGATAATTGACCAATAATTTCAACATACTTCATAACCTTTAGTGGAGTTATACTAAAATCACCCAGATCACAACCGACATTTCGCAGTTATCATCTCTTTGGGTATACGTGAATTAATACCATGGGGCAAATACTTAGAATATGAAAAAAAACATTATGAAAGCCATGAAGATATATTTGTTATTCGCCACTGCTTTTATCAATAGGTTGAGCGTATTATATGAAAATGCAAAATATTTTTTGCGTTTCAATTATTGGCATTTTTCTGTGGGTTTCTTTAGTTTCAGTGTTTGTTTGTATAAGTTGTTTGTTATTTTGTTTTCTTTTGCATATATCAGATTGTATTATTTTATTTAATGTTATTTTTATAAACTTTTTATACTTTATTTCTTACTATTCTTTTGCTATGCAAGCATATTTCAATGCTTTTAGCGTGATTTGCACTGTACGAGTTTTAATCGTTTTAATCTAATCATGCTTGTAAAATTGTTACTATATTTTATAATTGTAATTTTCTAAATATTTTGTAATTATGCCATACTGTGATTGTAATTTTTTCTAAATATTTTATAACTGTCGTTATATCTTGTGATTGTGATTTTTTAATATTATGTCCTTTTGTAATATGAACGCTTTTGAAAAAGATGGAATGTAGGGAGGTTAACGAAAGAGAACTAAGGAAAATTGTACAGATTAATTTATATGAACTTGGGATTTTAGCTTCGGTTATGGACAACTAAAAGTGTTCATAAACAGGTATTCGTTTTATTCTAAGTATGAAATTTTGCGATATAAGCGCTTAAGCATAAAATAGATAAATTTTAATAAATTTAATTGAAAAAAGTATACAAGAAACAAATAGTACATTACAACGTTTCCATAGTAAAAAGATAATTCTTTGTGAAAAAATACATCACAGAATATTGTAAAAAGTCTACAATAAGCAGAAATATTCACTTGATCGCTTGTTTAGGTATAACCGCAATAAAATTTGCGTGAAAACTTCCCAAATAAAGATATTTTGATGAATCGGTCACTTGCGAAACATCACTTATAACACTTCCGGTCAAGTCGTGTGCACTTGATATGATTTTACCATTTCCATCAAGCTCGATGATCATTGCATGATGTGATTTAAATGCAAGAAGGAAATGCAAATAACGATGAGGAATCAACTAAAAGCACGTTTAACATTCTATTATTGCGAATCCAATCGATATAAAAAATTCGAATGGAAAAGTTTCGTTTGAGTTTTCGATTTTAGCTGTTGGACAGTTCAAGTTCAAGTCGACTATCCTTGCTGAATTTTAGGAATATTTCACATGGCTTGGAGTAAATTCTTTTTGAAAATGTGAGACGAATAGCAAATAATGGAACTCGATAGAGAATTTTAGCAAAATATTGTACCTTCAAAAGGATTTCACGAAGGGCTATTTGATCTGCGAAGAAATCGAATATCGAAGTTTGCTGGTGTCGTCTAATCGCAGCCAGGCCGACCCAGTATGTCTTTTGCAAACTCTGCCGGATATTGTCTGGTAAACCGGGTAAATTCTCAGCAAAAATTTGACTATTACCTTTTTTTCGTCCGAATAACCAATGTCTGAAGGAGGAATCTTTAAAAAAATTTCCTTAACCAGTTAAAATATTCAAAATTACAGAATTTTTCGGTCTTTCACTGCATTTTTACCTCTTTATTCTAGCCAATCCTGTCTCAGCAACAATAAACGACTCGTTGTCTGGAAGCATTTGTATACCGTTGGGGAAAAAGAGATTATCCATTATAACTGTCACCTTACCCGTTGAAGGGACCAAGGTAAGGACTCTGAAAAATATTTTTTCACTCCTTAAACTTCTCAATTCTTCGGTGAATTCTCAAAATCTTTTACTTTTTTATCTTTATCTTTTTGTTATCATAGTAAAGTGATAATAAATTTCCTGAAATGAAATGAGTCTGCATATTCAGTAATTGATATCCCTACGTCGAACGTACAAGCGATGATAAGCAGACCCAAACATGGTAAAATCAATCAAAAGTTAACAACGGCTTACATTATCCAATTGTTCTAAAACCGTTAAAGAAGTATCAATCAAATAAATGTCGACTCAGCCGACGCAATGAAATCTTAGCCATAACTGAGCCGACACAGAATGGGTGCAAGTATAATCATTCATAGTCTAGGTACATATCATATAGATGTCACCAGCCAGTTGAAAATCCGTCTTTCTAATTCTGGATCTAGATACTGGCCATAGCAAGAGCTCGATGAATTCCGTTGGAAAAAAAGAACATTATGATTGGTACTGACCAAGCTGGGATCATGCAAAACCTTCACTATGTATGAATGTAGCATCATTTCGGCGTAAGTATTAATAACTCATTCTTATATGCTTGACCGTGTTCTGCTGCTACCACTCTGGAAGGTTATGCGTTGCAACGGTTTCAGAGCACGTTATCAACTGTTGTTTGTCGTCCTTCAACGTGAAGAACAAAAATCACACCAAGTGGTGATGTAATCGAAAGACTGACAAGTGATATTTTATGGTTTTCATTGTAATTAACAATTTTTTTCTTCGTCTTCTAGCAGTTCTCTCATTACTGGTAAGAAAAATTGACCTTCAAATTGATATAAATAAATCGAAATTCTTCGTCAGACACTGATAACTTTTATAAATTCGCTATTTGAAGAAATAAAACATTTTTGACTTTGGACCCATTCTAGCACCTAATGGACACAAAATTCCAGCCCAGTTAGATGTATAGTAGCTAAAAATATTTTCTAGGGAATATATAATAAGATCACTAAGAAATCAACCTTAAAATTCAATACCGCATCCACCTCACTTTCCTCGCACAATCCTGTTATATGGCTCCGTGATATGCCAAAAAAGAATAGGAACATCAGCACCATCTACCTTTGTCCATTCTCACCCCATAAAGCGTACCCCATGCACTCGGTAAAAATCTCATATGAATTCATCCACCTTCCCTCGAATACCACCAACAGCTATGGTACTGTCGAACCATCTACGCTACTTAGACCACTGTCCTCCAACATAATCCAGAATGGGCTATATATCTCATTAATCCATACGGTATATGGTGTCAAAAGTAAGGAGATCTAGTCAAGATCTTTAAATTAAAATCATTAAAAAGACAAATATAAAAGTTTGTTGATGATTAAAAATGGTCGACAATTACTGATGATCCGAACTATGGTACGATTTTTCGGATTCGGTCCTTTTTTGAAAAAAGAAGGAAAAGAAAAGTTGATGAGACTTGACTGTGTTTTTGTGAAATAAAATTTTCATATATGGTACCAAGATTAATTAGAAAAATTAGGAAATAAAAATTAAAATTATAAAAATAAGACGAATTTAAGAGTACACCTGCCATTAGGAATTGCTTCTAGTAGGATACTAAAAAAACGTCGACGGTCCCAACGTGAAGATGAATCTGTAAAAATGATTAAATCTTCGTTAACCACATCCAAATCATTTAAAAACATCAGTGGTTCATTGTTGATTTTTAGACCTCCTTTCAGCAATTGTTTAAATGTTCCTAAAATGGGAGAGAATTTAGAAATATTCAAAAGTATTTGTATCATCATAAATTTCTAAATTGAAAAAAAATTTTCATTTGGCGATTTCATTGTTGTACTAGTAGACATATTGAGATAAGGAATCGAAAGCGACAAGACAAACAGATGATATAGAAAGAATTAGGATAGTCGAAATGAAACAAGTTGATTCGGTCCCTGCCCACTGATTGGGAATATAATAGTTATTTAAAGTGGAAGGCTGATGATTCTGGGAAACTCGCTTTCATTTGTCCCTAACTCTCTCGCAAAGTGCTTCATGATAATAGCCAGAAGATCCAGCCAAATCACAAATTGTAAGGGCTATGGAAATTCCAATTGCTATTTAATGAATACTAAGAAATTTTATATAAACAATTAACCTTGAGCAAAATTGACGGTAAAAATTCCTAAATAGGCGTCCATCACGATGAGTTCATCCTTCCTGTATCGACGTATACCCAATGGTCGACCACATACAGGCTCAAGATCATAGCCTCCTACAAATTTGATATTTGAAAATTGAAAATTTGTTTAGAAACATTTGTTGGAACTCATAACTCCAGAATGTATCAAATGTCTCACCTTGATTTTGATTTCCATATCGTTTTGCTTTTCATATCGCAACAAATACCTTTCCTTATAAAATGGAATGAGCTAAGCATTCTTTGAGGTAAAATAACTTGCATAAGAAATTAAGTCATTAATGGATGAAAAATTTAAGTGCGTTGGTGGCTTAACGGTACAGTGGCAAGAATCAAGAATGACTAGGATTTGAAAAAAAAAAATCAACTGATGCATCATGTTTGATCTATCAGTTCCGCAGAATAGCGCGAAAGGAGGTAAAAGGATAAAGAAACTAATCAGCTCAATGAGTTGTTTTAGGTTTGAAGCCGATGCTAAGGTTCTATGTTTGGTAGGAATAAACTTCAAAAATCCTTCAAAAATTCTGGTGGTCCCTAGCTGTATTTCATTAACCAACTCCCTGACAAAATTTCTCCAGTCTTACAAGCTGACAATTACCCTAATTAATAATGGCCAGCTCTCTAGAAAAGAAAAAGTATTTGTACTAACCACAGGGGCCATCCTTGAACCTTATTTCTTTCGTAATTTTATTATTATGGATTTGTAGTACTCGTCCATCGGCAGTTCCAGTATATATTGTATCTGAAAAAAAATATTCTAGACAAGTTTTTTCGACAAATTCAATAATTTACTTCTGTAATTATCTTCAACGAAAGAAAAACTGAAATAAAAAAATAAATCCTAAGGAAGCAATATTAATTATCTGAACATCATTAATATTTATATTGGTAGAATTATCACTAAATTAAATGCTACCATTTAAATGCATTTCTTTATCAATCCGCTGATGATATAATGTATTTCGCATATCTGCTTATGTGGATTACCATTTGATAGATAATAAATCCAAGAAATCATTTTTTTCTTCCTCTTCTTCTCGGGGGTAGGATGGCTCAGTGGGTTGTTGCTCAATATGGAGCAGCAGAAGCTGCTGTTCGATTCCTCAAACCCGTACAAAAATCCGGGTGATGCTAGCGACTCACCTGATCGCCAAGGGACTCCCTGGCATATTGCTCAATGCTCCAAGCCAGTGAAGCGAGTTTAACCAGTAATGGTGAGGACTCTTAAAAGAAAGAGAAGAGAGAACAACTCGCAGTGTTATCGGTTAAACTCCGCTGGCCATGAGACATACAAAAGTATGACGTTTCAGAGCTGCTTGTATCATCAGCGTATTCAAGATTTGATAATATAATAAATACTCTGGACTGATTTGTGCACCACTTGAGTGTCGACAAACGATGCCTATTATCATATCAATCGCATAGTTAAATACTGTAGAGGAAAGAAGCCACAGCCTTGACGGACACCAGTCCTTCTATCGAGTCCGTCACTTCCAGATCTATATCGATGTACGTAGACTAAATGCTTTTATAAGTCGAATGATTTTCTCTGTAACACTGACGTACTCCACTATTCTCCAATGTGTTGTTCTATCGAACTGAACCGAAAGCAATTGCAAAATTTTTAAAACAAGTAGCCGATATTTGAAACGATATTCCAACGTATGAATATTTGAATATTATGAATATTTGATCAGTATACCCACGCTCCAGTTTGAATTCAGCTGGGTTAATATGTATCCTGCTCGTACTACTATAGAAAGGAAGTTGAAATCAAAATTTCCCTAGTATGTTAATTCCTCGATAGTTGTCACATTATATCCTATCATTCTTCTTATGATCTAATATTAATTCTTTCTTTTCTATCAGAGAATGGAGCAGTTGAAGGTTAACTGTGAAGTTCGACAACATGTTGAGGACTTCACCATACAGATTGCCTTCTGAGAGTATTTGATTTGCATTCTGAATGACGGAAATTATTTCTTGCATTGTATGCAGCAGTTACCAGCATATAGCTCTACAAGCATTTTAATTATGCTCGAGATGCTGCATTGTGTTCACTTTTCTTCACATCACCAATTTTAATATCAAATTCGAAATCATTAGTTTTATCAAAGATTTCAATATTCGTTTACCTCCCTCAACAACGATTGATTCAGGTCCTTTGATAAGATCTTTTAATAAATATTCTGCTTTGCCCAAAATATTGTTCACTTCCAACGCTCCTTTAAGTGATGGACGACTAGGTAAACTAAAAAACGACAATGATTTTGTTAATCCGTAAAAAAAAATTCATATGATGAAATAAAGCGCTTGTTAAGTTTTAGTTTATTTTCTTCTTCCCGTCAATTATTGCTAATGATCAGAATAATCATAAAATAAAACCTGTATTTGAAAAAAAAAAGAAATAAACCTATATTTGAGACAGCGATAATCGGAAGGAAAGTATCGGATAATAACTATAAAAACCAAGAAAATTAGAAGAATAACAAGAATCTTCTTGATCCTAAAATAAGAAAGTATTTACCAATAAGACAGTAAAAAACTGATAAAAAGATTCTTTTTAATTGGAACAACGTGATAAACGTAGGAATGTTAATTTTAAACTATCATTATGCAACAAGGAGGAATAAAAATGGAAATATAATATTAATCATTTTCACAATGAGACTATCATCGACTAACTGATTTGATTTTATATTTAAAATAATGAATAGGTCGTAAGGAGGCATTCTAAAAATAGATAGACAAAGACTGAATTCCAAAAGTGACGATGATATGGACCACTTTTTTCTTACTAAGCTCTGTGATAGGTGACAGCAAAGCGAGGAGTAGCAATCAAAACCTGAACCGATATGATCAGGAAGGATTTTGAACGACCCACCGATGTATAAGGCATCGACGGTGGAAAAAAGAATAGCTCCAAGTTACTTTCAGGCATGGGCATTGTATCGAGAGGCCTGAAAATGTTCAACTCCAGTCGCCAGTGCAGCCACTTAGCGAAATGAACAATGAACGGTAACAAGGTAAGTACTGTTAGAACAAAGGAAAATATCGATCATCGCAATCTATTCACAACTATATTCCCGAATGACTATCCTCGCACACTTGAGAGTACCATTATTTTCCACAATTTCTTTACAAAAATTAATAACGTAAATGTTATTAAGTTAAAGTAATTACAAAAGAAAAGAACAAACGAACAGTGTCGAGTCGCTTCTTGGTTTTCTCTTAATTTTCGATATGTCCTCGGGCAATCGTTCTTCCATTTTCATAGGCGCTTCACCAACAATTCTACGTGTTAATAATGACATATTTTGGTTCGTTCCTTTCTTTATCGTCCACCCACTTCAAATTCTATTTTTGCCTAGTTTAAACTAAAACTTAAAAGTATTTTTTAATTTTATATAGCGAAATTTAAAAAAAAGAAAAAATTTATTTTCAATAAATTAAATCATTTTCGATGCTTTAAAAGTAATAAATTGTAAATGAATAAAATAAAGAAAATTTAAAAGAATGAATTTAAACGAAAAATTTTTGAGACTAAAAGTAGTAATTCATTTTCTTCATTTTCTTTGATCTTTTTTCTTTCCTTCTTTTTTTATTTAACTTGTTAACTAAAGAATTTGTCTCATTAATATTACTTTTTTGAAGATAAAATTGTGATATTTCAAATAATTATTCATAGATTTTGGTTAAACTTGGTACTTTTAGTACAATTTCTACTCATCGTGCCCGCTTACTGTGAGTTTCGAACGCGTGGTTTTGGCTGAATTCACGTCGGACGCACCTTTGGAAACGTTACCATATGACCAAAGTCGTCCACTTCGTGGTGCATTCATTTTAAAACGATATATTTTGCCTTTTTCATATTGGAACTTGAGAGAAGGAAACTGGTTAAGTCCGTCTTGCGTTCGAAAACTTCTTCGCTTGAGAAAGAATTAAGAACATGAGATGTTATCACAGAGAAATTATGAAATTTTGAAAAAAATTTCTTCTAAGAGTCTCTTCTTACTGGTTAAACTCGCTTACTGGCTTTTCGCAGAGAAATATGTTCGAGTGCCATTTGGCGATAGAAATACCAGTGTCTCGCCAGTATCACCGATTTTTGAACAGGTTCACTGCAAGGAATAGAACCTCAGCATCGGCGCTCCGAGCGACAACGCACTCAGCTGTTCTATCCCTTTCTAATGTTACCTAATCAGCTTTTAATATTTCATATTATTTGCTTAATAGCTCTTTCTATTTTCGCTATTTTCTTTCGCTCTTTCATATTTCCAATTTTTTCAGCGGCTAAAACAATTTTATACGATGAAAAATTCTTCAAGAAACATTTTTTAATTTAAAATGCTAAAAATTATAAATAATAAAAACTATATTTTAAAAACAATTGTAAATAAAATTCTACAACCAATAAATTCCTATAATTATGTTTTATATTTAAAATGGCAGCAATTATTGGTTCATTTCATATTCGTCTACAACTTTACGCATTTCCGATTAAATTCGCTCGGCTGCTCGTTTATCGAATCAGATAAATTTTGCCACAGCGATAGAAATAGAAAAAAAATCGCTAGCGTTATTTGGATTTTTCGAGCAAAGTAAATTTCGCTCGCCACGAAGCTCGAAGAACGCCAAAGTCGGCGTTTCGAAATGACTACAGCTATAATTACTAAAATCTTATATTCCATAAATTCACCGACTGACCGATCATCTATTTATCTATACAGTGAATAATAAGAATGAATAATCTGTACAGCAATATATAAGATAACGCATTTTAAACAAACTATTAAAGTAAGAAAAATTTTTCCGAGAAAAAAATTCTTTTTTTAAACGAATTTTTCATTGAAAAAATTTTTCTTTAATTCAATTATGTAAAATTTTATTTTTATTAAATAAAATTTTTGGAAAGGGAAATGAAATGAAACAAGATCTCTCTGGATCAAACCAAACGAAAAGGAAAATATTTTCCGAGTAAAATTAGACTGTTTTTTGTTTTGTTTGATTTGCGCAGATGTTTCTATTCATTTTACAAAATTATATGAACTAAAAAAAAAAAAGAAAACAATATACGATATCAGTAACATATGAAAATGAGGCAATAATAACAGAACGATGGATAATTGATGACGAATGATGGAAAAATGACAATTCAAGTATTTCGTTACTGAGATGGGAGGAGGAGGAAGGGAGAGGGGAGGAGGAGGGAGGGGGATGAGGGGTAAACATGGCATTGCGGATACACAGATAATATTTTTGCACAATAACAACTTGAAAATAACACAATAATTATCGATCACTTATCTACAAGTAACTGGAAATAAACGCAAAAAGAAAAGGAAAATTTCGATAAATTTATCATTACACAAAAATTTAAAAAATAATTCAAACATTTCCTTCATTAAGATAATAATAATTAGAAATTGAATAGGTCATCGTTCGACGATCATCTGAATGATCATCTAATAGTAAAGCGAATATTATAAATGATAAAAACTCACGTAACACGTGAACGACGCTACGTGAACGACGATGCAAAGTGGAATATTTTTTTCATGTTAGAGAATGTTGGAGAGTTTCTTTTGAGAAGAGCGAAACCTCCTTTTTCGATGCTTCGTATGAACGAATAACTCGTTTTGCTTACCCGTAAACCTTACCACAATTTGTATTTTCTTTTTAAAACGCTGACGATTTTTTCTCCTCCATATTTAAGTGAATTATTTGATGTTTTTCACGTTTCAAAAAAAAGGCATAAAACTTAAAAATTGAATAAAAATTTTCAAAAGCTATAAAATATATTTGCACATAAAAATGTATATTTAAAATATAGATTTAAATAAAATTATCTATCGTAAAAAGTACGAAAAATAAAATTATTTTCCCATAAATTTTTAAATATTTTGAGAGATTTTAAATAAATCATCGAAATTTTATAAATTTTATAATTTTTTATAAAGTTTTAAAAACAAAATTTAAAAATAAAAAATAAAATTTTTTATAATTTTATATAAATAATTTGATTTATTTTCGAGAAAATATTTTTACATTTCTAAAATTTGCATATAAATAAATTTTTCTAATTTTTCTTTTTTTTTGCAAAATTTTCAAAGAATTCTCTGCAAAAATTTTCTATATTTGTCAAAAGACGAATTTTTATGGAAACCTTTTAAAATATTGCGATGCTAGCATCATTCATCATTTCTAGTTAGAACAATTAGTACAACAGTACGCAATTTTGCTAATGTAAAGGAAAAACAGGTGGTTTCAGCAAGAGACTTTTTTAAACCGAACCACACTATTTCAAGTGATATTCTAGCCGAGCGATAAATAATCCACTCACAGCCAACTGTGTTACTTCTCCTCTAATCCTTTTTTCTAGTCGCTAAGCCTATTTATCTACGGTGCAACTAGTGCAGCTTATCCCTTCAAATGAAAATGCAGCTTAACCCTTCAAATGAACAAATTTCAAAATATACACCATTTTGTGGATTAACACTGTTCCTTCCATAGCTTTGATATTTGCTTTTCGCCTTTATTTGACTTCTAATCTTTCATTCTTCTTTGGCTCCTTATTTTCATGATCTTTCATTATTTACACCTACCATCTATCAATGCATTTGTTGCGTCGACAAGCAAAATTACTTATCTTAACGATAATTTACAATAACAATAGGAAAGTAAGGGGAGAATTTATACAGCTTATCTTCTCAGGAATGTTTAAACGGCTTGAGACAAAGGACAAACAGAGTTTCCTAATAATAACTCCTATAATGTCTCTCACCTAAAGATATGATAAATAGTATAAAAGCAAAAAGTATCATTCTTAAAAAGTGACTAATAGCCTTTTCTGAATTAATTGGAAAACGATAAAAGAATAACTAATACCATATTAGAACTACTTACTGGCTATTGGCTACAAAAAACTGTGGCCAGTTCGAGACTGTAATGAATCAATCAAAACAAAGCTTAAAATATTCAAATTCCATATAAATTTGAACATAGCAGTAGGTCTACAAATGTGATACAAATTTTTGAACACAAATACAAATTCTCCACAATACTACTATTATGTCGCCCGACCGACTTAGGTCCGGTCCTTTTTGAACTACAATAAATCCAAAGTATTTTTTCCAGTTGAATATAGCGCACAATTTCCTCTTAGCGTTTGAAAATCGTTATCACATTCTGCGGATATTCGTCTTCACAACTATTCCCAACTAATGACGTTAATTAAAATATAACACGTTGTAGCAGTAATTCGAATATATATGATCCATAATTTGCTGAAAAATTCCAGGTGTTGATTTTGCGTGGAGACCTATTACAGGTGAAATATTTGCATTGATTATTAAGAGCTTCTTAGTGCTTCAACTACCTCAATTCGATGAAAGGTATTAGCAAGCTTCAGTTGAGAAAAATATTTTGCGTTATTCCTCACAAAGTGATAGAGAATAATTATATGCTTACAAATCGTTGTATAAAAGATCTGCTGGACTTCTTTACGACAATTGGTGCTCCATAAATTGAGTGACTTGTAAAATATTCCTTAGCACTTTGAAGCGATTTAATTTGATTTCGATGAGAGAACAAGTAATATAGGTCAGTGATCTCCAAAGTTTGAAAACTGATTCAGTTCCTAATCGATGGATTATAAACATCCACGAATTGAGACTGGATTTAGGAAAGAGCCCATTCATATGACTCCTTTCCTCAGCCACACTATTTGTAAGAAATTTGATCGTAAACGTTCAGTTTGTATTATCCAGCAGATAGGCTTCTTCCCATCTAAAACATTGCAAAGAAGCACTGAAATTCATGTTTTGAACTGGTCATTTATGTTTCTCAACACCAACGACAAGATTTTCTAAACAAAAGAACGATATCTGAACCAGCAATCAATTTAAAAACCACAGGACATGAATTTACTGCACAGAACTTCAAATCTAACAAACTGCCCGCCGTCGGTGCATGCCACATTGCTGACTTGTTCAAATTTTGCTCCCTACCGTTCGTTTGATTGCTCTGAATTATGAAATAATGCTTTTTTTGGTCTACAGCTTTTTGTCCCGTTTCCGTCCTTGCACAACATTCGTGATTTTGGTAACCACATTTTTTGCTGTAACATATTCCTCCGCACAACCAAAATGGTATGTGAGAGGCTCTGTTGCCTGATCTTTAATTATTATCACAAAAGTGATAAAATTTTCATATGCTTTCTCCTTTAGGTTCAGGCAATATCTGCTATTGAGAAAAGACTTCTGCGGATCGAACAATGAGGTCAGTATAGCTAGCGGACATTAAAAAATAAGTTGCCAGGTACCGTAGATAAAATATATTTATATTCCGTATTATCTAATTTGCGAGAAGTAAGGGACATGTCTTCGCTTCTTTTCAGGTAGTTCAGGTAGTTCCGCAGCATCTTTGGAAAATTAAATCGAATAGCGATTATTAAATCACGTAAAAAATATGTCATCTGGATTGAAAAGTCGAAAGGCTCCCAGTGGAGATTTTCGCAAATTTCCCACAATGCTATTGCAAAAAGAACTTACTTAGGGCACTTCATCTCGATCTATCGATTATCCACATACTTGAACTTTATTACAGTTGAAAAAATAAATAAATCGAAAAGAAAAATCCGATTACTTAAAAATACACAATAAAATGTGAATATATTGAAACGCATTTAATAAATCTCTGTATTTAGTTCATGGAACTCGCTTAAACAAAATTATGCAGGTCATACGATAAGAATAAAATGATCGTGCCTATGCGATTTTTTAAGCAAGCCTACCTCTATTGACTCTAACAATTACACGCAAAGGTCTCTCTTCATCGAAGAGAGACCTTGGTCCTGATACAAAGGGAATCCGCTAAAATTAGCTGAAACTTTCCGTACGATGCTTCAAGACGAACCACAACAACGTCATACTTTCTGGCATATTCCACTAAGACTTAATCAGTCATTTAATTTGATTGTTATTCTATAAATCGAGATTTCACTGGAAGGAAAATAAAGCAGCCAATGAAAAACAGTGAGAATTTAATGAAAAATTTAAAACCTACCAATTTCACGTTTCAGATTCAGATAAAACATCGGTGATTCCACATGAGACCTATTCATGGCTGAGGTTTGCTTCATTACAACACATAGTTCTTCTTCACGGCCAAATATTTTGCAGACTTAATAATACAACAGCCAAGAGCCATGTGCATCACATTTTTAGGAATTGATTTAAGCATTCAAAAGTCATTTATAATAGTACCAATATGACACTCAAAGAAACTGCAAATTTAAAAAACGCGGTGGAAAGAAAGAAAAAAAAAGCACAAACGAAAAAAATTTCTTACCTTACGAATAATTAAATTTATATTAAATAATATTCTGTAAAATAAAATTGAAATAAAATTTTCCCGAAGAAATATGATTTGTATTCCAATGCAAACAGAATCAAAAAGGGATTTTGTGTAAATGCGCTCAAAGGACACGAAAATAGTTTTTCAAATCACAAAATAATGCGAGAACGAATTTATCTGAAATGGAAAAAAATATTTTAAGAATTTTCTTTGATAAGACGAATATTGCAGTGAAACGAGACAATGAAAAAGCACAGCAATGAAAAGTAATTTAAAAGAAAATCTGAGTAATAAAACTGAGTAATAAAACTCTGACTACTGGGCAAAAAAAATTTTCTCGAGATTTTCCCGATGTTGAATAATTCATAATTCGTTCAATATCATATCTTTCATGAATGATTAGCTCAATCTTTGCAAAAAACTAAGTTAAAAACAACTAAGGCAAAAACGATGGCATCAGACCGCGTCGCTTGGAAGCGTCTTACCGCCGTAGACGCTGAAGCCAGCCTAACCAGTAAAGGTGAGAGTTGTTCGAAGAAGAAGAAAGAAGGCAAATACTGACTTTAAAAAATATCTTGGAGTGATAAGTAATCAATTATCAAAACCAAAACAAATGTAAATAGAACAATAAAAAATTTGAATGCTGCACGGGGCTATTTGTCTATCTGCAAATGGATCTTTAGCAAAAATACCTTCAAAATCTCGTAATCTTTTTATAATTTAACTATAATAAAACTTAGGCCTACGATAGAATATGCAATGCGCATACCAAATATTCACAAATGCTTTGTCGCAAGAATTCTGTACGATGATCAAATATATATATAAATATATTCAAGCGAGAAATATAATTTCTAGTTGTGGATGTTACGGATGTTGCTATTGTTTCAGCTCCACCAAAAGTTGGCGATGATGAAGAGATCGAAGCGATCGCTGGAAAGGGATTAGGCCTAAGCCAACGACCACCTGGCTAACTGTATTTCATTTTTTTTTCTTCTGATCATACTCGCAGTTTATAATTTTGCTAGCTTAGTGATTACTCAAGAGCCAATTAGGAATGCTGAGAACGTAAACTGGCAACACCTAGATTTCACTGTTAATGAAAAAGGTTCCCATCCAAGAATGAAAAAGCTCATTACTCTTAATTTGTCTACTTGTCCGATAAAGAAAGACTGAAGGTGATAACGCTACAAAACTTTACTATAAGAAGACTTAAGACCACTTTCATAATAATTTATAAGATTTTCTATGGCCTTATTAACATGAATCCCAGGAAGTTTTTTTATTTATCAATAAATTTTAATATCACTAATATCGTCAATTTTTAATATCACTGATATCGTCAATTTGGAATAATCTTCAGGAAAAGCCACAAATTGTTTTAAAAAAACCTATAGGAACTCGTCAGAATACATATACCCTTTGGTTCATCAAAGTTCCATACATTTTCTTTCAAACACAACAAATTTATGAATAAATCTATGAACAATTCAATATAAATTTAAAAATACAATAAAATAACTGAAATATTAAATCATTTAAATAAAGTTGAAGTTTTTAATTAAATTAAATAAATTTAGGCATAAATAGAAATATTTAAAAAGAACAAATTACAAATGAAATAAAAATATTATTATTGAATTATTAATTATGTTACAATGAATTATGCATTAATAAACTATTATTAATGAAAAATCTCTCTTTCATAGCAAAAAAGCGCTAAAATCGGAAAATTTCGCAGTAGGTATTCGTAGAAATAATAAAATTCGGCTATGAAATAAATCACATTAAATAAAATTACTGCGGACAATTAAAGTTAATTTTAAGAATCCTCACCATTATTAGTTAAACTCGCTCCGCTGGCTTAACGCACTCGACAAATATACCAAGGAATCCCTTGGCGACAGAAATTGAGGCGAGTCGCCAGCTTCACCTGGATTTTCGTACTCCTGTTAATACGGTAGAAATACTTGTAAAATTTTACCGAATTTTTTAGTAGATGTCATTACGAATTTTGGTACTTCTAATTTTATTAGGTTTGTAGAGGAACACGTTTGCGATAAAAACTGCAAAAAACTTTCAGCATAACTATTATAGTTACTAACTTTAATTGTTCGTAATAATTTTATTAAATGTGAATAGCCAATGGCTCAGTGGATTTTTGTACAATTGGGAGCGCCGATGCTGAGGTTCGATCTGCCGCAGGAGTAAACCTGTACAAAAACCCTGATAATGCTGGCGACTCAGCTCTATCGCCAAGAGACTCCTTGGCGTATTGCCTCAAATGTGACATGCCAGTGCAGCGAGTTTAACTAGCAATGGTAAAGGCTGCTCTTAAAAAAAAAAGCCATATCAGCTGAGACTAAAATGCAGCCCGTCCTCCGGTGCGGCTTATCATGAGTTTACTATCTATCAATTGTATTTTTGAATTTGCTTGGCTGCTGCGTTTTAGTAGTGTTCCAATTTTTTGCATTTTTTTGAGTGGTTGCGAGGGGAAATGCAAAAGGTCGATTTTCGTAAATTTTCGTCTATTTCATCGTTGGCTTATAGGTATTGCCATGCTCAGTCGTCCAGGTGATTTATTCTTTTTCGTAGTATCTTAACTTTTTAAGGGGTTTTTTTAGATTCTCTAATTTCGCTTATAGCTTAATATTTTTACTTAATATTTTTAATTTATTAAATTTATTTTATAATAGAATTTTAAAAGATTTCAAAAATGATATTCATCCAGTTTTGCGCCAATCATTTATTCGTTTTTATGAGGTAAAACAATTTCTGCAATTATTGATTTGTTTCGCCTCGTTGGCCTTCTGTCCATCGTCCATGGTCAAAGTCCATATATTGCCGACTTTGTGATGATTTCGCGACGTCTCCATTTAAAAGCTCCGCCAACCGGAAAAACGCATTTCTACCGTAACTGTCAGCCAAAAGAACTGTATCATCAACTGTATTGAAGATCTGTGATACGATGCTGTGACTGATTTGCACACTTGAGTACCGACGTCCGTCCGTCCGTTATCCACTTTAATGCGTAGTTGAATATTATTTGAGGAAAAGGTGCCTTGGCGGATGCTAATTCTTTTTTCGAAGAATTTTGTAAATTCCCAATATACATAGACCCGCGCCGAAGTACGCTGATAAAATGCATTTATGAGTCGAATGGTATTCTTTGGAGCACCGTCGCGTTCCATCATCTTCCAAAGAGCGTTGCTCTCCCAACTGAATGGAAGGAATGTTCAAAATCGATGAAACATATAACGTTGGTTGTTGATATTTGAAGAATATTCCAACATCCTTCTTAAGTGAATATTTGGTCAGCATAACCGTGTTCCGATCTAGCTTGGCCCATCCTGGTATCTCGTACTGCCATAAGTCTATTCACTAGAAGTGAAGCGGAAACTTTCCTAATGATACCTAGTAGATTCCTCTACAATTTTCGGTGTCCTGTCCAATTTTCTCAAAAACTAAAAAATATTGAAACTTTTGCTTAAGTTTTTTCTAACCACCATTTTGGGTTTGGTTCACTGTAAAGTTCACTCTATCAGGAATGAGAGCCTTTCGCTGGAAGATCATTTGATTTATAGCTATTCGTAATTCTAATGACAGTTTGCTCTTATCAGAAAAAGGGAATCTCATTATGCTTGACTACAACTACTATTTCGTCTCTTTAGCTCTAGTTTATGTCTAAGTTAAATCGTAGCACTCGATAGGAAATGCGACGAGAAGTGTAATCCTGATAATATTTCATCCATTTGTTTCCTAAAAACATGGAAATTTTAAAATTCCTGTGAAAATTACTGGATTGCAAACTTTTTTCATAGTTGTTTCAATGATGAAATCGTTGTTTTCAGCGATCCATTGGAATTATTTCGTCGAATAAATAAGCTCTCTCAAGAAAAAAAATGGAATTCAATATTAAATAAGCCAAAGCTTTTCCTTATTGGTGAAGGCAGAAAAGAAGCAAACGAAGTTTATCGTAAATTGGTATGCTTATAGATTATTTGCGAACATAAAAATTTGTTTGTTCAAAATTTGTTTTTTTATCTAATTCGAATAAATCCGAATAAATTGTTCAAAAATACTTTTCGAAAAGACTTTTTCTAAAAATATTGATAAAATTGAAACAATTTTCAATTTTCTTGAAATTTGAAAAGTATTTTTGAATAATTTTTTATTTATTGTTTTTTTTGCATTTTCTAATATTTAGTCTAACTGAATAATCGAACCATCTAATTAATTAAGATTGATCTGTATTTCGCTATTCTCGGAGAGTAAATCTCGTTTATGCTTTAAATGATTGCGGATGACAGAATACTATCCTTCCTTCATAGAGTCACTTAAAGACAAAAATGTGTGTCCAGTAGCCAGAAGTCTGTGACCGAAACAAATCCTAGTGACATAACTCGGCCATTCACTATTACCTCTAAATATTTCACCATTTCAGCTATAAGTTTTTATTGTAAATTGTTGATTCTTATTCTATCAACCAAACCGAAAATTTTATCAAATTTCCCAATATTGAGTAAATTTTTAGAATTTTAAACTTAAATCACTTCAATTTTTTTTGCAGTTGCCAGCCGATGCTACCTTGTTCGCTCGGTCTACTTACAGTAATTTGTTTTATACTGTAAGAAATATGTCCCTAGCCATAATGTTCTTTTTCTCTGTAGGATTCATCTACGATCATTTTTTGCCTGAAGAATACCGATTTAAATATAAATACCAGAAGGAACATGGTCATGTACATAAAGAAACACATGATCATTAGCTTACTATGTTGATAATGTTGAAAGTGGATCTTTGCACAGATTTAGTGAATTCATTGTCAATATTTGATATTTCCATAGTCTCAAGATATATTTGCTTTAAATTCTTATGGAAAATGCGCCGTTATTGGTTATTGAGAAGATATCTATTAAAAGGTGATTCATCCTTTTTCATATTTCGTTTAATGGACATTTGCCATATCTCAAAATTCGCAAAAATTTGTTTTTAAATCATAGTGACATTTTTATTCCTCCGCCTTCTTCCCTTCCTCTTCATGATGATTCGATATATTCAGGCAAAAACCAAATGAATCACATGCTTCGGATTTTAACTACGTTTTGTGGATTCTTAACTAATTGGAATGAAATCCTGACATTTTTAATAAAAATGAAACAGTTTGGGAACATAAAGACGTGAATAATATGTGATATTTTTTTCCAAAAGCACCAGTTCTGTTTTACGCGCTGGGTTGCCGGAATTTTGTCTATCGAACTCAGAAAATTTCCCCTGAGGTTCATTTAGCAGCAGAAGTATAAGTGAACCAATGATTTTTTGAAACAAGGAAAATATTTCTAAACCTTCGCGAATGAGTTAGTTAGTCGTGATATTATGGTTTTTGATAATTTTAAATCAGGATTTCAGCTAAAATTATCTTTTAAATAATGCGATTAAACCGCATAACCATTAAAAATTTTGTAAGCTTGCTTTCATCTTCAATCATAATGAATCAAAGTTATGTAATTGCATTTCGATTGTGATTAATGTTGTATTTAATAAGCAAAACAATATAGAAATTCTAATAATCTAAAATGAGTCATTTGAAAAATTTAGCTTTCATTACCTCAGGGAAATCTTAAATACGTTAAATGATTTGAAAAACCATTATTACAGGGACTCACGAAATCTTATCGATAATTTTCTGTCGCCACTTACAGCCATATTTTTCTTGATAAGTCTTCCTCTCATTAGTTCTTATCATTACTGATTAAGCAGCTTTGCTGGCTAGAAGGGTAAGAAGTTTCTAAGCTGCACAATCTGATACCATCTTTATGGTAATGGAACCTATTCCTTTTTCGAAATCCATATATCGGTGGTCCTCTTATACGTTCTAAATCTTTCCTGGACTATATCAGTCCAAGACAAGATTTCGCAAATATGAGTGTTCCCATCAGCCTATGAGAATAACATTATTATTTCTTTACTTTTCATTTCCTGAGCAATAAACGATATGATTCTTCTGATTGAAAATGTTCGATCGCGGTCTCTTTTAGTTCGCTGATACCTAAAATGTCAATTTGTGTTCACTACTTTGTTTTGTTTGGAATTTGCTTAAAATGTACGTAAGGTTTATTCGCCAATTTACGAGCTTTTTATTCATTCATCCGAAAAAAAAGGGATATCGACGAAATATAGTGTCAGTGTAATATAAAATAACCAAAAAAATGCTAGTGACAGCAATAATAAATAATCTAATTTAAGGCAAATCCATTTAGTTTCATTCTTTTTATAAAATTTTGACTTATTTTATTTCCCTAAAATTTATGAAACAAATTCTCTTATTTTTCATTTAATTGCACTGTGATTTCCTATTATCACATTGCTATAATGCTTTGATTTGTTTAAGTTTTTTAAATTCTATTTTTAATGAAATGAATTTGCTGAAGTTCAGTATAAATATATGTAATACACTGCTATTTTTGTTATTTTCAATGCGAAAAAAAAATGCGGATAACCTTTAAGAGAGCAAAATGATGGAATTGTGTTTTTTTTTTGTGGTATGCTTCGAATTTATTTTGATTGCAAGATCATTTATTAAGGGAGGTCTATGAGGGAGGTCTCTTGGCAAAAATCTGAGCAACTGAAAGAAAAAAAGTAAAACTAGGCTCTGCGTATTCCAGACAGATTGATATTTCCACTGTGCTATTTTCTCAATAGGCTTTTTCTTAAATGATTCATTCATGACACAATAGGCTCTTCTTTTCGTCGCCCCAAAGATCGTTTTCCCCTTGTTTTCTAAAACCATCGTTACAATAAAAAGTCCACATCTTTACCCGGAAAACATTTCTTCAAAGTAAATAATGTTTCATTAATTAAACCTGTTCCAAACTAAATCGAGCGCTTTTCCATTTTAGCTAGCGGAATCCAGCTATAAAAAGCGTCAGTCATTCTACTGATATACACTTTGAATAAAATATCTGAAAAATACCAAGGATATTAATGAAGAAGCGAAAAAATAGGTCTTCAAACGCTTGACAAAAAATACTTTGGTCACATGCGTTTACACTCTCCTTTTTTCACTCTCTCTTTTCAAACGGCTCTGCGGATTTTAAACACAAAAGTATCGAAAATTTATATAGTACAGCTAACAAAACCAAAGAAATCTTCCGATTTAATCGAGAGTAGACATCGAAAAATTCAACTGAAAATTGTTTATCAATCTTATCAATTTATCAATCTTAAAATAATTTTATTAACGCGAAAAACCGAATAAAAGAAAGAAAGAAAAATGAAATATGAAGTTTTCCTCTGGATTCCATGTATTATTTGAATTATCAAATCCTTCCGATTTAACCAGATATTCAATCTTTTTTTATCCTTGAATTATCCTCTTATTCAAAATTTTTTCAGTGGCATAATTGTATATATTCAGAGGAATCAGAATTTTCATTTTCATCATTTGTGGTAGACGCATCCTCCTGAAACAAAAAAAAAAGGAATTTAATGCAATGAAAGCAAAGAACTTCAAATGCTTAAAAACAAAAAGTGTAAAAAATTAAAATACAATAAATGAAAATGAAAAGAAAAAAAGAAATTTCGTATTTTAGGCAAATGCAAAATATAGTTTTGCAAATCTTTAACAAAATCTAAATTTAAAACAATTTACCTCTTTTCTGCTAAACACCTGTTGCATTTGTTCAAATTTGCATCGCTCTAAGAAAAACCATTAACTAATCGGTTGTAAGCGATGGCATTTATTTATTTTGCACTACCGATTATTGAGTAAACATAGTGATACTTATAACAAATCAAAATCACTATATTTTTCTCGAGAGTTTCTGCTAGACCCGACTATGCAATAAGACAAATTTTTTCTATTTTCCACTTTTTTTACTTTTCATCTTTTTATTTCATTATTTTTTATCCCTCTAACTTTAAGTAGTAGTAAAATTGTCATGATATTAAAAACTCAGATAGCTGGCGAGGACTCATCTATAACTCCATCCCCAACTGACTGTATAATAAAGATGGCGTCTACCTCCTTCTGCGCGCATAAATACTTCCAGCTCGGTGGTACATGCGATAAGTATGCAATCCATGGAAAACGATCCCAAGGCTTGAGAATATAATATGTTCACGAGCCAGAATAATTGATCGAAAACCGTCAAGGGAAAGGAAAAACTGTACACCGGCATCGTGAGCGGTCAGATATTTGCCATGGTTGCCTTTTTAAAAATTTATTTTCTTCTATTTTCTTCTATATTATATTTCTTATATTTACTTTTTTCATTTTTTGTCTTTTTATCTCATTGTTTTCTTTTATCTTTTTTTACTTGACTTTAATAACAGTAAACCTGTCATGATATCAAATGATAATGTTCAATATGTTCAAAAGATGTGATGAAAACCGAGGTCCAACCAGGACTTAGAAAAAGTCCCATCATAAACCCGAGCAACTGCTTCGACCTTGATGCGGATTCAGAATGTGTATGGACCCAGCAAGCCAAGCGACCAGTGTCCACACTCTTTTTAAAAATAGCATAGATGTTACCTGCTTATCGAAAATTCCTCTTTCCCTCTCCGGATCTTGAGTAATTACTAAATCTGGCTCCGAGCAGAGATAATGGCCATATCACTGTAATGTTTCGGACGACTCGGGGTGCAATGACATAGCTATTGTTATGTCTGAAAAAGCTCATTCCGCTTTGATTGAGTGGAAACTAGTAAAAGACTGTATGACTAATGATCGCTTTAAAGGAAAGTTCTGCAATATTTCTCCAACTTCGTCTGCAGATGACCGTGAAAAGTTCTATGCAGAAATTCAATTGCTAACAACATCTCTATCAAAAGGTGACATGGTCATAATCGAGGTAGACTGCAATGCGCATAGATCCGCATAGATCAATTTCGCCATGGTGAATTCTATCGCTGGTAAATATAGATGGAGAATTCTTCACCAAACAGCATGAACTTTTTGTTACTATGTTATAGGCATCAAAGAAGACATCTAATCACGTGGAACCCTCTGGACAACCACTTCCACGCTATAATATACTAGGAGTGCGCTAGTTGGTGTCGGAAGCAATTATTTAACTTTCCGAAAAGGCTATCAAGGTATGAGTATCAAGATCCTAGTTATCGGATGTTTCGAAAAATGACAGCAGCATGATGGGACAGAAATCGTTATTGAAGCGATATGGCCTTGAAAATGAGATAGTGGCTCGATTAGGCAGAAATTCTATTTTCTTCATTAAGCAATTATAAGTCGCAAAACGGTCAATGAAATGATACGGGATAGTAATGGTGCAATGGTGTATCTGTTAAGACTATTAAGGATCGCTTCATAAGATGGAAGAAATCTTTTGAGACCAAACTTAAAACATGATGCGTTTTTATTTTCATTGATATGGCTAAACCACTCATCAAACCATGTGTTTGCAACTACGAACCACCGACAGGATAGGAAATAATCTCTTTCACTCAAAAACTAATAAAACTCCAGGAAATGTTCTTTAGACTGGGCTATTCAAATATTATCCATCAACCTTCATATCACACCTTCAAGAAATGTAATCTCTAGTAAGGAAGAACGAAATAATACCAGATGACTGAAGCGAAGCAATTCTGCTCTCAGTTCCAAAGAAAAATGATAGGACCTATGACAATTATCGAGGAAATGAGGAAACTACTTAGATATACTAGACCAAACTACTAGATCGAAAAAATTTTCGCTTCCCTACAATTGACTTATGGTAGTAATTGACGAAGGCAGGATGCGCTAAGCTAGATTCAGATCGGAATACGGTTATGCTGACCAAATATTCACATTAAGAAAGATGTTGGAATCTTTCAATATCAGCAACCAACGTTATATGTTTCATTGATTTTGAACATGACTTCCATTCAGTTGGTTGAGCAACGATCTTTGGAAGATGATGGAACGCAGCGGTGCTCCAAAGAATACCATTCGACTTATAAATGCATTTTATCAGCGTACTTCGGCGCGGGTCTATGTATATTGGGAATTTACAGAATTCTTCGAAAAAAGAACTAGCATCCGCCAAGGCACCTTTTCCTCAAATAATATTCAACTACGCATTAAAGTGGATAACGGACGGACGGACGTCGGTACTCAAGTGTGCAAATCAGTCACAGCATCGTATAACAGACCTTGAATGCAGTTGATGATGCAGTTCTTCCGGCTGATAATCATAATGAAATGCAAATAATGCTAAAAAATGTGTCGACAAGCGAGAATCAGACTCAGGGAAAATATATAAATAAAACGAAAGTTTTTTCGTCTTATCTATATGAAGCTAATAAAATATCTGTTCTTATCAATTCATCGCCGGTTGAGGAAATGCCAGCGTTTAAATATCTTGTATCCACTCTGGTACCAAATGGCCAGGTAAAAAATGAAAATAGAATCTGGATAATGGTAGCTACAAATGCATTTTTCCGGTTGGCTTTTATGAAGCCGTAGCAAAATCACCATCAAAACGAAAGTGTGTGTTTACATAGATCTTACTATTCCCTTGATCTTACTACATGATTGGGAGATATGACCGATGAGAGTGGAGCATATTGTAGACTTATCCATCTCTGACCACTCATGTTTAAGATTCATTTTACAGAGTCGCTGAGCAAACAAATTTTAAGATTTTGAACGTAGAGGTGAACCATCGATATATGGACTTAGAAGATGGAAAAAGGAATGAAAAAGGAATATTGTCGGATCGAAGAGCTTGGAAATGCCTTATCTCTGTAACCAGCGAAACAAGCCTAACCAGTAATGGTAAAAGTTGTTTGAAGAAGTTGTTTGCTCGTTTGCTCAACATTTTGATCAACTGCATCCATGTCGATTTCTTAACGAAACATTTTTTCTAAAATTAATTTTTATTTGTAACAATCTAAATAAAAAAATTTTTACGTAATAACAATTTCAAAAAAAGTATGAAATCAATCGATTTTATACTATTTAATTGGACAAAACTGTATTTTATTAGTAATTCATATGATACAGTCGGCAAAATTTTTGCGAATAATGGGAAACAAAATCCCAGGCAGGCTGGTGGAAAAAATTTCTTTCATAGAAGGTCAATATAAAAAAATGCGACTGCTACCTTAATAATTAAGGAAATTAAAAAATAAAAAAGTTAAAGTGTTGATGGACAGCTAACACCTTCGTTCTTGCTGGTAAATGAAAGTGTGGAGAAACTTGAGGTTGAGCTGTAAAAATATTTGTATACTTGTACTGAAATAAATAAAAAATCCACAAGTCAGTAGTAAATACATTATATTGAAAAATTTTTTAAAATAGCGATTTCTAATCTCCTTTTTTTTAGAAGTGAAATTTTATTATCTCAAAAATTGCATTTATTATTAATTCATATGACACAAAAATCTTTGCAAATAATGGGAACAAAAATCCTCAGTGGGTTGATGGAAAAAAATTTTTTCTGTATGTCGTAAGAAAAATGGAAACCTTTGCCTTAAAATAATAATTTTCTTGTAAAAATTTCTCAAAAAAATTAAAAACAGAACTAAATAAATTAAAAAATAACCAGAAATAAAAAAGTTACATTGTTCATAAACATAGTTCATAATTCACACGATTCAAAAGGCCAATAATTTCATGAAAAGATTTGTGCTTAAATGGCTAAGAATTCCACAAGTCAAATATTGAAAGATTATTGACTTTTTAAAGTAGCGATTTCCAGCCATTTTTTTATAGAAAATTCTACTACCCTGAAAAAGCGGCACCATTGTAATGCTTATGTTCATTTTTATGAATTTAAATATAAATTCATAAAATCATAGTAATGACGAGCAGAAAAAAAGAAATCAATGATTTTATAATGACCGGAATTAACAAAAAAAATGATGAAAATTAGTAAAATTACAAAATAAAGAGAGTTAAAGAAGGAAGAACAGGAGAATCTATTCTACAACTACAAAGGGATTTATAACTACTGCATACGACAATAACCCAATTTCTAACAACGTCTTGCAACAAAATCACATAATCAGGAACAGATTAATCACAATAGATTAATACGCTGTTGCTACTCTTTCGGAGCGCTCGCGTTGAAATTTCACTTCCGGGATGAATAAACCTGTCCATCATAAATGTAGGTGAGCTATATTTCTATCACCAAGTAACTCCCAACAAGCTAACGGAACAAATATAACTAGGAATGATAAGTGCTCTACAAAAGAATTCATTAATTTTTGACGACTGTCTTATGAATCAATCCCTATATATTTCATCACAGTCGATATGCTATATTAAAAAAGAAATTTCTTATGAAAAGAAATGCTATGAAATCAGTAATTTCCAAGTATGTCTATAATCTATTCAAAAATGGTCTCAACTCAGTGATAAATATGGTCAAGCAAACCAGAAAATGAAGTGCTCTATAATAAGGAAAGATGTATATAAAGATCGAAAAATGCGTGAAGAAAATTTTAGAACTCACGTGAATACGAAATTCCTTTTCTTCCGAAATGTCACACATTAAGTAGATTGATGTAGCTTTTTATTCATTATATATATGTTTATATATATATACATCCGAGTTTATTTTTTTTGTAATAAAGTGAAAGGATTTTCGCTGTTCATTTAAGCTGAAAGTAATTTAAAAGTAATTTAATATATTAAATCATACGATCTGCTCGAAACTAATATATTTTGAAGGAAATTACTTCATAAATGTCGAAAAAGCAATCAAATCATGAATAAAATCAAGCACTGTATTAATTAACCTTTTAAAGAGATCCGTTATGAATAGGTAAAAATATCGATTAACCCCTTCAAATTCTCTTGGAACGCATATTTTAAAACCTCTCCTGCTAAACTGTCGCAACACTCATTCCTATTTTTCTACCGCATCGCTCTATGAGCCCCATCACTACCATCACTACCTTTATCTTTCCAAGAGCACTCATCACTTCTGGTTAGATCCGCTCGGTTGGCCTTGTCGAGTTAGATAAATTTTGCCAACTTCGTAGCAGAAATGCAGAACAGTCAGTACCATCTGACATATTTCAATTTTTCACAATTCACAATTATATCACAATTTTTTAATTTGCAGCTGCGATTGCTCACTGCAAGTCTCGATGGAGTTCCGGATTTCCGCTTCGGATACTTTTCTCCTAATATTGGATATTGGATAGAAGTTGATGCAAATGATATCGCCTGTCTTTTATTAAATAACTCGCGCACACATACGCGATTATCAGCAATGTTTATCAGCTATATCTTAGAAAACAGACGAAAAAGGTAAAATAGTGTAGAAATAAAATTTTATTTAATAATACGCTAATAAAATTACAGCTGAGCAATTGGCAGTGAAATAGAAAATAAACAAAAGAAAGAGTAACCAAAGAGAGCGACCACTCATTACCATTTAGCAAAAAAGTACCAACAATCTTTTCTAAATCCGCTGAGGTACTTAACCTGGCAATTAACCTACTACCACCCTTTCTCATCGAACAAAACTCTTACAGAATTTCGTAGGCTCCCGACACGAAAATATGTTTACGATAATCCACGATTTGAAAATTTCCTGTTTTCTTCTATATATTAAACAATCGAAAAAAATACGAGAGGTGTGGAAGGGGGTGGCGGAGTTTCTCTCGTACAAGTTCGGGAACATTTGTATGGTTTTTTTGTATAAATAATTTTTTTAGCGCGGTGAAAAATTTTTGATGGGGAATCAAAGCAGTTGGGAATAAATGGATATTTAACATCACCAGGTTCTTCTAAGGATTCTGACAGATTCGGACTTGGCATTCGAAATAAATTCGTAAGCAGCAGCAGAAGCAGCAGCAGCAGTTATTCTGTCGTAGTAATTATATTTAGGTGAACTCCAAGTGATGAATGATTATTAAAGAAATTTCACGATGTAAGTCGAACGTGAGAACCTTCTCGATTTCTTTCTTAAGCTTGGCTAACGGAAAACGGACTATCGGCCAACGATTTGCTGGTCTTGGCTGCTAGTCGTATTGCGGAAGCTATGTTATACACAAACAAATCGAATTTGGATTCTATAATTTTCACTCTCGACGGTTAGTTGTCGCTCCGTGTTAGTTGTCGCTCATTCAACCAGAATGAAAGTAATGGACTGGCGTTTCGTCTCTTCTTGTCTTGTGAGTTACTTCCAAATGTGTCTCCAAATGTGTTAAGCTTTCATTAGGAAGCAAAGCATGTCGGCGTTCTTTCCTCTTCTAGTAAGTCGCACCAATGTTGGTTTGGGTCGCTTCAGTGGCGGTAGACCTTTTGAAGCCTTCGATGCCATTCCTAGAAGCAGCTAAACTCACTCCTTTCACCATCTAAGCCTATATACTTTTGTGTTTAAAACCGATTTGGTCCAAGTCTTGACTGGGTCTTCTCGCTTTCGACACCATTCATCATACGATTTATGAAGTAGCGAGATGTGCACCAATCCCTGTGGTGTGCAACGGACATGGCCAAACCATCTCAGACGACGATTTATGATATTTTTGGTGCTGATGGTATATGATGCAGATAACGTGCGAAAGTGGATGCATGCCTATGAGATTCAGATCCAGTAGGAAATGCTTTAAACAAGAATAACGAAAGGTATATGACAAATTATGAAGTATCAAATTCTGTAATATTGTGCTGTTATTTTCTAAAATCCTTCGCTCTTATAAACCAAGTTTCGAAACCGTTACAGTAGGACTGTGCCTTTTATGATAAATAGATATGAATTTTTGCTTTGAGGCTGATTTCGCGGTGAACCAGGAGAGGTTCCTTACATCAAGTTCTGGATGCAGCCGTCTGAGCTGGGATTTCGTCGTCTACTTGGCTATTTAGATACGAGAGTGGATTTAAGATATAAAGCCAAGCTCTGCTATATAAGATGAAAAGCGATTTGTTTTGTTTGTATTGATTTGAAGGCCAATTTTCACTACTGCTTTCGATACCTCGTCCAATATTTGTTGGAACACAACAACTAATTGATAATCTTGATAATCATGATAATTAAAACTCATTTTGTTTTTATATTAGTTCGATTTCACTCCCCTTCATCATATTTAGAATTTTCAATTTTGACTACCACAAATCATCGAGTATCAAATTCTATAATATTGTGCTGTTACATGCAAAATATTTTATTTGATTTTTTTTTGAATTAATAAAAATAAATTTTCAAAAAATGCACTAATGAAATTTTTTTGTTCCCTTTACTCTAATTTTAAAATAAAAATTTCTAGAAAAATATGGAAATATATGATTTTGAGATAATTCAGACAAGTCCACTGAAATAATGGGGACCGAATAGCCGAGTGGCTAATATTTCGAGTATTATGCTTTACTTCGGCAAAATAGCAAAAGCAAACCTACCGGGCAATGATAGGGATGATAGGTATTTCTATCGTCAACTAATTTCTTAGCGAAATTAGTCTCACTGCAAGCCAACAGAGCGAGTGTAACCAGAAATGGTGAACGAGAATTTCGCACTATGCTATGCAGTTTCCTCAGATTTGCTTTCTTTCAGATGCATATTAAATGATATACACGAACCAGGAGAGTAGAATGGCTCAGTGGGCTGTGGCTCAGTTGAGAGCGCCGATGCTGAGGTTCTACTCCCCGCAGAAGAAAATCTTCCTAAAAATCTGGGTGATGCTGGTGACTCACCTGTACTTCTATCGAGGAACTCTAAGAAACTTCTTAGTATATTTGTCTAGTGCGACAAGCTAGCCAAATGGTGAGGGATCTTTAAAAAATACGACTGCATCTGCTTATGTAATAGTTTTTAATTTCAAATAACTTTCGAGGAACAAATAAAACTCTGCAATACTCTGTAACTGAAACTCCGCAGCAAAACGAAAAAAACAATCCATTTCTTACTAAACTATACACGAGCGAGTTTGAATTCAGACGGTAAGATTTTTAAATATTATTCCCTAATTATAGCACAAAGCAAAGTATATATGGAGTTTTTTCGAAAAATCAATAAATGGGGAGAAAATTTTAATAAAAAATAATTTAAAATGATTAATTTCGGCCTTATTTCTATTTTCTTTTTGTTTAACAGCTAAGCGATCGATTTCATTGCTATGGTTTTGGCTTTGCTGAGAATTTTATCAGATAAAAAAAATTTTATTTGTATAAATATCGATATCATTATGTTGTGTAGAGACTGTCAACCTTTTTTGAAAGTATTTATTGGCATATTACTGCATCGGCGGCGGCTTTGCGCCAACGGCTCTGGCTCGAATCCAGTCGAACGCTTCACATTCTGTCGTGCCCCACTGTCACTAACTGGCGAAAGCGAAAGAAGAATGATTCAGTGGGATGTTCGAAACGCCGATGCTGAGATTCAGCGCTCGACAGGAGTAAATCTGTCCAAAAATCCAACTTATACTGGCGACCCACTTATACTTCTATCGCCAAGTGACTATCTGGCAAATTTTTAACCTATTGAGAAGGCTTGCGATTAAATAATCAGAGATTTTCACACTTAATTTTTATAATCAAATTCACAGTTTTTTGCTCGCTTCGAAGTCGTAGCCTCACTTTTTAGTATTTTATGAATTTTAGGTTTTAATATAATTATGATTTGGATAAGCTCAATCCATTTATGTTCAGTTAAATTTTCGTAAAATTATATATTTTAGCCAATTTGCTTTAAAAGAAAAAAATTTAATTCAATTGTAAATAATGAACATCAATCGAGAAGCTGAAAAAAAATGGGTGAGCCGTAATTCGCTTTTGTTTTTCATTCATTCATAATTTGGTAATTTCTTCAAATAATAGAATTTAAAGAATGCTTAAGATAATTATAATTTTTGCATTTTCTAGAAAATACTAATACTTCAAAAATATTTTTTTTCGAAATTTTTGAAATTTATAATTTTTTATAATTTTTTTTTGAATTCGTGGCCTATAATACTTTTTCAAAGACTTCCAGCAAGCTACCATAATGTTTTATGCATCGAAGTCTATTTCGTCTTACAGCTAAAACTAGTTTCATATGTTTCCTTGGCTTGAAATCTAGATAGTAGCGAACTATTTCTAAGGGAAATTTTTTAAAATCTTTGGAACTGATATTAAAGAGACTTTTTTAACGATCTTCAAAATATTGAAATTTCATAAATTGTATTATACAGGCAAATCGTCCTGTCAGTGAACAATTGGATGTGCCTTCATCTTCTAGTTTTAGAGAAAGCCGAACGTTAAAGGAAAAGAAAAAACTTATTCAAGTGTGCTTTTCAGAAAAATTTATTAAATAATTCTTTCTTTATAATTAATAAAATAATTTGTAAGAAAAAAACTATTTGCTTCATATCTTTTATTCTAAATAGACTTATGAATCAAAGCCTTGTTAGAGGAATTTTCCTTGAAATATCATCAATATTTAATGTTTAGGATCTCAGTGATCGCAAAAGGATGTTGGAAAACGAAAGAGATACTCGACGAAATACCATTCTTGTTCTTGAAAAAAAATTGAGACAAGCCAACAATAAGTATTTTTTTAAATCTTTTCAATTTTAAATTTTATTAAGAAATTTAAATGAGAAAAATTTTAGTGTAAAATATATTTCAAATAACCTTCATACGAAAGAAATCGAATGCAATGTTTTAAACGAGGAATTAGATGAATGGCGTAACCGTGTATCTGCTGTTCTTGAACTCAATAGCCAATATGAACTGCAAATTGACGAATTGAAACAACAAATTATCAGACAAGAAGTAACACTGGTTATTATTAATTCTTTCATTTTGTCAAAATATTTTCCAAACATTTTTCAAAATTATTTGCAGAAATTGTTGCGTCAATCTGATTATGTTGCCAGTTCACAAAAGAATGAATTGAATATTTTACATGAACAGCAAGAATCAATCGAAAAACAATTGAAGGAAACATTAGACATTAAACAATCCTATTTTCATGTGATTTTCTTGAAAAAATATTGAATTTTAAATTTTAATTATGATCTATTTATTTTAACATAGTGGATCTCGCTGGATAAATTTTTTGAAAATTGACAATTTACTACCGTTTTGTAGTTGCGGCTTTAGTAAATTTACATTTTAATTTTATGATAATTTTATTTCTTTTTTGATTCGTTATTCTATTTAAGGAACTTTTAACCATGAAAGAATCTCATTCAGCTTTAGTAAGAACCACGAATGCTGAGAAATTGCAGTTGATTAAAAAAATTTTCGACTTTGAAGCGATTATTGAATCATTGAAAAAACAGCTGCTAGATTCGGTTTGTAATTTTCTGCACATTTTGCAACACAAATATTCATTTATTCATCGTTTATTTATGTTATTCATCGTTTTATTCATAAAATTTGTTCTATGGAGTGCTTGATTATGAAATTGTAAATTTAAAATTGGGAGTTTTTTTAGCAGTGCAAGCAAGAGCAAGAATTGTATTCAGAACGTGCGCATTCATTGGAATTAGCGCGTCATTTAAATAAATGTGAACAGCAAAAAGCAGATATGGAGCTTCAGGTTAGCAAAGTTTCAAGTAGCATTCTTAAACTTCGTTAGGGTTTTTTTTCAAAACAGTAAAGACGTTTGAAAAGTTAATGTATCGAGTTTGAATTGAGGCCGCAGAACTAAGGGCAAAGGTAGAGGAGCAAGAGCAAGATCTCATACAGCAAATCGATGATCGAGAATCAGAAATCAAATATCTTAAAGACAATGTCAGTTTTTTATTCTTGTTTTTTTTATTTATTTGATTTCTTTTCATTATTTGTTATTTGTTATTTACTGAGGATAGAATGGCTCAGTGGGTTGTTAATCATTTCAGAACATTTTCATTTCAGAACATAGAGATTATACTCCCCGCAGAAGTAAACCTGTCCAAAAACCTGGGTGATACTGGCGACTTGCCTGTTGTTCTGTCGCCAAGGGATTTCCTGGTATATTTATTTAGTGTGGTAAGACAGTGGAGCGAGTCTAATCATTAATGGTCAGGACTCTTTAGAAAAAAATTTCTTATTATTTTGCCGTTCAGTTTTTTTCATTGGAAACTTTTATTGCTATTATATTTCTTATTTCATTAAAGTTGCGAGTAATCGCTGAAGAACATAAATTTTTAAATGACAAATTGAATAAGCAATCAGAACTTACCGCAAATTTATCTAAGAAGGAACTCGAAATTTCAAAGGTGTGTTTAATTTCATATTTATGCGATAATTTTTTATTTGTTACTAATTTTAATTCAATTTTTAATTTAATTTAATTTAATTTTTTAATTTAATTAAATTTTAATATTTGAAACCGTTTAAAATTTAAAATGAATATGAACCAGGTCTTCATAATACGGTAATTGAGAAAAAAGTGAATCACAAACAGGAAATTTTGAACAGTATAAAAGATAAAAGAAGTTTTATTATTTATTTAAGCATTGATATCATTATTCTATCTGTTTTAAGAATTTTCAGATTTGATACTGAATGGGGGATTGATAGGGGCTGAAAGGTCAATTTTCTTAAAATTTTTTGCAAATATTTATTAATGATGGAAGAATAATGCTTTTTTTAAGTCCTTAAGTGTTAAAAATATTTGCTAGCTAATATTTGCATTGTTATTGGAAAAGTGAGTGCTACATAGGACCGAGAATAGCTCGGATTCGAATCCGGCCGACGTAATACGCCTCATCAAACGATAATATTGCAGAGTAACAAAAGCAAAAAAAATGTTTTGGAGCGTCAATATTGAGATTTTATGCCTGGCAGTAATGCTTCAAAAATCCAGATTGGCGAATTACTTGTATCTGGCAAAATTTATCTAATCCGATAAGCCAGTAGAGCGAGTTTATCCAACATGATGCGTTCTTTAAAAAAAAACGTTGTAAAATTTTGCTTTGACATGTATTAATCGTTGTATTAATTAATCTTTGACATGTAAAGGGCTCAGTGGGTTGTTGCCCAATTGGGAACACTGATGCTGCGGTTCGATTCCCCGCAGGAATAAGCCTGTACAAAAATCCGGGCGACCTACCTATACTTTTATCGACGCGCAAGTAAGCGCATACATTATCCCATTTCTATATGCATTGCCCCGTATATATTATTCATTAAATTCAGTGATTCAGCAACCATATCATATCCAACATACATTGCACCTATAAGCAAATGAGAATAAATTTTAAAACACTCCCTGGCATATTGCCCAATGCGACAAACCAGTGGAGCGAGTTTGACCAGTAATGGTGAGGACTTGTAAAAAAAAAAGTGATTAGTATAAATGTTACTTGTGTACTAGCAAGGCGTTTGTGAACCATTTTCAGAGCCTTCGCAAAATTTTTCTTAGAGTCGCAGCAAACAAGATATTAGGCCATAGCTATAGGATTAATTAAAGAAACAAAAAAATATATATTAAATATAATAAATATTAAAATTTCATGCATATAGTGAATTGGTCAACCAATTAATTCTTTATATTTTATAGATGAAATTTATAGATGAAATTTGCGGAAGCAAATCTGAACCAAAAACTTTTGCGAATTTCCAACGAAAAGGTACTAACAATGAATTCGCATACTTTTTAAAAATCTATTTTTTGTACAATTTCGAAAAAAACCTTATTTTCTTTTCTTTTATTTTAATCATCTTTTTGTATTTTATTCATTTTGATAAAGCGTTTTCTTGCAGAGTTTGTTAGAAGAACTCTATGAATTTCGACAATTTTTATTTGAAAATGAGGTAATTTTAAATTGATTCGAAGGTTTCAAAATTCAAAAATTTTTCAAAAATTTTTTGTATCGTCAATACTTCTCCTAAACAAAAAATTGAATTCTCAGATTCTTGGTCTAAATTACGATATGAAAATTGCACTTAATGAAACTGAACAGTTGAAAAATGTGATTAGCACAATTCGTTCGCAAGCTGTACTCCAAAAGGAAAATAGCGGGCACAGAGAAGCGCAATGTGTTAAGCAAATAGAAAATCTTCAAATCGATGTATACTTCTATTCTAAAAATTTTTATACTAGTTTTCCGCTTCAGATTTTAAACTACAAGAGTAACGTTTCCAATGTGCGTGATCTGATGCTATCGTCGACAGTAATAGAAGCCACTCCTTTTCTCGTCGTCTAAATTTATTGCTGGTCCACTTACACATTGAAAATCTTCCTGGCCGTATTAGTACAAGTCTTGATTGGCTCATCTCGCTTTTGACGCCACCATTCACGAGATTTAGTAAATAACGAAATATATATCAACTCTTGAAGTGGGCGACGAAGAACGTACCTTAGCTAGCGAAGGCGATCTTCTGTGGAGCTACTGTTAATGTACTTGAACGAAGGTGGATGGGATTATGTTCTTCTCTCACCGAATCCGTAAAATGTATCTTAGATCTGAGTGAGTGGTCAAAATTGGAAAACTTATTGATTTTTATTTCTTGTGATTTGTTATATGATTTTTATTTATATATTTATTTTTATTTATTTTTATTTTTATTTTATTTATTTGTCATTTTAAAACTAAGTTGAAATCTCATTGTTTATTGATTTGCATTTTTAAAAATGCAATTACAGCTAAAGCATGAAGAAAATCAGATTCGAGAATTGGTTCAATCACTAGAAGAACAAAATAAAACGGTATTTTTTTTGTTTTAATTTAAAATGAATGGTATTCGATAAACTGAAAGAAACTTGCTCGGCAATTTAAAAAATTAAAATATATCAAGTCAACAAAATAGGAAATAAATAAGCGAGAATTACAAAATAAAAATGAAAAAATATTTAAGAATGAAAGAAAAGAAAATAAACAACGATGGCAAATGATATATATATATATATATATGTATACGATTTTCAATTTCAACGGGGTGGTTTAGTAGGTGAATAAATTGAAATTAAGATAAAAACTAGTGCTTTTTTAAAAATCTTTAGAGCAGACAATAAACTAATTCATTTGTGACTTTTTGATAGTGCATTGTCGAAATCAGATAGGGTAACAAAGGATCAGAGCCATAGATGCTATAATACAAAAGATTATTATAAATCCGGTGCTTATTTAGGGTTAAATTTGTACACAAAAGCATATTTCACTTATCATGGAAGGTCATTTAAAAAGGAACAAAGAAAAAGCTAATTTAATACAATCCGTTAATCTTATACAAACAGTTTAAAATCTATAACAGTAATATTTTATCGATATTTATGAATATTTATGAAAATTTTATGAATTGTAAACGAGAAATCCATGTTTAATTCCATGTTCATTGCAGCACGTTGCACAAATTCAAGAGATGCGCATAAGAATGAATGCCGCCGAAAATGAATTAGAACATTTACGTTTTCGACTTCGAGAAAAGAATCAGGAAGAGACTTGTTTACGGGCCAAACTAGCTTCATTAGAAGAATTGGAAAAAAGACGTGGTAATTTTCAGATGGTCAAATTATTTTGTTCTGAACAATTCTCATTTAAATTCATTGAGTGGTGCTTTTTATTTGTTTCAGTCACAAGTGCGCCAACTAATCACCCCTTATTTGAAGACGAAGGTGGTTGTAATATATTATCATCCACTGTCAGTTCGAAAGAAACTCCGTTAGCTATATCTAGTTCCACATTTTCCACTTCATTGGGTGCATTCAAATGGTAATTTTAACATTTATTTCTGAAAATTGTAACTTTTCGAAGTTTTCGCCTGAAAAAGTAGTTTATTTTATTTTATTTCCTAAAAAATTAGCGGCCATAATTTAGAATTCTTTACCTTAATTTATTTGGAAAACAAGTAAATTTTAATGGAATCGTGATATTTTTACAGGAAGCTATTATTTTCGATAATTAATGTTTTCAGCTCAAAGAATCGAAATCAATCGGTGGATAATGAACTCAAGTTAACTCGTTATGATCGAAAATTTCCTCTACATTTAAAATCGGAACACTCACTAGAAGCTTTGATTCCTGAAGATAAACTTGAGGAAAAAAAAGATCGGAATGTCGAAAATTCCCAAACACAGCAAGTCTCAGAAGCAAATAGAAAAAGTACCTGCCTAAGATACTTAGTAAATTATCAAAAGTCGATTGCTGCAGTTGATTTTTAAATTCATAGAGGACTAGAATTTTATAATATGAATAAATGGAATTTTAAAAAAAAAAGTTAATTTCAATATCAACAAGCTTTAAAAGCTTATGTAAGCTTTTAATAAATTATTTATAGGAAAAGATGTCAAAAAATGCAACTTGCAATGATTGAAGAAGTGGAATAGTTTTAATATTAATATTAATGATATTTAGTTGATATAAAAAACATAATCTTTTACCTTTTATTATCTTTTTTTTGTTGGAATATCAATAACAATCATGCTAACTAAATGGTAGTGATAACGATGGCGATGTTCTGATAATTAAACAAAAAAAAGGCAGCAGTAAGAAAATTAATGATAAGAATAGTAATTTTATTTTTACTGGAAAATGGCATTAGAAATAGTGAAAATGATTTTATTTGCCCGTTTTGGCGAACATTATTTTGATCGTTATTCATTGCTCTCCTTATTTTTTTGTTTCAGTTTTGCTCATGTTTGTGGAAAATAAAACTTTGCTTCTACTTTTCGTTGATGAGCTATATAAATACTGCTTAGCACCTCTTTTATCTTTAAAATCAGATAAAGCATTTTTTTTAACAAACCAAACGAAAGCCAAGCCCCTAAGCATATTTTTTCCAAACGGAAACCAAGCCCTAAGCACATTCTTTACAATAGCCAGAAAATTAATACCCATCTAAAATAGAACCATCGCAGGAATAATGCGAACTAAAGTGGTCAAATTATTTATATTAATACAAAGATGATATTTTTTACCTAATGCAAGATGAATGTTTCATCTTACATTAAACCTGTAATTAAGACCAAATCAAATCAATCAGAAAGAATCAATATCAACCAATAACTCATAATGAAACGGTCATAAAAGCTCACATAAGGAGGAAGATTAAAGGCAAAATTCAGTTTTCCAATCCACAATAACATGAAAATTCATGCTATACAAGACGACGATTTATTGGCTTTTTTATGTTATCACGGAGAAATTTAGGATAAAACTTTACATCACCTTTATCAAATTCGCTGCTAAATTTACTCTACAATATTGTATAAATATTTTAATGCGAATATAAATTTTCTTAAGAAAGAATAAATTTTGAATGAAAATGAAAATCAATTTTAAAAAAAATGGAAAATTTAGAATTTAAAATTATTTATTTATTGCGATTTATAAAGAAATAACAATTTATCGTCATTTTTTATATTTTTTGATTTTAATTAATAAAACAGTCAATTATTGACCTTTTTTGAAAATCAATTAGCGTAGTGTTGCAATGAATGAGCTAAACTATATTTCTACTAGTCGAATTTATTATTTTTCTATATTCAATTTAAATTAAAAGCTTTTTCTATTCAATGACTAAAATTACAGAATCCTTAACCCACTTTTAACCAACCTATAAGTAAATTAGGTCAAAATGACAGCTCAGCTACCGATATAAATCACTAAGCCTTACATCTAAACCTAAACCTAAGCCCAGTGTCCGTGCGAAATGAATTATGCGAATATTTAAGCCAGCGCCGATTTAAGTAAACCGCCACAAATTATTCGCTGTAAGACCTAGAATTTAAATCATATTTTGATGCATCGTGCAGCTCGATTATTCTTGTACTTACGTATTTGCGCATTTTTTTTTTCGTGGGTTATTTTTTATTTTCGCGTTTTTTGTCATTCATAATTTAGCAATTGAACGATGGCGTGGTTGAATTATTTTCGCGGTTTTGTCGTTCGCCAAACCCATTCATGTATTTTTCGGCGAACGTAAAAAATGAATGTTTTAAATGAATGTGATTTTTTTGAATCATTTTAGAAAAATTGGTTTATATTTTAATAAGAGGTTTGCGATTCTTTAGGATTGCATTTTGGGACGCTTTATAAATTTTAGGTTTCTTTTATTGTTCCTTAAAAAAAAAGTCGAGAAAGCGTTTGTAAATTTTTTTGAGATTATTTTAGTTTAATTTGATTTTTGGAGAAAATGATGTATTTTTTGGAATTTATTTTTTAAATTTTTAAAAATTTTAATCAATTACGATTTTCGGAATAAATTTAAAAACGATTCTATTCACTTTGAAAATTCATAAAATTATTGTTCAATTTTTTAAATTTTTCAATTTTTCAAAATTCGTAAAAATTTTCTTTGAATTAATTTATTGATTTTCTCAAAAAATTTCTACCGTTTTCTTTTTTGAGGTAATGAAGCGTCCAAACATTCTTTGTTCTGAATTATCATCAGATTTATCGCTTAAAGCATTAAATGACTCACCAGTAAATGACTCACCAGTTGGTTGTGTTTTAAGGTATATATAGGTTTTATTATGAGTCTTTTTATTAAAGATTTTCTAGAAATTTTATTGAAATATTTTCATTTTATCGAATTGATTTATTTATAAAAGACATTAACTACAAAAATTTTTTACCGTTCAGAATTTTTCATATTCAATTTGTTATCAATAAATAATATCAGTAACTATTAATAGAGATATAGCTACAAAACAGACTAATCAGTGTCAGAAAATTCGTGATCAAAGTCTCGATGTGACAGTTCTTCTACCCGACCGTAGAGGTTTTTATTCTTTTTCTTCTATTAACTATTTTTCATTGCTTTAATTTATTAGAAAATTTCTCTATAGGAGGTAAATTCTTGTTAGAAATGAAATTTAGTCGACTGCTGGAGATCCACTAGTCACCTATTTTATAAGTGAATTTGGGTCGATAATATAGCAAGTAATTATTGCTCGAAAATGGTGCGTTCTGTTAAAAGTAGAGGAGAAGTAATAAAATTTGAATTCACTTTCGAACTGAAGTTCGTTTATATTTTCATTTTTTATCTATTCGACTTTAGAATAGCTATTTTATAAGCGAAGTGATTTTTCACATTTCAAAGTAACAAATTCTTTTCTTATAAATTGGGTTATTCATGAATTTTGTTTATTTTAGGCTTCAAATTCCCATCTCTCGTTGGAAAAAACATATATGCAGCAGATCTTTTGCTTCGTATGGCTGATCATTTGAAGGTTGATAGAAAGCTTATGAAGGAATGCTGTTCTCTTTGGATGGTTTCACCGTTTTTAGGTCAGAACTTATTTTTGCAAACATTTCTTTGTTTTATAATAATTGCGTATGCTTTTCGAATATTTACAGAAGTGCAGTTGAAACCGCATCATGTGCCTTTCGAAATTCGTGAACATTGGAGTGATTTGTTGAATCGTTTTGCTGATGTCGATCAAAAAGAAAAGAATTGTGATGAACCATTTCTTTACTTGAAGAGGAATGTCTATTTATCTGTTCAACGTGAAATTGAGGTGTTTTTTTCAAACATTTATCTCCATGTCAGGATTGCCGAATGGTTATCCTGTTCTGCAGATTACTTCTGGATCACTGTGGTTTACATCCTGTTTCCGGTAGGAGTGAGCCTAAAAGAGTGCAATTATCTTTAAAAAATTCAGTTTAAAGGTCTCATTTCATTTTCCTTCTTTTGCCAGATGGCTTCCAAGCATTTCTTATTGTACCAACCAACATTCAATGAAACAAATTTAGCCTGAAATGGTGAGCATTAATCATTTACTTACTTTCACTGCATTCCCTCAACTAGGGAATGCGTAGCACTCCATATTTCACTCCATATTCCGTTTTAACTTTTTTTTTAATTTTTATTTTGTTTTCACCCAAAAGTTAACTTTAAATTGTTTTAATTTATTCTTTTATTTGATTTTTGAAGATTTCGATTTCATTACATTCAGACTCATAAAGTATAAAATATGGTCTTTGTAAATAACTTCTGAATATTTTTCGTTTTCAATAAGACCATTGGCACAGTAACACTATTATAATGTAATGTAATGTTATTTGTAATGTTGTAATGTTATAATGTAATGTTATTTGTTTTAAACATGACTATAAAAGGTATACGCGATTAAGTTTCAGATTGAAGATCAATCAGAATATTTAACCGAAATTCTCTATTTATGTGCGAAACAAGAAGTTTTGGAAGGTCGTTATCCTTGTGATATTGAAACAAGTATTCGGTTGGCGGCATTGCAGTTGAGCATTGATTTGGGCTCATTCGATCAATGTAAATATACTGCTTGTGCAGTCAGGTAATGGGTTGCGAAATGCAAGAAAACAAGTGCAAATAGGAAATAAAAAAAATAAAAATTTTTAAAGAACATTTTAAAGAATTTATGTTTATTTAATTTAGGCAACCTCAACCAAATTTTGATTGATAAACAAATCTTAAAAATAATAATGAGAAGATGGATATAAGGAATTTCAGATGTATATAATCTTTTTCATTTAAACCAAGTTTTCCATTTTTAATAAATTGAATTTCAGTGACATTGTTGATAAATTTATTCCTGTACAGCATGTCCAAAATGTGAAAAGTATGTATCTGTTTGGTTTTCCGATTTTTGGTTGTAAAGGCCTCGAAAGCGATATTATTGATGAACTTAAAATTATTTCATCAAAATATGGAAACAATCATTCGAAAAGAAAAGCATATTTGGAAATTGTTCGATGTTTCCCTTTCTATGGGTATGATAAATATTGACGGTCGCATATAGGAATAATTTTTTACATTAACTCATCAGTTATATGTTCATAAAATTGAGAAGTTTATTTTGGGTTCATTGCAGCAACAGAATTTTTTCTATTTTACAACTCAGTTTCAGAATGCAATCGAACTTACTTTCTAATTTATTTTTATTCTTTATTGAAATCAAAATTCATCTAAATTTAATAATCAAATATTTTGGGCTTATAATATCTATCTCGACTTCCAAAAATTTTTGATGTTAATAATTAATATTTTAATAAAAACTTTATTAATGTACGATGTTTATTATTATTACGATATTAATAATAATAATTTTTATAATGATTGGGGCTCCATTTTGCTTGGTTTAAAGCTCTAATTCATTTAGTTCTGCTTTCTTCCATGGCTATGTTGAAAGACCTCCGGCTAGATCATTGAAAGATATTAAACGCATGATTTTGGCCATGGCGATTCCAGAAATTGAGGTTCCATTAATTTTTTTTTCTCGATCTCTCTTCAGACTTTTGATAATGGAGGATCAATGCTCAATTTCTATATTAATTGTTCAAATTGTTGTAAATTATCGATATTGTTATTACAGGTTTACATAGGAATAAATTATGACTATATAACCATAATTGACTCATCCAGTCATGAAATTCTACTTATTCAGTCGCTTTCGGGCTGCACATGGCACTATATCGATGGGTTTATTTTACATAAAACAGTAGTTTAAACATTTTTATTAAAAAATTATAGGATTAGCAGCATTTTTTGCGTTGTATTTCTATATTCTATTTTTAAGAAAGAGAATCGAAATTTTGAAAAATAAATCGCAATTTTACAAAATATGGCACTAATATATTATATATGGTAACAAAATTATTACAGTGTTAAAATTGGAAATAGCAATTGTGTAAATAGCGACAAATCGCCTAATCCTGTTTCATCTTTCTTCCTTTATTTTGCTGACGAATCGGAAATATTGGATCGTTTATCAAACCCTAAAGAAGAAAAAATTCAGATTCCTAAAAGAAATCAATTACTTCAGGTGAATTTTTTACCAGCACAACATTACGTGTTAATATAATTGCTCTTAGCGCCTATTTGAATAAATATTTTATAAATATTTGAATAAATATTTGAATAAATATTTGTCATATTTTACTTTAATTTTTTTGCCGTTGAAGCATAGATATTTTGTTTAATTCTCGGTTGCTCTCATTTCGGAGTGTTGATGCTGGGGCTCTACTTCTGTTAGGAGTAAATATCTCAAAAAATCAGGGTGATGTAGGCTACTCGCTTGTTCTTCGTTAAGTAAGTAATTTCTTGGCAAGATTTCAAATAGATCCACCGAAGCGAACTCAGAAATGATGAGCGCTTTTAGACAAAAATTGCGAAAGATAGAATCATGAATGGAAACTCCAGTTCTTTAAGGGCGTCATTTTCTTTTGATCTAGTTTTAAGCTTTTAGCTTTTGCTTCCAATGTTCAGTTTCATATTATCATATTTAACAAATTTCCACAGGCCATTTGTTGCAGATCTTTAGTCACCAAGCAATTATGATGGAAGCTTTGATGAATATTTTGTATAATATAGTTTTGTCCAAAAATGAAGAAATTAAATTCATTGATGATGATGAAAAAGAATGTAATAATACCCATTATTATGAGAAATTGAAAGAAAATAAAGGCGAATCTCTTTTTGATGAGGTTAGATTTGTAATTTTCGATTTTCAGAAGACATATTTCAAAGAATGGTTTACAAAATATTAGTTTAATTAGGGTTTCACGATTTTAATTTTTTTCGTGTTTATATTCATGGATTTTAGATTTCATGGTACCATTTGATATTTTTAGCTGACTTTTTTTAATCGAAAATCTATCAAAATCCCGGCCGTATCAATTGACTGCGACGCAGTACCTACGTCGTTTTGCAATTTGGAATTCAAGTGCAAAGCCCAAGCAAACGGGCAGTATTCGCGTAATTCTTGTGTTCGACAATTAGATAAATTGTGTTTGGCTACGTTTGATGGCACGGAACGATGCATAAAAGCCGAAGGATCGCTTCGATATGTTTTTTCAGAAGTTTAATAGTCTTTTTCATGAATTTGAACATATCTTATCACCCATATTGATTCTCTAGTGTTTGTTGTTAGATTTATTATTAATAATTATCAATACTGAACAGTGAAATATTGCTTTGGTTAATTTTACTTAATCAATGTTAAAATCAGGGAATCTATTGCAACATAAAATGGATATTATAAAGTCTTATTTTTTATTTGATTATTTATTCATTTATTTGAAAAATTGTCATGCAAAGCAGAAGAGCTTTATATTAATAAATAATAAAAATAGTAGTTTATATAGAAAATATTGTCAGAAAAAAGAAAAAGAAATTAATAACAGGAATGATAAAAGTTCAAGTCAATATAGTGTTTTATCTTATAAAAGGTTTCTTCTCACCTATTGACACCAGTCTATACCCATGTTAAATATGACATGATTACTGAGTAAAATAGGAAATAAATTTAAAAATCAGCCAGAATATTTCAAGAGAATTTTTTGATTGCGAAACTAGAAGTTTTGGAAGGTTCCTCATGATATTGGAATATCATGTTGGAAACAAATATACTTGAATTGATAAAGTGATAAAGATAACCATTCGATCAGTGTAAATATGGTAAACATTTTAATCATCAGGTGATTAATATTTTGATTTTAATGGAAGAAAGCAAGAGCATAGTTTTTCTTTTAGGAGTTTAAATTTATTTAATTGAGGTAAAATCAACTTTTGAAATACACTGAGTTTTGAAAGTTTTTAGTTATTTTTAAAAATTATTCGGACTTTTGCGTACGTAAATAAATATATTAAAAATAAAAATATGAAAAAAAAGAATTAGAATTTCATTGTTATTATTGGAAAATTTACTTTCGCACAGCATATTTTGTAAAAAAATTTTTACCCTATTTGGATTTTTGGTTGTCAAAAGTTTTCAAAGCAATATTATTGATGAAATTTACAAATATTAACTAATTTATATTTGAGTTATTTTATTTCATTCATTAATGTGTATTTAGCTTACAATACATCTGATAATTCAATTCAATTCAAAACAGTCAAAATAATAATTAATAGTTTTGCTCACTTTTTATTTGTTTATTTTAGTTATCATCACCTTAATTGCTTAATTTCAAGCTGATAACAATATCAAACTGATAACGATATCAAATTGATAGCGATATCAAATTGAATAACAAGTATTTATCGTAAAACAATACACAAATGAAAGAACATCGATTCGATTCGTCGTTTAGCAGTTGGAATAAACCTATAATTGGAACTGAAATAAACCGTTGATTTCAAGCGGCGCATCTTTAACGCTAAGCGATTTACTCGAAGTGAAATGAGAGTTTTAGCGGCGATGAAATGAAATGAGCCAAATCAATCAAGAAATAATAAAACAAAATGTCGATATTTGCTTTATATTTAATAAATAATTCTTTAAAATCGAATTATTTTATTGAAACAAAATTTTGCGAATATTCTCCTCGATTTATTATTATTGTTTTAGTGCAAAAGCACATTGCCGTTATTATCAGTTCAACTAACAACATTCACTAAAGCATTACACATTGCTGCGAAACAATTGAATTGCTTCTTTCTCGATCTCATAATTTTAGTGTTTCTTGAGAAAATAACTTACGAAATTCTTTCGGGAAATTTTTTCTTTAAATTAAATTATTCAATTTATTTATTAATTATTAATGAATATTATTTCCATTATATTTAATTAAAATTTAGAATTATTTCTTATCACTTATCATTTCTTATCAGTTAATGAATGTAAACGGTAAACGGTTCAAGATTATAAGATTATAAAATTATTCAACATTACAACCTAATTTTTCTTTCTTATACGTTTCTTTTTTATTTTATATTTATTTATTCAATGATTTTTTTTTTTTTCATAAACGATGATTTATTTTATATAAAAGTATTTAATTTATTTGTGTATTTTTTCATCGTTTGTTTATTAGGTTAGTTCCATTGATTTATTTGAATAAGAAAAATTTTGCGATGAAAAACGGAAAATATTAAGTAATTTGAACTAGAAATAAGTTGGTCAGGCGATTTCTTAAGATTTTTCAAGAAGAAATATTTATTTCTGCCATTAATACAGTTCTAATATCGATAATCCGAAATAAGAGCGACAACTCACTGAACCATTCCAATTCGCTATTTGTACAGAAATAATATTTGTATAAAATTTTCATTATTTACGAAAAAATTGAAAATTAATGAATGAAATTTTCAATTTCTTAAAATCAGTTTGTTTGCATTGTAGCTTAAAGTTTATTATAACAATTTTCGGTTAAGTTGCTTTTTTTTAGCGATCTTATTTTACTATATTGACGATTTTTAAAATATTCTATAATAAAAATTAAGGCCAATTCGTTCACTGATATCTTTGATGAGCCTTAAAATGGCCAATAGCCTCGGTATTATTTCGATAGACAAACATTTTACGGCTTCAATTCTTACCTTTTGATTTATCTCAAATAAACCTATTTATTAAGTTTTTCCCAATTATCAACTTTTTTTCTCAGCAAATTAGATTAGATTTATGCAGATGATTAAACAAGCCAATGCTACAAATCTTATCATTTTGATAATTTAAATAATCTAATAAAATTTTTAACTTAAATGAACAAAAAGTTCTGGTAGATATTCTCATTCATTTGATAATAATTATATTTTATAAATAATCATAATGGTTATATGGGAATAGGATGGTTCAGTGGGTTGTTGCTCAATTGGGAGCGCCGATGCTGAGGTTCGATTCCCAGCAGGAGCAAACCTGCACAAAAGTCCGGATGATGCTGGCCACTCACACGTGTATTTCTATCGCCAAGGGATTCCCTGGCACATTGCTCAGTGTGAAAAGCCAATGGAGCGAGTTTAAAAAAAAAAGATAATAATTATAAAAATAGCCAGCAACTATATAGGTGAAATGAAATGTGTAATCAAATGTTGCAGTCCAATACCTCCGAAATTAGCTAAAACCACTGCTTTAGGTTTATTTTTAATTTTTTTTAATCTTATTTTCACCTAATTTTGTAAACTTTCGCGTGATTTATGTGATAAATTTACATGATAATTTCGCAGGTAAATTTAAATTTATTTCTTTTCTTCTTCTTTCTTCTTTTTATGTTTCCTCATTCATTTTATTTTATATAGTATATTTATTAAAAATCAGCTAAGCAGGGCGATAAACGCCATGTGCTTGTATTAATAACAACAGTTAAAATAACTGATAATTGATAATTAATGATAAAAAAAAAGAAACATCATTTGATTTTTAATAAAACTAAGAATATTTTCTTTTTGAAGATGGATCACTTTCATTTCATTGGTGGAAAATTGTAAAAATAAAAAGATGAAGTTTAACTGTAAATCTAAATTGTAATGTTTGATTTAATCCGGTTTTGCCGATCTTCTTTAAGCAAATTTTTATATTTTTCAATTTTGCAATTTTTTCTTCAATTTGCCTTTTTTTTTCAAAATCAACTATAATTTGACTTATAGCAGAGAAAATTATAAGAAAATTATAAGGCGAACTTTTTATAAGTTTAATTAATAATTTTGCAGTGTTCGATAAAAGTTCGTTGAGACTTATTTCTTTTCGTTTGATTTAATTTTTATTTTTGAAATTTTAAATATTTTTTTTATTTAATTAATTGCTAAAAATGTATCTAATTTATTGCTGAATGATTCCTTTTCGAAATTGTTACACAGAATTTCAATAATTCAAAATAAGCTTTTGTAACATTTTTTTTTATTTTTTATATTTTTGCATTTCTCGATTATATTTTATAAATTACTTCGAATGATAATGATGAAGGCATAAAGTTTAACCCTTTCCTATCAGTTGAAAGCTCTCATAGAACGTAAACGTTTCCAAGCGTAAACGTAAACGTTTAAATTCTCATTAAAAGTTGAAATTCTAAATGTTTGCTAGGAATTCATTTTTTTTTTTGAAAAATTACTTATGCAAATAAAAAGATTTTTTTTCTAATTGCTTTTAGAAATCTTTTTTTTCTTCGTAGTTAATTTTTATTTTAATTCACTGTGAAAAATGAAAACATAGAGTTCGGCTGGTACTAATCCTATCAGCGGAAATTTTATGATGGAAAGGTTTTTTGCAAAAATTATTTTTTAGGCGACGAATGGTAATCATTAAGCTGTGATAAAAAGAGAAAGAATATAGCGTTAAAAAATGCCATTTAAACGACCTCTTGGCGAACGAACAGCTGATAACCAGAATCTGCCAAATTTTATACGAGTCGCTAGTTTTTTATTTATCTATTTAATTAATTGATGTATAACTGTTGTTCTTCACCAGCAAAATCTGATTTTTCATGTCGATAAATATAGATTGATAATTTTTCAAGTGTTTAACATATAATTTCGAAAATTCACTGAGAATTTCAAAACAATTATTGAGAAACGAAAATATCCATTTCCATATTTCCATTTCGTTTTTTTTTCGTTTTCCACTTTTTTATATTTTAAATATATAAATATAAATATTTTATTCTGCAGCCATTACAAGACAAGCGCGTTGTTGTCGGTCAGACGGTCATACTTGAATGCCAAGTAGAAGGGCATCCAGATCCAATCATTAAATGGTTGAAAGACGGTCAAAATGTAACACAGTGCCCAGACTATGAAGTAAAATTTTACTCACCAATTACAAGATTGTCTTGTTATTATTTTGTGATTTTGAATGATTAACTAAAAATTGGAAAGAGTTAACACTAAGATTGAGGCAAAAACTCGAGCTGCGCATTCTATGCTATTGATATTGATACCAGTGTTGATAGTTAATATAGTACACTTTAACTGTTGAACTTCCGTTGAATGAATTTCGAAGTACTGCAAATTTTAGCCAATTTATAAATTTATACTAATGAAGCAGTTCTTTAGTACAACGCGAAACGCTTCCATTATGCCAAAATAATATTGGTTTCATTCATTCCGATCGTGGGAATTTTTTTAAATAATTCATTCATTGAAGTAGTTTAATTTTAAAAAATCTTTTAGAAATAAAATAATAAATATTTAATATTGCAAATTTTGATTTGAAAATCGAAAAAATCTCAAATATTTGCAGATAACTGTTGATGGTGTAAAACATCGACTTATAATAAAAAATGTACAGGCGCCGGATAGTGGAAGATTTACAGCTCAAGCGATGAATGCTGTTGGAACGAAGCAGTCAACATGCACGTTAATAGTGGCTCCAGCACCAACGCCTATTCCTGGCGTGAAAAGTGTTGCGTATGTTTCCTTTTTCGTTTTCCCACCACAATATCATTTTTGCAAACAAGAATATTATCATATATTTCCTCTTCTGCTATTATAAAAGTAGTTTACCCCAAATTGATCCTTCAAGCATAGTTCAAGCAAATTTATAGAATAACGAAGTTTCGTACAAGAAAACTATCATTATTCTACTGAAAGAATACTTTTATCGTATACTTTTATGCAGACCAATTTGCATAATTTTTCACTATAGAATTTTTTTTTTTTATTTCTGAAAATATATAACGATCATGCAAAACTGAATGCTATATGCCTTTTCAAGAGTACTATTCATGCAAAATCTTTCACCATACATAAATCCTATTAGAAATTTCATCGATATTTTCTCAAATTCGTTCACAAAGTTAGCAAAGTTTGTAAAATGAAAAAAAAAGAAGATGAATAAACCTAAATGTGGGCCAACTAAAACGCAGAAAGATAGCAGCGATACGATATAAATTTAATAATAATTTATAAAAAAAAGTTATTTTCGGATCTAAAACTACCAACGAAATAATAATTAAATAAATCTATGAAGAGTTAAGAATAATCGGATTAGCTATATCACTTTTCGCGTTAACTATATTATTACTTTTTAAATGAATAAAACTATTGGTATTCGATTATTTCAAGTGGGTACTTACTTGTATTTGCTATAAATATCGTTGAATCATAGTTTACTTTTAACTTTAAACTTTAGATAACAATAATGATTGCACTCATCGTCCATACTCTTAGCAGCAATTCGTAATTCGCAATTTCAATCTACAATTTATATTTATAAATTTATCATTTTACGATAAATTACAAAAAATTACTTTATTATTTGAAAAGTAATAATTATGCAAATCGTAAATAATACCTTATAGAAATCTTATGGAGTTCAATGAAATATGTCTTCGGACAATTGTCGCAAATTATGTATTTATCTCCTATTCATAATTTTCTATGCATTTCTTCAATAGCATCAAAATCTTTAAATAAAATAGATAGTAATAAAAAATTGAATATTTATAAAATTTTAATTGAATTTTAGTAGCTCACCTGGTCCACCACAAACACCTGTCGGACCATCATTACCAATATTTCTCAAACAATTAAATCACCAACCGTTGAAACCAGGAGCGCAAGTTGTACTCGAAGCTCGAGTTGTTGGTAATCCAACTCCACAAGTTGAATGGCTTAAAAACAAATCTCCATTAAAAAATTATCGGTAGGTTACGGAAACGAGATTGCTGGAAATTATTTTTATCCTTTCTGATTTAACGCACTCTATTGGCCACTGAATTAGTGGTGCAATTTAAGATGGATATGAATCCCAAACCCTTATCCGAATAAAAATAAAATTCATTTTGTTGCTTATTTTCAATCGAGAATAAACTAAAGGTAGACGCATTGTGGACACTCATTATAAATTCTAATGGTATTAGAGAAACTTCAAAAGAACTGCAAATGCTTGTGTGCACTCAAAAAAATTCATAATATGCCTCTGGCAATCAACAATGAAACGCAAAATTTAATTTGTTCAGCAGTTTATTTTTTTAAAATATGAATTTATTATGCTCATAAAAATTTTTATACGATAATTCATCGTTCTTCTTCTTATTTTTTAAGTATTTAAAAATTAAAAATTATTTAGAAAAATAAAATTATTATTAAAAATAAAATTATTAATAAAATTAATATAATTATAATAGTATTTAAAAATTATTATCAGTGATAATGATATATAACTAAGTGATTCGTTCGAAAAAATAATTTTAAGCTGAATGAATCCAAGAAAATAAAGGCAATTTTTTTTTTCACTTAGAGCGAGGACAGAATACGATCCCCATTCGGGTATTTGTGCACTAATTATTCCACAAATGTTCGCTGATGATATCGGTGAATATACTTGCCGAGCGATAAATTCTAATGGTATTGGCGAAACCTCAGCGCATGTAAAACGTTTTTTTATTTTTATTTTTGTCTGTAATTTTAATCATTTCATAACGAAAATAGTAAGGAAAATAAATGAATTAATCTGATTGAATAAAATTGCGAATTATCTTTTTTTTTTAGTTTTATTATTAAAATAGATATTCTTTTTTTTTAACGATTAATACAATACAATTAATAAGTGAATAACAAATCATCTGTTTGGTAAATTTGTAAAATTCAAAGTCGAATTATCAGTTTATCAGTTTATCATGAAAAAATTTTTTAGTTACTACCTCGAGACGAATATGAAAAGTGGTTACATGAAGAGCAATCTTTAATAACAAAAGAAAGGAAAAAAAATATGTTGGCGCAACAAGGTCGACTGACAATTTTCGTCCAAAAATTTTCATATTTTAATCTTAATCTATCTTTTAATTATGAATTCCGACTTTAATTTCAATTTTAAACTGATTCAGAAATACAAATTTTATAAAAAATCTTGTTTTTTGATATATATTATTTTTATTAATTTTAGGTCGTTTAAATTCAAATTCGCAAAAGCAGCATAGTTTTGGACGTTCTGTACCTACAACACAAAGGCAGTTACAACGAAGGACACCCAATGGTAGCTCCGATCCTGACAGTTCAGCCGATCTTGTAATTTATATTGTGTATATTATTAAAAAATATTAAGCCGTTCCTAAAAAAAAGGCATAGTAAATAAAAATAAAAATTTGCAACTTTGTAACAACTTATATTTTATTTTCGGATAATCCATTCTTTAACCAGGAATTTTCCTCTTAGAATTCTAATTTTTTTAAATTTAAATGAAAAGTTTTTCTACTGATAGAAAGTTTTAGCCGTGGGGAATCAGTGAAAGTGAAACTGAACCTGAACTAGCAGCGATTGATTTGCATAAAATTTGTACACCTCCTGTAATTCAAAGCCCATTACGAGGCTTACGTTTGACAGAAGGCACAGATGCTATTCTTCAGTGCACTGTAATTGGATATCCTAAACCACGTGTAAAATTGCCTTTTTAATTTATTAAAAGTATTTTCCAAGTTAAAATAACGAAGTTTCATATTTTATAGATGTTAGAATATATTTAAAAGAATATATATATTTATATTATATTGAAAATATTAAAGTTTTTAGTTTTTTTTTAAATAAGTAATTAATTTTATAAATTTTTTAGTGCTAATTATACTCGAAAATTATCTCAACAATATTCTATTAATTCCTTTTTTTTATTGATAAAAGAAGTTTGACTGATTATAGATAACGTGGCTAAAAAATAGGATTTTATTAAATCCAAATATTTCACAACGTATTTCGATGATGTTTAAAGGTTCAACAGCATTATTAAAAATCGCTATGGTTTCCGTGGAAGATAGCGGTGAATATATGTTAATTGCAGAGAATAATTTCGGTCAAGTAAGTTTCATCAAAAATAATTTTAAAAAGAATTATTTCATCTACTTTTTTTTTTCATTTTTCATATTTTAATCATAATCTTATCTTTTATTCAGCTAATTTACTCTCTTGAAATTCATTTTTTTTTAATCTTAAAATTTTCTTCATTTTTAATCGATGCAATAAGTATGTATATTTTTAAATAAGATAAAATTATTTAAATGCTTAATGTTTGTAGAGTTTATCGTATCGAATTAACTTATTTTTCTTAGTAATATTTGTCGTTTCTACTGTTTACCAAGTTTTTTTTTATTTTTTTTACATAAAAAGGAATTTATCGAGAGGAAATGAGGAATTAAATGTTGAAAAAGCTCTTAGGAAAAGCACTAAAATTAAGTACAACAAGCAACAAAGTGTTAAAAAGGAGAAAAAAAAGACAATTTTTAAATTATCTTTTATCTTATTAATCTTAAATTTTTTAAGAAAAAATTGAATAATAAAAATAGGATTGTTGATTGATTTCATTGAAAACATTGGCAATATGGTGTCGATTCACCGTAATATATTAAGGGTTTTATTTTTTTCCCCTGGGCATACTTTAATAAAATTGGAGCATAATCAATCCTAAGGTTCCATCTTTCTATATCCAAATGGTGAAAAAGATAGCGAAAAAGCTTTCATCTATCCAAGCTAAGTGGAATTAAACGAAAAAAATAATATTCAAAAAAAATTATTGAAATTCATCTTTCATTGATAATTTGCGTTAAAAGAAAAAAATTGTGATATTTGTCGAAATTTGACATTTAGCTTCATTTTCTTATTGAACAGATATTAATAATTATAATTATATAAACGAATAATTTTTATGCCAATCGATTCGATAGAAATTTTTGTGCCATTTGAAAAGGCTGAAAAAAATTGTGCGTCGAAGTTCTTCGGGCTATTCAATAATCATGCAAATATTATTCGGGTTATTTAGACCAATGCAAAAATTTCTTGTAAAATCGGTCTGATTTCTATTGGCCCTTTTTCTTTTTTACTAAAATCTTCAAGTATTCGTTCGTCGTTCACTTGGAAAACTACAAAAATTAAGATGAATTTCACATAATTCCTTTATTTTCAGATTTATCATAAATTCCTTTCTTATCAATTGATATTTTTTTTGGCATTAATAGGAAATTCTTTAATTATACATATTTTTTTGATTTATAGTTTATTGGAAATTTTTTTTAGTTTTCAGCGATTTTAGCTTACTAAATGTAATAAGAAATATTGGGAAATTGATTTTCAAACTATTCGGCTACATTTTTTGATAAAAAAAGTTTTAAGGTTTCTTTTTCTATAGAAATAGTGAAAAATGATTTTATTAGAGAATAGACACTGCAAGAGAATCGCTAATTAAACGCCTTACTCTAGTAACCATTGGAGATTACCAAAATTTCGACGAAGAGCGTAGAGCTCTTCTTTTTCGTTTTGATTTACACTGCCAGTGAAGGAGTCTATAAAGGTATGTAATGGTATATAATATATAAGGTGCAAAGGTATATAATCTATAATCCCTTCAAGCGCTGTAAGCACATGATGCTTGATTATAGTGGAAAAAATACACCACACCTGTTGACTACAGTTTCACTTAGACTTGTTCAGTTTGTTCTTCTTTAACTCAGGTTTCTGCCATTCCATTTAATAATTTTGACTCTTTTTTTTCTAAGAATCCTCGCCATTGTTGGATTTGGTTCGCTCCGTTGGCTTATCACACTAGAAACTAGTGTGGAGTCCGTTGGCGATAGAAATACAAATGAGTGGCCAGCATCAATTGTTGATTGTTCTTATATGCCACATCCTTTTATCAAACTACTACTAAATATACGAATGGTATTGGCATCTAACAACGTATAGTATGCGGTTTATCGAACTGTAATTGTGGTCTACAAGCCTATTTATGATTCTGGCCTTTAGTCAACTTCATTTATAATGACATTTCTAATTTGACTTAGTTGAAAAATGAGATTTGGATAGCTTCAGCTCGGTATATTGTAATAACATATATTAATGCCAAAAAAAATTTTTTTTTCTAGCAGAAAGCCAGGATTGTATGATTTATTAGTAAATTTTTATAATAAAAGCGATTCGCTGTACAGTTTGGTGAACGTAAATCAAAATGGGAAAAATAAACTGATCCATTGTTGGATGATAGTTGCAAGGCTTTGGACAACTACCGCTAAGAACCACACTGATTTATTTATTATTATAAACGTTGAATCAGAATACTTTTAACTTTTAACTGCCAACTCTAAGCGCTGATGTGATATGAAAATCATTCATCTTATTCAGGCCGTTGGCCTAGAATACCATTTTCATACCATTCGCTAATTCATTACTACAATTTATTGTTGCAATTGTCGTTGCAATAAATTATAGTTTAAATTAAGCCTTGCATTCGCTTATCTTTAATCATTTCTCGGCTAATTTTGTTTTTTTTTCTAAGAGCGTTCACCGTTCTTTCTGCTTAGCTCGTTTAGCTTTACTGATTAAATCAAGCAAATTTTACTGGGGAAATCATTTGACGATAGAGATAAGATGCATATACCAGCCCTATTCAGAATCTTCTTGGTTGATTACCTTTCAAAGAAATTTAATAAAATGAAATTAAGGATACTGCTAGTGTTTTTTGTTGTGAATTGCTTGACAAAAAATTCTGGTTGGGTTCTTTTGCCAAATAAATTCATCGAATAATTCGTCTGCTGATATGTTTAGAGCAAAAGAAAAAATCATTGGTGAATTTCTTTATAAATATTTGCAATTTTTTTTAATAAGGCAAGCGCGATGATATTTTATTCTCGGAAGTTACACAATAAGATTTTTCGAGGCAAAGTTATAAATGGAGTTGTAAACGAAGAATTCCCTTATAAATTTGAAGCTTAATCTTAATATTATTATTAGTATTAAGAATATTATTATTAAGAAGCTATCAACCTTTGACCATTTATGTCTAAGATGCATTTTATGGATCCGTCGTGCTGATAAAATCGCACATGATTGTATATATATTTGCTCAAATACCACCTATATTAATAATGTTATCACAGAACGTAGCTTTCGCTGGTTAGAGCACGTTCTCCGTCGTCCATCACAAGAGTTGACGCATATTTCGTTACTTGCTAAACTCTGTGATGGCGTCAAAAGCGAGGAACAATCAAGACCTGGACTGATACAGTCAAAAAAGATTTTGAATAGGGCCAACGATATTTTAGACGATGGAAAAAGGAAAAAGGAATGGCTTCTATTACTATTGGTATAGAAGAAAGAAATAATACCAATGATTACAGCTCTGTGACATCAAAATGACATCAAATCAAGTATAGAAGACCTGGACTAATACAATTAGGAAAAATTTCCAACTTATAGAAGGACCAGCGATATATGGACTTAGACGATGGAAGAATGAATGGTTTCTATTACTGTTAGCGATGGCGTCGGACCGAATAACATGGAAACGCCTTAGCCTTGCAGCCAGCGGAACTAACCTAACTAATAACCAGTGAGAGTTATTAGAAGAAGAAGAATATTATATAATGAAAGATGAAAATCTCCATGAAAGCCGGAATTGCTTTTTATTAATTAGAAAAAAATGGAAAATTTAAGATAAATATTCATCCTTTCATCAGCGAAAGCAGATAAAGCACTGATAAAAACTGAAGTGTTAATTTCGAGAGTATCAGGTTTAATTAATTATCGCTCAAAGCTATAGATTCTATTCCTTTCAACTCTTAAAATAAGTTATTTTTTTTCCTATTATACTATAACTTTAAGCTTTGCTTATTAGAGACTAAATTTATGCAGTCATAAAGAATCGTTCAGTAGTGATTTTATCAAAAGTTTTCCATAAATCGATTATAATAACAGATACAATAAAATACTACGTTTTAAGTAATCTTTTGTGATTCATTAAACGATCAAATTTCCGATTAGTTTAGTTTTCAAAAAATTTAATGACTTATTATCAAGCAAAATTTTATCAGTGATATCAATGATATTCAATGATAATGATCCAATTACCAAATAATTCATCCGCATTTATATCTGTAAATATTTCAAGTTTTATTCATTTTCATATATATATTGAAATAAGCATGAATATGATTATTTAATATTTATAATTTCTGGAAAGGGTGGTTCAGTGGGTTGTAGTCATTTGGAAGCGTCAATGTTCTATTTTCGATAGGCGTAAGGATCCTATGTTATGCTGACGAATCATTTGTAAATATCGCTAAGTGGTTTTCTAGTAAAAATTTGTCTAGTCGAAGAAGTCAAAACAGCATAAAGTGAGATCTTTGAGATTTTAGGATAACTGATAAAACTATGATATGATAAGTTCAGTGTTATTATGAAAAGTATTCAGTCTTTATTCGAGAAAAATAAGAAAAAATAAAAACTGCAAATTTTAAAAATTTTCTGGAAAAATATTTATTCATATGCAAATAATACTTATTGAAATGATTCAGAGATAAGAGATAAAAATGTTTTTTTGCATTATCAAGGAGTCTTGGATTATTCATTCATTGATAGAAATATTTCATCGCTTTCTTAACGCCAACAAATTATAATATTATTTTCTCAATTTTTTTGCAGTTAAAATAGAAGTGAAAGGGTGAAACATTGGTTTCAATTGCAATTAGAGGATAAGTTGATTGAGTGGGCGAACTGGGAGGGAACGCCTTTCATTATTGAAATCGGAACGACCGAATGTTGTTTGAGCTACGTTTGCAGTTCGAGCAGCAGCTAAGTTAAATTTCTTATCCTCAAAGCATTGTTATTTAAGTTTTATACTTGATGGCTTTTATATATATTTGTTTTTTTTTCTAGAAACACACTACTTCTTGATTTTAGTTCACTTACTGGACTTTATCGGAATAGAAAAATTAAAGAAATCAGTCAGCAAAAGTTTAAGTGGCGGGTCGTAATGTCGATTTTTTAAAAGATAGGGATTCATTCGTGCCAGCGAAATCGAATCTGCGGAACGAGAACAGCCCATTGAACCATTCTGTTCTCGCTATAATTTATTATTAACAGCTTATTAGGCTTATATCGTT